CCAAGGAGGAGATCTCCCTCGCGAACATCCTGGACCTCGACTTCACTGCCATCATATCGCAACAGTCGTGTTCCCTTGGCAAGACAAGCTCTCTCCCAGAAGAGACCTTCCCATGATGGGAAAGCCGTGGCCTTGAACAAAGTGTGTTCCAAGATGGTCTCTACACCACCCAGAGCTTGGATGACGTCGGTACGGTAGGCGTTCAAGTTCCACAATTTACCATCGTGACGCTGGCTTGTCCACCAGAACGGATTACTCTTCATAAGCTGGTACTGTTTAAATTCTGCTCGAAGACGGAATCCCTTATCGAAGCTGAGAGTGCTGCGGTCCTTCTGGAACAGTGTGTTGATACGAGGCAGACCACGGTCCCAGCTGTCCTCCAGGTCCTCAAGCGTCAAACGACGGTTCTGCTGTTGAGCCTCCTGTCGCTTCTGAGAGTATTCCATCCACACTCTCTGAGAGTCGATGAACTCGGCTTCCCAGGGAATAATGTACCGGAAGATGTTGGGGATCAATGTTTCCTCGTCATGTGACATACCGGCTCGGAAGTGAGTAATACCGGTATCGGTTTGCTTCGACCACCTCTTGTCACTAGCAGGGATAAGGATGTGGGATCCTGAGATCATACCTAGACCTCCTAGTTCCTTTGGAGTGTAGAAAACGGCGGGAGGGAAACGGGAAGGCATCTTAGAGTTAAGCCCAATCTTGACACGGGTCTGGATCTTGGTCTCGCACTTGACGATCGTGTCCAAGAGGTTGACAGTCGATACAGCGGCTTCACGATAGTAGGTGAAGAGAGCAATCAAGGCCGTGTTCCACTTGTTAGCGATCTTAGTGAAGGTCGTGGAACCAGAAGACATGAGGATTTGACGAATTCTGTTGTTGAATTTTTGAATATCCTCCTCTGTAACCTGAAGGAAGGCATGAGCCGTGCGTTCCTTCGTCGTGTTATCGACCAAAGACCAAACGCTATCTTTCACTGAGAACTCTTCATTCTGGTTGCGAATCTTCGGAAGAATGCGAACCTCGAACCCAGACATGGAGAACAGAAGGTTAGGGTTGTCCTTGCTGTAAACGCTGGAAAAGGTATCATCCCATTCGATCGTCGTGATCGACCTCGGCAGACGGTTCTTCAAATCCCAGAATACAGCGCGGCCCAGGTTGACGTCGTGCCGCATCAAGCGCATTCGGCAATCACGTGGCCAGCATTTCTTGTTCTTGTAACCGATAACGTTTTCGAAGTTGGGATCTGGATTTTCTGTCAAAAAGCGCTGGATAAGATCTCTAGACTCGTCTGCAGAGAATCTGAAGAACACCCAAATCCTGTCGACATAGCGGGTATACAAACGAATAGGATGTCTGGTCTCGGTAGCACGATCCCTAAACTGCAGGAAGTCGTTAGGGCTCTGAGGTGGACCCGCCATTTCACTAGCTCTCTGAAGTCCAAGAAGCAGCAGATCAATCATCAAACCATAGAACTGGAAGACGAAGCCAGAGAATTGTAGACCCCGGATCAACCCGTAGCTGTTCGTGTGGTTCATATCCTTGTAGCTGAGCTGCACGTTATTCTTGGAAGTGATGTAGTCAGCCAAGTTGTGGTCCATGATCAAGCGCAGCAGTCGGTTCAATAGAGTAAGATCGATCTTCTCGTAAACCTTCGACAATTCCGTCTCAATCATTACATTTGTCTCGCCATCGGCAGTTTCCCAAACATTGGACAAGTTGTTGATGCCTTGCGCCCACTTGTACGTCAACAGCGGAGGAACTTCGGAATCGGAAGGCTTGATCCACGAGGGGAAGAGGTGGCGCTGTTCTGCCTGATACCAGAGATACTGATCCAAATAAGCGTCGGTGATCTTCTCAATAGGCTCCACATCGTACACTGGATTGATATGACTGTAATTATCGTTCATGTCGATGCCGACTTCCTTGAACGCTCGCTGGGTCAAAAGGAATCGCTTAATTCTGGCCAGTGTCGTTCCAGGAGAATCGTAGGCCTGTTCAATAAGAGCAAGCTCTTCACGCTGGCTCTGATTGAGTCTACCTTTGACAGAGTATGCTTCACGTAAACGTTCAAGAGCAAGGATCAAAATCTTGGTATCATGCTTGTAGGAGACGCTAGGGAATGGAATTGGAGAGAACTTGCGGGACTCGAGCCAATGTACCATGGTGGTGTAGATAGCAACAGCCTCTTCGGATGACACGTAGGGACCATCCTTCAGATAGTTGTGCTGCCTCTCCTGTTCCGCCTTGAGCCACAACCGAGTGAGTCGGCCAAGATTCTTCTTGGCAACGGTCTTATCCACAGTAGCACCGCGGCGAATTCGTTCACGGTTGTAATGCGCGACAGATATCCACCAATCGGCCTTGCTCTTGACATACCGAAGGATGATGTTTTCGATAGGAGCAGGCAACCCAGGAACCTTCCAGGGAATGTTACTCTTCCAGCATCTCCAAGCCTCCGAGAGATGTTGAAGGACTGTATTGACCTTGTTCTGCTTGATACCCTCAGGCATCATGTCCATCAAGTCAGCCATGACGGAAGCACGAAGTTCGAGGTCAAAATGAGACTCCACACGCTGCTTGGTGACAGTCTTCGCAACTCCCTTACTGTGACGACCCTCGAACTGACGTGACAGCAAGTTCCCAAGCCATCTCTCAAGAAGAGGGATGATACCACGCATGAAGAACAGCCAAACGCGCCAGGCTGGTGCCCAGAAACCACATCCAGGACCTTTGCCCACCGGGCCAGAGTTGAATCGGTAGTAGATCAAGTGCTTAAGATCCTTACAAGAACGAATCTGATGCATCAACTTGTACTTGTAACGGTACATACCGGTCAGCTGTCCCACATGGTTGAAAGCATAGAGGATACCATCAGCCAATTGAAAGGCATCGATGTTGCCCAGACGATACTGGACTTGGGCATCAACAATCAGCTTGGTAAGACGCAGAATTTCTCTCATCAAGTGGAAAGCATTTCCGAAACGAGACTTTTTCCGCTCTTTTGTGGTCAGGGTCTTAACCGGCTTCAAGTTGAAGTTGTAGTCCAAATGCAAGTACGTCAAGTTCTTGCGATGAATCAACAAGTTAAGCATGTTGAAACCCTGGCGGCAGACTTGCAAACCAGCCTCAACCCAGTCGATAGTTGTCTGCTGGAAGAACTTGGTAGATTTCAGGGTCCTCAGCAAGTTCTGCTTATTCTGAGCCTTGGGCTTCTTCTTGTGAAGCTCGTTGAGCACAAACGTTTTCAGAAGCTTCTGGTAAGACACGCGAACCTTGACGGGTTGGCCTTGTGGGCAATGCTCGAGGTACCACTGCTTCACCAAGGGCACATCCTGTGCACGAACCATCTTTCCGGAGCGCTTGTTGAATGGGTGAGGAGCCCACCAGAGCGCGATAGCGGATGCGGTCTCGGGGGTGTAAAGCTCCTCGTCTGCGAAGAAAGGCTCGACTTCTCCAGGAAGCTCGAACTCGTCTTCATTATTTCCTGGTCCGAAGATTTCATCTTCGTGGCTGACTGTGATGTTCTTAGGCGCGACGGAGCGAGAGGAGATTGGATTAATTACAGGGTCGAAGTAAAAAGCAGGAAGGTTGGGGTCGTCGGTCCGAACATAAACAACTTGCGGATGGGAGTACCAAGAAACTTTCACGCTTCTAGGGAGAGTATTGTACAAGAAAGGATATGCGACTCGGTATTCCGTGCGAATGGGAGCACGGAAAATAATACGGTCGATGGCGTTAAATTCACTGAAATCTTCGTCGTTGGGATCAATGTCCTTGTATAACGGTTCAAAGCGCGGACCACCGGGGATGGCAACGTTCAGAGCCTTTGCTGTAAAAAAGCTATTCAGATCGAACATGTGGAAGTAGTTCTCGTCTACCACGTCACTGAGGAGTTGATGACTTAGACGATACAGAGTCGCCATCTGCGGTAGAGATAGGTTCCACTTCTTGTAGCTAGGACCATTAACGTGGGGAGTATCAAGGAGAGGTCGATGATCGTAAAACCACTCGTAGACGGGGGAATCCTCATTCTCGTCGAGTTCCATCTGGATGGGCTCTAACGGTTCAACGTCTTCGATATTCTCCGACCAGGACAGTGGTGGTTCTTCGTCATCGAAGGGAGGAAAGCGCATTCTCTTGAAGTGTCTACGGTCACTCTTTTCTCTGCGCATACACACCCACATTGTCGCCCACTGTGCGTGGAAGACGGGTTCGATAACTCTAGGAGTCTCATTTACCAGTGTGAGACAGCCGTTAACGTGGTATAGAACCTTTACTTCCCTTGAAGACTCCCAAGGCATAGGCATGTTTTCCAGCAGCTTCAGAACTGCATGGGGCATGAACTTCAGCGCGCCGAGATAGCTACGCTTTTCGTTGCTGAACTTCTTCTGCGATACATCACCGATATCTCGCACAATCTTTCGTAGGTGCTCTGGGGGCATGTCCGCCTTCTGTGTTTCAACAAATCCACCCTTTCTCTTCTCTCCGAATCGGTTTCGTTGTGTCCGGAGCCATTCGTTCTTCTTCTGAGCAAATTTTGCGACGGTCGGATCAGCTGGCGGCTGATATCCCGGCGGCGGCGGAGCCAGAGGCATCGACGGAGGAGCCGATGCACCCCATCCTGGAGGTGGAGGAGGGGGTAATGATGCCATAATGCCAATGGCGGAATGGAGATAGCTCTGCTCTTTCTGATCGAGGTTAATGCTCGGGCAAGTCGCGTCACAGAGTCACGTTGAAAAAAGTCATTAACAACCGCGAATCATCAACAAAAGCGGTCGGGGGTGGTAATAAACTGGTCAATCTCGCGCGGCGGAGTGAAATCGTAACCCCAAAGATGAAAACAACTCCTGCACGATCCCCTTCTCACGACGGGTGATGAAAGGCGCTCTTCGTGCTCCTTTCCTGATGAGCAAGCTTGAAAAGAGGTGGCGGCTCTGCTCGGACCGGTGCTAGTCCCGATTGGGGTTAGCACCAGCTCGCCAAATTGGCGCTAGCGTGACTCCAGGGCTCCGAGTGAAACCCACACAAATCCAGGTGACTTGCAAGAATTCTGAGAGCTTAACGACGACAACCGACGACGCCGCCGCCAACTTCTTGATCACCGATACAGAGGTTCAAGACAATCAAAATGGCGAACCAGAGACTCCAATACGTGAGTTGTTTCCGTGCAACAAATTTCAAGAGGACCATGAGAAGCTAATTTACCCTTTTTTTCTCAAACAGCGCCGCCGGAACCCGTACGTTGAAAATTTCCCTTCTCACTTTGTCCCCTCATTACGCTCGATACGATAGCATTCAGCCACGATATCTAGCACAGCGAGGAGTTTTTTTTTATCATCTGATTTCACAAGCAGTATATTGATGGAATTTCGTCTATAGGTACAACACGCGGTCCAACAAGGTCCGCATCATCAAGACCCCCGGCGGTGAGCTCCGGTACCTCCACATCAAGAAGAAGGGCACTGCTCCCAAGTGCGGTGACTGTGGCATCAAGCTCCCCGGTGTGAGTACTCCCGATCAGTTTCTGGTTGTTGAGCGAATGACTATGTGCGAATTCTGCGATCGATCCAAGTTGGTGGAAGAATGCGCCTCTTAGGGCGATACGAAGAGGAGGATTGGATTGAGAAGCACAAATTCTCTGCATCGGGCATCGCACTGGCCAATCGAGAAACGAAAACAGCGACTGATCTCTTGCCCATAGGTCCCCGCTCTTCGCCCCCGCGAGTACTCTCAGATCTCTCGCCCCAAGAAGACCGTCACCCGTGCCTACGGCGGTTCCCGCTGCGCTGGCTGCGTCAAGGACCGCATCGTCCGTGCTTTCCTGATCGAGGAGCAGAAGATCGTCAAGAAGGTTCTCAAGGAGTCTCAGGAGAAGGCCGCTGGCAAGCGCTAAATGGGTGCATAATATGCTCAGTATTTTTTCTTTAGTGGGAGCGAATATGGAAAAATAAAATTGGCTGGGTGCGGTTCTCTTAGATTAAAGTGAACACGACGGCTTTACGAAATGCCGTGTTTATGAATTTTATTCAAGACTCAGTTCTCCAAATATCTTACGATTTTGGTTGCAACGCAATAGGTGTTCATCGTTACGGACAGTGTGGACAGGCCCTAGCGTGCAATCTCACGTAGTCTGGGAACGGCCGTCAAAACTATTTCAAACCATACGGCTTCAGCTCTGCAATGTAGTTCCTTGAGCAACTTCAGCCGTCTACCAGGTAAATGAAAACGCCAAGATGAAGTCCGGGTAACATCAGGAACCAAATTCTCAGGTGAGGGCCCATGCAGCGAGAATGGATGACACCATATATCGAAGAATGGTCCGGACAATCAACTATCACTAGATCCAGAGCCTGCTACCAAATCTATCACAATGATAGATCCACCCCAACAGATGGGAAGACACCCAGCCCGACACGTGTGGCTTTCTCACACCGGACGGAATTTTCATCTCGACCGAATCCGTGAAACAACCCAGGGGGCCTCTCCCTATAACGATCAGTGCCAAGTCTTGGGAGGATCATCGGAGAAAAGGCAAGGGTAGGATGACATGAAGGGGAGAGAAGAATAGTCAGAGCCAGAGCCGGCATGCAGGAAATTATTCGAAACCAAACTAAGCCGATACAATAGGTGGCATGGACGAAACGAAATAAGGGACACCTGAGACCGAGGGTGTGGCCTAAGTATCCAAGCCCTTGCCCGTACATATACAACATGCTACGTATTGAGCAGCAACTGGGACACCTCTGCTAGCTACATTCCGAGAAGTCCTCGTACCTGGGTATCCACCTTGAGGTGGGGCTGGGGTGGTTGTGAACGATGCATTGAACGGGCTGTGGATGGCATCATGACAATAGTACGACTGTGATCGTCATACATCGGGGGCGAACGTGCGGACTCCTTGGTAGGTCTGTATGCAGTCATTAGTTAAACTCTATGTAGTGTGGATGGTGGAACCGTTGGGAAGGCTGATCGCAGAAGTGACAGAGATCTGTGCTCTGCACAAGCTGTTTTGTTTGTAGGCCTTCTTTCTTTTTCTACATATTCTTCGAATATGCGTTGTCCCAAATAAGCGTCCGTCATTTCTGCCTAGATGAGGGAATCATCTTTCGTCGGATCAGTAGATGAAGATCATAAATAAAGCATCCTCGCCATGGCCTGTGCACAAAGATGGCGTGCAGCTAAAGTCCGACAAGTGAGTATGTCTCCGTCCAGTGAGTGGCACATTAATCGCAGCGCAGCGCAGTAGATCTCACTCTGACTTCGGACCCTGACAGAGCTTAAGCCGGATTCAGAGCCAAACTATTTACTCATGCGCATATCTGTTAGTCCAATAATCTCCAGAAAGGGCTAGACAAGTAAAAAGCAAAGCTGGAACACCAAGACAAGCAGGAGAATATCATGGAATGACCGCTAATAATGCAGAACATCGCATGTAACAAATAAACCTTCCGCACCATAGCTTGATAGTGCGCGGTTCCGCAGCCATCCTATGAAGCGGTGAGGATTTGTTGGTGCTAGGTTTTTTTTTTTTCTTCATTCCCTAATTTTCGTTTAGGTTCCTTGCATCAATGGATCCATTACTCACCTTCTTTCAGAGGAGATCATCCAGTCGACCTGAATCATGAAAAGGAGGAGGGGAAAAGGTAGCCAGACCACTCGGAACGAAAGGCTGGGTGGTCACCTTCTCTCCCGTCGGCGTGATAATACCCAACCCTAACTGTACTGGAAAGTATCCTGCATGCTGCGTATGCTTCATGGGTTTAACTGTAGGGGGTAAATAGTACTGCCGGACATGACATAGAGATCGTCAATTACACTATGACAGCCTTCTTGTTCTTTTTTTTTTTTTCTAATATTTTTTTTTCATACTACTTATTGTAAATCGTAGTGTGAAGCACGCCATTGTCTGGAATTAAGGGTGAATAGAAAGGCAACGAGGAGGCAACGACTGGCCTGGAGCGCATTAATAGGCATTATCTAAGATACTAGGTTGAATGGCACGATTCCTGGGAGTTGACTTAAATAGTAACAAATCTAAAAAGTGACTGATCGAAACGACAGTTCGGTTAGGCTTCCAGGTGATTATCGTGTCTTGGATGCGGGCTGTTGTCTGATTAGTTCACTGTGAACAAAGTTGGTCCTGATCCAAAATCAGCAGCGTTAGTGGCGTGGAGAATATCAACATGGGTCGTTTATATGGAACGAACTACTGCACTAGAAAGGGTATTGATCTATTATGTTGCGGTGTATATGTGTGTGTATCCAATTGTCTCTACATGTTGTCTCTCATATATAATATTAATACCATACTTTCTATCCAAAGTCGGAGAAAAGATGAAAGGTTGGTAGAGATAAGAGGGATAGAGATGTGTACACATAGCAAGGAACATACTCTATATATATTTATTTATATCCCTATCATCAGTTCTTACTGGAACATACGTACAAATAACGTAGATTAACAATGCAATGCATCAAGACCGGTCAATGCGGAGCTTAATGAACGGATGCAAGTGTGTTCAACACAGCTTTTTTTTTTTTTAACCCGTCGGTACGGCCCGCGTAGAAGTTGAAAGCGAAGAAAGTTAGGGATCCATCGTACTTTTGTTTCGAATGAAGAGGAGGATGGTGATCGGCTGCAGAAGCGCAAAGTTTAGCCGAGCTATCGAACAATAACTCCAGCGACAGTTCAAATTGGCTCCATACCCTGGGAAAAAGCCGTAGTAGTCTCAAGCATAGTCGGGACGTAAGACGAGAGGGGAATTTTTAAAATTAAGATAAATAGAAAAAAAATCTTTTTTTAAAAAAAAAAAATAAATAAAATACAAATAAAAATAAAAAAAAATAAAACAAATAAATAAAATTATTAGCGGGACACAACAAGATGAAGAGAAAAAGCAACAACGTCGGAGAGTACAGTAGTTCATTCGCTACTAAAGATGCCAGTGCATGATGCAGCAGGAGGCCGAGTGAGCCTCTTAAAAGACCATAAGCCCCATCCCGATGGTGGCACAGCGCATTCAGTTCAGCTGATGATGTGTTGCTTTTTTGGCTAATCTGTCCACTCAGAGTGTATCAAGTACGCTTACTCATCTGCCTGGCGGTCCAGGGAGGATGATGAAAGGGGACTCACATATTCTTCCATTAGGCAGAGACGTACTATATGTACATGGTACACTAGAATAGGATAAAAGGGAAGTTGTTTTGCTGGGTCGCCCCTCCTCTCTAGTCTTAATATCGGATCGACGGAGCCGGTGTGTAAGTACCTTTGACTTAGGTCCTGTAGAACTATAATGGGTTAGTTCATGCTGGTGTCACTCATACATCAACTAGTGCCACGACTAATGCTGGTCGAAGACACCCTTACGAGTCACGACCTGTGAGGTTTCAACCGGTTACCGTCTGCCAGTGTGACGCGCCAAGCTAGACTACATTTTTAGTTGCAGCCGGTCAATCTAAGGAGCGGGTCGGAGTCGACCACTCCCAGGAACGACGGTCTTCTGGCTTCTCCTGCTATTACCATTCCACGGAAATAGCCCTACAATGAATGAGGCTTGCTTTCTCTGACATTTATTCTTAATTGCTAGCGATTAAGTACTCATCACTTCAGTAGGAATTAGTAGTTCACTTCTCCAAAATTAAAGATTACGAGGTAATGTTGACTGAGTTAGGGTTATGTGTTACTAGTCTCTAATTATATATATGATTTTTCCCGTACTGCATATAACCCTATCCCATCTGCTTTTTTCCTACTCCACCATTGTTTTTTATCAATTCCTTTTCTGTGATTTCGAGCGGCTGAGCAAGTATGAAACAAGAAACATGGTATAAATTGGCGTCATACATAATATAAGTGGAAAGCGATCATCGATTGATGTCAACTAGAATAGAGAGGCTTGATAACATTAGTACTATAGCCATGGGAATGATAGTCATACCGACCTGTCCCCACCATAGCAAGGCGAATTAACTAGAAGCAAATCAGCGCGCCGGCTGTGGACGGCTTATTCTTCCGCCGAATAGAAAGGCCTGATCTTGGATCACCCTGAACTACCTTAAAATTAGTCCACTTTCATCAATAGATAGATGGAATCCTTGGGCACCAGAAGGAGGTGGGGAGAGTGGGTTGCCAAAGAGTCGCATCAATGAGGTAAGACAATGTCATCCATCTCCATCAAATAAGTCCATTCATGCCGTATGCAGCACATGCAGTGTTTATCGATGCAGAATCCACTTAAAGGTCTGGATGCGCTTGGGGATGCATGTGGGCTACTGACTAGTGTGGCCAGCCCGCACCAAAGAGAGACATGCCATATGTTCCGTGGTCTTCTGTTGATACAGACTCCTGCTGCTACTGCCCAGGGATGGTAGTGTTAATAATGATAATGACGATAGAACAGTAGGAATAAAAATGTGATAGTATTTTGTTTATTCATTACCTCTAATTTGTTTTGTACTGCACACTGGCGACTTTTCCTAGTATGTTCCCGCTGATCGAAGGCCATGGCTTGCAGGAAATTGAACACAGATCAAAAAAAAAAAAAAAAAAAAAAAAAAAAAAAAAAAAAAAAAAAAAAAAAAAAAAAAAAAAAATGAAAGAAAGATGAAAAGGAAAAGCAATGATAAAAAAAGAGACAAAGGATGAAGATGGAGAGGGAGTGAAGGCGTGAAAGCAAGATAGAAACCACAATCCAATACAAGAGTGCCACGCCTTTGATACTCTAGCTAAGAAAATTGCAAAAAGAATTAGACAAAGTATATTACTCAAATAGGAAGGAGTCTGAAGGGGGAAAAAGATAACCGAGAAGTACGGCAAATTAAAATGCATCAAGGAGGACCAAACACGAGGCTATTAGTAGCTACAGTATGTTAGATGTGCAAGTCAGCGCGGCCATTCGGACGCTTCCCCCTATACGGCAAGTTGAACTTCTGCTGAGATATCAGGACCTGTCAATAAGCCATGGGGAAATGGCGGGAGACTACTCCAGCCTAGAAATCCCGTCTCCATCGTTAAACAGTCCGACCCCGGTCCTGCCATGTCACAGAAAATCGCGGTGCATGAAGGAGGGTCAGCGCTACCAACAATACTACCCAAATCGAAGGGTTCGGCTGACGTGCGAGTCAGTGGTGTTGCTGGGCCTGATGCACGAAATCGCGAGACGACCGCCGCCGTCACAGGTGAAGGGTGGTGTTGAGTATGAAGGATTTTGTGAGGTCGCCGCTGCGACACCAGTCGCTGATAGTACCGTTCCTTCCGTAGTTCATCCTGGTTCATAAGTCCGCGGAATTTAGCTGTGATTTTCGTAGCTTTCCCTCCCTTCGCTCCGGATCGTTGGCGTTGAGGAGCTGGTGGGTCTGAGCCCACTGTTTTTTTATAATTCGCCTGCTTTCTATACCGGGTTGTAGACTGAATACCGTAAGTTATTGCCTCATCTGTCAGACGCCAGTAATTCAGGGCTTTCTTGCCCGGTGCTTTCTCCACTCGAACAGCTTCAAAACCCTGTAGCAGGTTTGGTTTCTTAGCAAGGGAGAACAGAAAGAGAAGCATCAACTTGTGCAATCGACATACCGCGTTCATGGATAAGTTGTGTCGAATGCTGTTTTGCCACCCTTTAGAATTGCGATCCTTTCCTTTTGTGGTGTTCTCTTCGAACCAGCCGTAAATCTCCTGAAGAGACAATTTCTTACCGGGTGCGTCCCGGAGAGCTTTGTAAATAAGTGTGGAGTAGGGCGGGTCTACGCCCGCCTCCTCTTCTGCGTTAGCTGGTGTTGCTCGCGTATCAGCGCGGCTAAGTTCGGACTTGATTATAGGAGAGCCCATCTGGCGCGACGAAGCCGAGAAAGCTGGTGACGGTGGCGTTAGAGCTGCAGTGGGATAGGTGGTTGTAAGAATGCCAGATGGGCATTGATGCGGCCCAAAAGCTTCAGATGTTGCTGTATAACGATCAGGCTTTAAAGCATAGGAAACATCATTATCTGGCTCCCGCATCCACTCAGAGGACGTCCTGCTATCATTGGTATGAGACGGCCCCGGCCTTAGATGCCCTGGGGTCGGACCCAACATCATGGAGGACGGTAGCCAGTCGCTGTCGCAGGAAACAAAGAAACGTGGAAGGCCATCAGGCATTGACGGTGTAGACGAGTGAGATGATGGCAGTGTGAAGGCTGAGGTTTCTGTGGTCCATGGGTTTTGACAAGGCATCATCGATGTTGGACTGCTGGGCCCGGAACCCACCCAGTGTTCAACCGCCGGACAGGGGTAGTGATGGCGAAGATCACCTAAAGGCGCGCCATCGATAACAGCGTGTGAAGACGCAGATGTCTCTGTTCGTTTCAGAGCGTATTGTAGTGTAGTTTCCCGAGGTGAAGGAGTTGAGTCGACGCATAGGTCCTGAGACACCAAGAGACGATCCATGTTGTCTTGTAAGCAAACAAACTAATATCAGTCACGGACGGCACAATCTAGACTGGCTAAATTTGCATCTGATGGGACGGTACACGAAAGAAGGAAATATTATAGATATTATAAGTTTCTAACAGGTACAAGCCATGACAGGGAGACGGAAGTCAACAGGTTGAAAAAGGGTAGCCCTGGAAGATGTGAAGATAACGAGAGAGGCTAAAGGGGAGAAAAAAGAAAAAAGGCAGAAGTCGACAGATAAAGACCTCTGGCCATTCAGAAGATGGACATAACTGAAGTTGTGAGGCCAGAAGAAATGCCAGCTCATACATACGGCCTGATGGTCTGTCTGCTGTTTGTATGTGTCTCCGCCAGTCCCAACAAACAAAAGACGGTCTGGCAGAGAGAAAGAAAAAATTAATTAAAAAAGAATTGGATAATTAGGATCAAGAAATATAGAAAAAGAAAAAAGTCAACCAAGGAACTCCCCAGTCAACATGTGCACTGGGGGTGTTGTGGAGGGTGGTGGTGGTGTAGTGGTGCTTCGTTCTAAAGACTTCCCAAGCAGTGGAACAACTAGTCATTGTACACGCAGAGCCAATGACTTTGCAGCATCTAGTAGAGGCTGGATCTTCGGTGCTACAGATGATGGCAATATACGTACTTCTTGATTTACAATGCCTGACAAACCAGGACGAGAGGGGGGTTGTGGAACCGGACAGCTGCATGAGAACTGGCTCTTCTTTGCATAATGGCCACAGTCCGCCAGGTTAGGTGGAAGCCTTTCTGAAAGAGACGTTCTGGCAACTTCCCGGAAGCTCTCAATGTTCTGGGGATGTATCCTGCAGACACTCAGGCCCTTTCCCGCTTTCCCCGACCAGCCGGAACCATTGAAAGGCTATGAGGGTGGCTTGGGTGGCACCGAAGCCGCATCGTCGCAGAGGTTTCTTTCATTTGCTGAAGGCCAAGCTAGAAGGTCGGCATTTCAGATCTGAGTGGCCGTACGTACGTATGGGGGAGGCGGCGTTCATCCTCCAGCGACACGTGACCCGCTCCTTAATGGGAAGAGAAACGCGTGACGTTGGATGGCAAAGCCCACGGCGGTAAGCCAGTGTTGATGGTAGCGGAAATAAGCCCTAGTCCATGGTTGCACACACGTGGGAGCCATAACCTGCGAGTCAGGAAGCTTAAACCCCATGGAGGTTATGTACCTAATGCTATATATCCGATGATATGATACATTCTAGCGTCTGCTGATCGAATTTGGTCCAATACTGTAGCTGGTGGTTAATACTTCCCGACCAACTAGATCGCCCGGTTGTGCGTTGCCTTGCTATAGCAGTTATGGATACGTTGATAGTAGATAATGCCTTAATTTGAAACTCCGAAAATACCATTATTATAGCCATATGCGCCTATACACCAGTTGGGTCGAGATAGATCAATATATAACGATGTCGATGCGAGTAGAGGTTCCTATCAAGGCCTTACTTTCGGTAGTAGACCTATCATGGATGTTAGAGGGAAAATGCTTTGTGCGACAGAGAGGGGGGGATCTCACCCGCTTGAATTGAAAGTGTAGCTGTAAGATACCCTATGGATTGTGTCAGAAGATTAAAATTGAAGCCAGAACCTGGGGCTAAACAATCGGCGCGTCTACCTTGTCAAAGGTGCTCTTGAAGCCTCTTTCCCTCTTGGCGCTATAGTCCCATTCCTTATCAACAATTCGAAATGCGATATCTTCGTAAGGGGGCCCGGCCATAAATCTAATAAGACAAGTATCTTCTTCACCAGCTGCTGCAAAAGACTGGCCGCGCTTTCTTCCGTGCTCGCGTTCAATACGATAGGTCGGCGCTTTCGTCTTATCGATGAGGTCGGGGTAGAAGATGTTGAATTTGTAGCCTTGTACCACCTTGGGTGGTGGGTTATCATGGTCATAATGAGTCTGGTTGTACTTATTCCACTCGTAACCCATCTGCACCCGGTTGAAGTATCGCGGCTTGCGCGGCCGGTACTTGTTCGCCCACTGAGGCTGGGACCCCGTGCTTACGGATTCTTCGCCCGTGAAGATCTCTTCATTCTCACTGACTCCTCTCGCAAGCTCTCGCTCATAGAGTGCCTTTGTTGCCTGTGAGAAATCTTCATTGGGTATGGTAGAAAAACGGGAGGAGCCAGTAACCGCAGGCAAGTTTGGTGTTTGGTTCACAGGAACAGCAGAGGATTTCTCTGCTTGCCTCTGGCGGAGAGGTACAAACCCCATCTTTAGAATCTTTTGCCGTTCGCGAGCCTAAAAAGATTCCATCAGCGCATGGCCTGTACCGCTTAAAAGCCGTTGCGACCTACCACCTGATCCAAAAAGCTCGACTCATCTACTATCTCCAAGACCTTATCCTCCGGGCGAACCTGGAGCAGCGGGTCAGGATCAAGACCACGAAATTCTTCATCTAACCCAGCTTGCGTTTTGCCCTCGGTCGATGGCTGGATAACTGGCGCTAGAGGTGCAAGCTTTGCCCGAACCGACTCCGCCTCGTCGCGTTGTTGTTGGCGTAATCCTCGAACACGTTCGTCTATGACTGCCTGAAAGACCTTCTTAAGTTTGGCGCGTGCTTTCCAGACGGTGAGACTCCGCAGTAGTTCTTCCCAGTAATCGGTATCGATGGGTTCATTAGAATCCAACTTTTTCTTGACCTGTATCTCAAGGGTTTGAAGTTGCTCGTACGTTTTGGGACTCAAGAGCCTATTGATATCCGCAGCGACGGAGCTCAGCGTACGCCCTTCGGGAGCCGTGATTTTCTGACGGTCGCGACAGATAATTCTCATAGTCTGTGCAGACCGGTTAGCAATAACTTTAGATAAACCAGAGCCTAATGTGATCTACCTTCCAGAAATCCCTGTTTTGCGGATTTGCCTCCAAACTCAAAAAAGTATCAATATCCTTCTCCAAGTCCAGCAATTGACTCTGAGACAGTCCTTCGAAAACGCCATCCGGATCCACGATGTCCAGGTCCGAGTCCACAATCTCGTCATCAAGAGGGTTCCTCGTCGGATCGATAAATCGCAGGGTAACAGTAAGCCAGTCAATCGGCTTCGCCCGGCCCTCTTTGACACGAATCTCAGCCTTCTTTTTGGCCTGTTTAAGCACGAAAACGTCCTCCTGCGCTACCCATTCACGCACTTGCTCGTCTTCTTGCAATTGATTTAACCGCATCTGATCCTTCATATTCCTCGACTGCGACTGCGCCGGTCGGTCTCTTCCATTGCTCTGGTAGTCCCTCTCATCGTATCTGCGGGGAAGCTTCTGGGGTTGACGCGATGAAGGCGATCGCGATCGGCTTCGTTTCGTCGAACCTGATCTGTCCGGAAAACGTGACGACATAACTGACACGTCTATAGAGTGCAATGAGAGGAGGAAGCCGGAAATAGGCAAATATCGCTGTGGGCGCTGAAACCTAAAGTCAGCAAAAACGTGAAGCTTTCGTCTGATGCTTTTTTTGGAGAAAGCGTCCGCCAAGACACAAGTGGAGCAGCGGAACAGTAAAGGTTTCCGCCTTATCAGCTTTGCCGCCTAGTAGAAGACTACAGTTTGTATATCTTAAAACCACAGTTCCGGTCATATCTAATGGTATTCCAAATTTCATCATTTAATGCTAAGAAATGTCCGCCAAGTGGCAGAGATTGCGCCTTTCGAATCGAGGGGTAATACCTCCACTTCTTTTCAAATATTCCTCAACATCAAAAGGCTACGAGTTGTACATTACTGATCTTACCAACATCTGGTCTGAACATTTGACCCGCCAAGATATCCTGAGAAGAGCTGATGAGGATGACTCCACAATCGATCCGACCGAGGACACGGAACAGTTTGGAGTCCTCCTGCAAAAGATAGAAGACGCACTGTGTAGCCAGCCAGGAAGCACCGTGGCCTTGAATCATAGCTCAGGAGACTTGCTGGAGCTAACTACATCTACCAAACTGCCAGCTCCACTTCAGCCTTTGAAGTGGGCTGCACGTCTCTCCAAGGAGCCGCACTCTGCCGTTACTGGCCAACTGCTGCTTCCCCTCATAAAGGCGGAAGCTGACTGGGAGTCGCACCAGCGAACCCTCATTGATCAACTGCATAGGAAAGACTGGATTCTCGCGAAGCTCTTCGATAAGATCGAAACTGTGGGCATCGATCTAAGTACTATATTTCCTGGTATCTCTGGCTTACGGACGGGTCAGAAAGGCATAACGCTAGCCCAGGCCGCCAAACATATAAAAGGTGTTGCGCCTTTCGACGAAAAAGCATGGCTTGAGGATGTCAGTGCGTCAGCTTCTGCATCTGGTCTTGCCGCTAATATTCTGGCGGAGGTTTCCAATTCTAACGGCCCAAATCGATCGAGAGGTCTTGAACTACCACCAGACAAGTGGTGGGAGAAACTTACTGTAACTAAGACTACTTCGGCCTCTATACGAGAAGAAGGCGAACCGAAAAAAGGACGCGAGCCTCCTAAAGATGTGTTGGAAACCGATACTGATACGGCTACTGAAACAGAGGATGACGAGTTTGAAGTAAGTACAACCTTTAGAATTAGAAGTACCGCAGTTAAGTTTGTCTTTAGCGGCAAGAAACGCCCCCAAGATTGAAGCAATTCAAGAGCGGCGAGAAAACCCCCATCAACATTGAGCAGGATGAAGACCTCGGAAAAACTCCTTCAAATGAACCAGCACCTCTGCCAAGGCAGAAAAGCTCTGCAAAACTATCAGGAGGTCTGGGGGTTATCGGTGGGAAAAAACAAACTAGACCGCCCCAGCCCTTACCATCTACGCTCGCACCACAATTAGCCGACGACCAAACAGATTCAGGGTCTGACCATGAAAGTGTGGCTTTAGCACCAACCTCACCAACGAAGCCTAAACCAAAGTTGTCAGATAAAGCGCAGGGTAAATCGCGAGGATTGGGAGTCATCGGTAGTAAGAAGAAACCAAGGCAAGCTACCCCTAGTGAGCCTCGATCTTCACCAACGATAGAATCCCCAAGTACAACAGACCAGCCACCTCCCGCAACATCTCCTTTGATAGAGACTAGAACGAAGAGAGTTGGTAAACTTGGTGTGATAGGAGGCAAACCCTCAAAAAGTGATGCGACTACTACTTTGACACGTCAACCAGAGGAGGGCAACGTTGATTTCTCTAGGGAGATGTCAAACCACAGTTCTGAACCACCAAGGTCTCCATCGGCTGAACGACGACAGCCAGTGACAATGGAACAGCCAGGGAGAGAGGAAGTAGGTCAGGAAAGAGCGGATAGGATGCGCGAAGAATTAAAGAGACAGCTGGAGGCAAAGAGTAAAGCCCCAGCTAAGAAGAAGCGGAAATTCTGAGTTCTTTTTCTTTCTCCTTCTGATAGGCTGTTGTGTGAATCAATCAGTAACTACTGTACATTTGAGGGCATCTTGGATCACGCGACAGTTTATTACGGGAATATTTGGCAATGCCCAGGTGTAGATTTATTTACAACACTGCAATATGTTATTAGTATATCTTAAACCGTAAAATTCCGCAAGCAAAGATTAGATTGATGGTATCTTTGGGGTGTGATATGGTACAAATGACTTGAAAATGGACAAGTATCACAATTGTTATACCATGGTATCATATTGAACGCCGTAGAGATAATCTGCTGATCTGAACATTTATGACCGCTTCATTCGGGAAAAGTGTAGTTAATAACAGTGTGTAGTAGGGAAATGTTATACATGCAATTCAGAACCTTCGCAATTGTCTTCAGATTGAGAGTAAATTTTAGGTGCTTAGCCCGCTGCCACCACCAAGACTGGTTCGAGACGAGGTACCCCTTCGCTTCCCTTGCTCGCTAGGCGTAACAAGTCGTACTTTTTTGGGCGACATCAAGTTAGAGGAGACGCTGGGCCCGGCGCTGGTGGTGGAAGCACTTGTGCCACCCGAGGTCCCAATACTTAGCATACCTCGAACCTTTTCAACAGCTTTGCTTTCTCCTCTGGTCCATGGATCGCGTTTTACAAATCCTACGCCAGCCTTTCTACCAGCCGAGTCTCGTCTTTTAGACTCCTCAAGTAAAATGGTACGGTTATGTTCACGGCGGGGCCCCGGGCCGCAGTCATGCATGCAACCAGGGGTAGCGCAACCACCCTCACTGACAGAAGTGTCGTTCAGCCACATACTAATGCAAGCTAAATGTCCTCCATGGCCACAACCTTGGCACCAGGTCCAAAGCGCGGATCCTTTAGGTCCCAAAGGATTGTATGAATCCGAATACGCTTCATCCAGGCGTCGTAGCTCGGAGGTTGGGATCGGTTCTGTCTTAATGGAGGAGCGAGATGACGATAGAAAATGCGATGTTGTCTCGGAGTCCAATTCAAGATTCGACTGTGCAGCCGAGACAGATTGCTCCGCTACCCACTCTGCTGGTGGGTCAACGCTCATGCAAATAGCACATGGCGCCTGGGGCGTGTCACAGCGATGACAGCGCGTGTTGTCATTCAAAGGGTTCTCGTATGGACGTTTACATGTGAAACAAAACACGTTCATCGTAGTGTCTATTTGAGCATACTCATAGACTGCTGGATACGCCGGTACGCAGGAAAGTCGAAGCTCAGCCGCCTCAGTGTACATGCATTGGCGTATAAGATGTTCGTTGTAGGTTTTGAAGATGAGTTCACATTCCTCGCGAGGAAGTATATCCTCATGGCTTTGGAAAAGAGTGCACATTTTCTGGAGAAGATGAGCAGCAGATTGAAAGTCAACATAAGAACTGCTGTGATAATGCCTAATGGCTTCTTTGAGCAAAACTTCAGCGCTCCATGGTTTGTCCACCGTTCCGTCAGAGCTTATAGGGATAGTGAGCCCAGTGAGGCCGTCATCGATCACATGTGTAGCCTTACCAGCAGTATCATCTGCTGCGGGAGTGTAAGCACCACTTTGATGGCCATCTTGCTCAAAGTATGGAGTCTCTAGAGGACTGGATTCCTTCAAAAGGGGAAGTGGGCTAGAGGGCCGCTCGAGATGAACATTAGAATCTGGAACACCCTCAACAAAAGGTTCATTATCCTGAAGTTCTTCGTTTTGAATGGTCATGGGGCCAATAACTGAGTCACTTCTGGCCCTGGAATATGGTATTCGAGGGGCTTCACTCTCCGGCCCTTCCGTGGCATTCTCACTTTCGGAAACGTCATACAATTTTGCCGCCGACGATAATGACGTGCCTATTGATTTGGAAGGGTGCGAGCTCCCTGTAGATGCCGAGAACATGGGAAGACTTTCGGATGACTCGCGGCGACGGAAACCCGGAGGCCTCACACTTTCGACGTGAGATTCGAGCGACAGGATCTTTTTGGGATACTGTTTATAATCGCGAATGGCTGCTTTTTTATCCTCCATCTTTTGGTCGTATTCATCTACTTCAGATGTCTCTGTGCGACTCCGAGCGCGCCAGTCGCCTCTTCCGGTAATTGCTCGCGGTGCAGATCTTTGGTCACCTTCAAGGCTTTGGGACACCAGTCCAGGTATTGGGTCAGATGGGAGACTTTCGCCTGGAAATTGCGTATCTTCACTTGCGTTTGACTGGCGGTGCATACGTGGTTCAACATCGGACATCGAAGACCAATCATTCGAGTTCATGGTGCCTTGATTTGGGCTCAGAAGCGACGGTGGAAGAGGTTGGATGTCTGTAGGGTCATCTAAAGATGGCATATGCGAATTAGAGCTATCTGACGATAAAACTGTGGAGTCGGGCAAAGGCTGCGCGAGGGGGGTTGTCATGTTCGAGGCGTTTTCTACATCAACGAGAGGTTGCCTGGCCACCTCCGTCTCCATAACACCTTTGAACAACCGGTTCTTCATCTTTTCGGATTTTCCCTCATCCAATGCTCTCGGGTTTTCAGAATTCTGCCCTTCTGTAGATAATCTTTTTTTGATGCCGCGGGTGCCTTTTTCCGGAGCCCGCCGCTGCTCCCTCGCTTTAAGTTGCAGTTCTTGGGCGACAGCGAACTTTACTATACGCCATGTTTGGGATAGCTTGACTAATGAAGCATCCTCAGCACAGTCTGCGTTCTGGCTTAATGATTCTAGCAGTGATCGTAGAGAGTCTGAGTGCATGCAGTTAGAAGTTCCAAGTAGAGGGGAATAATGGCGTGCCAGGTATCGAAAGGTTCCTTGATCCATTGTGGCCCCAGGTATACTTCCAACTGCCCCTAACTGGCATTGTGTGGAAGGCTTGATCTTTGATAGCACCTTCTCCAGCGACACAACGGGGTTGAGTTCGGGAGCACCCGGAGGAGTGCTGCCCAGTGACTTAGACGCCCGACCACTGCTTGATTTAGTACGTCGGTGCCTAACCGAGATAAAGGAGGGTTCATCGAGAAGGTCGTCTGCTGGGCTTTGACTCAACGCTTCTCCGCTACTGCTCTCTTCCTCAGGATGACCCACGAACTCCGTGGTGCTGAGTTTTACAGTACTATGGCTGGAGCGTTTCTGGACAAAAGCTAGCACTTCACCACTCGAGCTCCAGGCCAAAGAGCACATCGGTCGTTGATTTACCACCTGGGGGGCATATCGGATATCAGTCTGGGTGAAAACACCGGCCTCACCAGCAGTCCACAATAGATCTTTCGAATGCCAGAGTAAATCGGCAGCATGAGATTCATACCGATCAAACTCTCGGAACGGTATATGAGGGCGCCGGAGATCCCAGAGATGTATCCGTGGGTCTTCTTTGTCATAGGATGTTACCAATTGAATTGACTGCCAACCACCGGAAGCATCATATTCGGTATTCCAGGACGGTGGACGCCATCGTACGTTCCCAACGGCCTGAGGTGTCCGGAATTGGAATGTTGGTTTTTGCCTACGTTCGGCTGAGGAAGAGAAATCCCAAACTTTAACATGTCTGTCTGTACCACCACTGACGATGTGTTTGCCATCAGGATGCCAGTCTACTGAGAAGCATGGCTTGTCATGAGCGGTAATCCTTAGCAAGGGGGCGGAAGTTTTTCGGTAATCCCACAACTGTATTGCACCACTGTCCGTGGCGGTTGCAAATGCAACCCCATCGCTCGGAGACCACCTGATATCCCGAACTGCATCGCTGTTCCCATTATACAACTCCTTACTCGAACATGGCCTGACCGCGGATGCCATGCGCAAGTCCCACATTCGAATCGAGGAATCCTGGCTTCCAGACAGAAGCCATGCCGGCCAATGTGGATTGAAAGCTAATTTGTGGACCTGGCGGCTGTGCCCCTGAAAGCGGCAGTATTCCAGGCCAGTACGATGTAGATCGTAGAGAACAATGCGGCCGTTAGCCACTGCAGTGGCGATGATGGTGTCATAATTGCCATGTGACCATTTCACATCCCGCACTGTCAGCTGGTCTTTATAGCGTGAGGAAAGTCCACTGCCATCATTCTGAGTGGAGGAGAAACCGATGATAGCATTGCGAAGGTTGAATTCTTCGGAAGAATGGTCGGGTGAAACACGGATGGTCTTCAAGATCTCTTTACCCCCGACTACTGCATGTGTCCGCTGAGGAGAAATATCTAAAGCGGCAATCGGAATCCCGGTCTTATGAGTGACCGTTTGGGACGCTCCCGGTCTAGCAGGGTTGTTAGAAGATTGCTGTCAAGCCTCGTTGGCAAGCTGGAAAGCTGCATTTTGGAGGTGCGACCTGTTTAAATAAAGATTCTAAATGAAGCTGGAGCAAGGCTATGGGTATACGGGGGGAAAAGGCGGAAAAGCGAGATGAGAAAGAAGAAGAGCAATTGGAAAGGGAAACTATACAAGGACTTGGACCTATTAGAACAAGGACCGGCAGATAGGTCTGCACGAACCCCTGAGGCCTGCGGACTTGGAGGTCGAGACCCAGAAAAGAAGGGCTGGGCAAATCTTGCTAAAGCACTGGCCGCGCGGTTTGAATATTTGCTTTGTTGCACGGGGGCAGGTGGAGGAGGAGGGGGAGGAGCTGGGGAGGAACTGCCTCGGGTGGGCAACCGAGAGCTATCAGACATCCTCAAGAGGCCAGTCAATCACGACTTAACCCGATAAGGGATGAAGGCCCATGTTTGACAAAGTTCCCGCGACGAACAAACAAGAAGAGAGAGCTGGTTGAGGTGGGGAATGGGAGTAAAGGAGGGGGGGTTTAGAAGGCGGAGCTCCCTGTTGGAGACACTTTGGAGATGTGATGCGCTCGTGACTGACTGACTGATTAGATGGGTGGCTGCCTTAGGACCCCAGAATGAGGCTTAGTCAGCTCCTGTAAGAACGTTTGACCAGAGGTCTATACTAGTACTTGGGTAATCAAGAGTAAGCAATTGGATTGGTTCATGTGAGGTGCATGAAGCAAGCAAGTACCAGGAGTAAGCAAGTCAGCAAACCTGAGGAATGTGAGGGAGAATTAGTGACCACTCGAATAATAATAGAGTGGCGAGAACGCGTGATGTGCGGATTTAGCGCCAGTTTGGGGGAGGTTTCCACCAGAGCATTTGGTAAATCATACCCAGTAGGTAAATACAGAAGGAAACAAACCTTACTTCATTCCTACGAACACAACGATTCATCCTGTTGAGTCCGAGGTATTATTTTTCCCTTTAACCCGATTGTATCATACCATACCGGCCCTTTTCTTGTTTTCTTTAGTCGATTTTTTATTTATAATTATTTATTAATGATATTTCTGAATTAATTAACTCTTCCCAGTTCTCACCTCTAGACCTGTCCAGGTGATGGATCCGAAGAGTTAAGTATCCAATGTATCCAATAACAAAGTTAGAACAATGGGGACTTGAATTGACACCTGAGTGATGTGTACAATTCATAGTTGTTGGTTGAACTCATCTGGCAGGATGCCGTTAAACGTCTCCATGGATCCAACCAGTCGGTATGCATGCTAAAAGCGGTGTGCGACGTACTTGTACATCACACACAGACACTCTTGGAAGTCATAGCTACCTACTTAAGTTCATCGTGTATTCAGAAGTAGTTAGCTGTATGGTGATGTATGGCGGTATGGATGTATTTATTGTATGGCGGATTGACATGGATGAAGACAGAGTATCCACTGTTAGGATGATTAGGCCGATTAATGGTGATGACACACTACGTACTCATTATTAGATGTCTCAGACCAGTCTCACACGAATTGACTAAGATAAGACAGTCAGACAACTTATGTCTGGATCTGAGATGTACCTTACGTACATACGGTGTACGTAGGAGGTACATATTTACATACCAACGACACTTTTTGTGTTAGATCATCCGGACCTTCGGGACTCCTCAGGTGGGACAAACTAAAGCGACTCGTCGGGAGGACGACTCAGGGTGCAGGGTAGTCCTCGGCTTGAAGAATTGATTTCCCCCCGCATACTCCTGACCTGAATCAGGGTCATCATTCCACTCGTTCGGTGGTGGTCTGGTGATAATTGCTCATTGATTATGGTTCAGCTGGTTAGTTTGTTCTTGAAGAGAGTTCAGACAACATGGTTGTGTTCAAGAAGAAGGACAAATAAGCATGTTCAAGACCTCCATCCCGGATTGACTGATCATACTACAATATAATATGATCATATTAATTAGAAGTGTAACAAGCTAAATCAATTGTGAGATGAGATGATATTGCCCCTGGCACTGAGCTATCTCTCAGCCACCTACACAGGGCGCTAAGGCGATACCTTGATTTCGAGAAAGACAACAAAAAGAATGAGCCCTTCAAAAGCAATGTAAAAGGACAGAGTACCTAAGCAGAAATGATCTATCCTTTTTACCAAGGATTTACACTAACCTATTCTGAGGCCAATGAACATGGATCAAGGTGCTTCGAACCCATGCAATGCAGCTTCCACAATCCAATCCTGATCCTCACAGCGATCGGTTTGTGCCACCATCCATCCCCCTTCTCCATCGAGATCTGTCACGAACACATCCCTACATACTGTGTAATAGTCGCATCTATTAATTATTCAATTGCCTTTTTCTTTTCTTTTTTCTTTTTTCTTTTTTCTTTTTTTCTTTTCTTTTTTTTTTTTGCCTAGAGTTCCGAATTTTCTTCTTTCTTTTCTTTTTTTTTTTTTTTTTTGGCTTCCCCTCTAGTAATCTTCAATCTTACCACAACATCCCCTCGAGGGCCTGAGTTGGCTCCTTATACATACTGGTACATATCACGTTACACGATAACTATTTAGATGATGTCTGCAGCATTAAAATGTTCTTAGAAAATTATCCAACAGTTGAGCTCCCAAAAGTTTATATTTCAGCATCTCGAGTTCGCGCTTGTGTTCGGTCTCCGTGTAATACTTCCCCAGGGCGCTTTCTCCGCTCAGGAGGGATCAGCGATATCATGCATGGAATTTATTATTTATTATTTATTATTTATTATTTATCACTTATCATTTATTTTGCACAGTTTCTTTTTCTATTTTCCCTTCTTCTTCCTCCTTTCAAACATACATTCCAATCCCCGTTACCATTGGGCACGAACATCTCAAATTCAATCCAGGCAGCTCATGGGCAGTGTCCAGGGAGGTAAGTATGTGAATATTTACGCGGTTCCGAAAAGATCCAGGGTTGGGAATATGATGAAAACGGCTACGTACTACTCCGTACTAGTTCCGTAGCACTAGGGTATCGCCATAGATGATATCAAAGTACATGTAGGGAAAAAGAAAAGAAGAACATTAAGCAAAAAAACCTCCGATTCGCATCCAAAATCATTCGAAGAGTAGGAGGAATATTGCCCGCAAGTTCAGGAAAGTTTTTGATATGCCTTGGGCAATTTTCGTTCCTCGGTTGAGTTCTTCTTATCCTATTTCCCCATTAATTATTCTTGTTATTTATTTTGTTTTAGATTTTCCCTTGCCTCTTTGCCATTTCTCCCAAATTTGCCTCCGGAACCACTCAAGCTCAGCTGCTTTCTGGGACTCTGGGTCAAACTAGTCTACTCTGGGTAGTTCTCGACTTCAGATTCGCATGCACACCGTCACTCTTCCTCGACCGTCCGAGTACTATTTGCATCTTTCCAACGATCATTTCCTCTCGTGTATCTTTTCTCTTCTCTCTCTTCTCTTCTCTCTCTCTCTCTCTCTCTCTCTCTCTCTTCTTTCCTTTCCTCCTCTCGTACTCATCTCGGTCTCTTCCGGTCTTCTTCTTTTATTCTTCTCTGCTATACGCTTTAATTCACTCCCGTTATTCTTGGAGTTTCAATTTTCCGTCCGGTTTTTACTTTCGTTCCCCTATATAACCTTTTAGTCAATCCACGCATACTCTTCTCTTGTAATTAGTTCAAAAATTTCTTTTTCTAGAGCCTTGATATTTCTTTTCTTTTCTTTTCTTTTTTTTTTCTTTTTTTTTTCCGCCTCTTCCCCTCTTGCTCACCTACCTCAAGAAGACCCCCCAAAAAAGAAATATAAACAAACGAGCAAGACGAGTGAAATATTGTCCCGCGTGTCTGCCGATCCCTTTCAGAAACACTACAAATCCGGCCCTTCCATTGATTCATTCGGGCCTGTTGTTCGCTACTTAGTCGTTTCTAAGTCAAGTCCAACCTCATTAATCCCTTGCTGCACTCCTCGGGCTTTACGGGAAGGTGCGATTGCTGTGTCATGGAAATATCTTAAGGTGGTTTGATCTGAGCTTGTTGGATCCTTGTTGGAGGACTGTTCAAGATGGACTCTCACCATGCAACTCGCCAATTGTTGGAGTATCTTCGCACTGGCTATCCAATACTCCTCCTCCTGGTCTTCATATCCGCCTTCGTTGCCAATTCTGTCCTTGCCGCTAAAAATGCCAATAATTCTCCTACCGCGGCGCAGACAGGCCCAGGCGGGAGACCGCTCCCCAAACGTTCAAGAAGTACGATGGCAGTCATGAAAACCCCTCAGAAATTCTCTCAGAATATTAGATCGTTGTTCAGGTGGTTGTCTGTGGGTATACTATTGACCGTTCTTGTGGATGCAGCTGTCAATGTGGCACATGTGATAGTCTCTAGGTCGGAGCAATGGTGGTGTGGACAGTCCGTTGTGGTAAGTGCCGTGAATTTAATGCTGATTATAATCAGTGCGGTATTTAATGCTTCATAGATCTACGTTGTGGGTTCGTTCTTTGTCTATTCGATTATCCTCGTCTCGTTATTAGATACAGATCCGTCTCCGACATTTGCGCAGTTTGTTCCTTGGTTGGTAGCAGTGCCCGTCGAATTAGCTATATTGGGTATCTCTTCCTCGATCAATGCTGGCAGCCATCATGAGCCAGTTGTGGGAGATCCGACTGGGGGTCGTTTGCAGAATGGCGTGACTTTGTGGGAACTTACGGAGCTCATCTGTAACTGCGTTAGAGTGCTGATCCTTAGTACATTGGTCGCACTTTACGTGTTCAGCTCTATTAGGATGCATTCTAGTTCCAGAAAAGCCCCAAGAGCATATGCCAATGGCGCTTCTGAAACTACAGGGTTGCTGGACCCGTCTCATGCGGAGAACGGGAACGCTTATGGCTCAACTCCAGCCAACCAGCAGCCTACTAAACCCACTGATGCATGGGTTCGACCAACTACTGTCCCATCTACTAGCTGGTGGGAGTATCTTAGCGGATACTCGCTTTTTTTTCCGTATCTTTGGCCGTCGAAGTCCCGTCGTCTGCAGATCGTGGTGGTTATATGCTTCATCCTGATTGTTTTACAACGTGTTGTCAATGTCCTGGTGCCTCTCCAGGTTGGAGTTATCACCCGCAAATTGACTAAAACGGGCGATGACTTTAATGTTCCATGGTTTGATATCTGTCTGTACATCTTGTTCCGGTGGCTGCAGGGTAACCAGGGCCTGATCGGTTCATTGCGTTCCAGTCTTTGGATTCCTGTGAGCCAATATTCTTACATGGAGCTTTCGACTGCGGCTTTCGAGCATGTGCACAGTCTTAGCCTTGATTTCCATCTCGGCAAGAAGACCGGTGAGGTATTATCTGCGCTGAGCAAAGGTAGCTCTATCAATACCTTCCTCGAACAAGTCACTTTTCAGGTCGTCCCCATGTTAGTCGATCTTTGTGTTGCCATTGTCTACTTCCTCATTGCGCTTGATGCTTACTATGCTTTGGTCGTCACCATTGTGACATTCTGCTATCTTTATGTCACTGTCCGCATGGCACAATGGAGAGCAGAGATTCGGCGGCAAATGGTCAATGCTTCAAGGCAAGAAGATGCAGTCAAGTAAGTTTCATGGCGCGTATGCTCTGGTACATTAGATTTGCTAACCCAGTGGCTTATAGGAATGACTCCATGGTATCTTATGAAACAGTAAAGTACTTCAATGCCGAGGACTATGAGTTCGGCAGGTACCGCGGAGCAGTATCGGATTTCCAACGGGCTGAATACCACGTTCTATTTTCTTTGAACCTAATGAATACCTCTCAGAATACGGTTTTTATGCTTGGACTATTGATTGCCTGTTTTATTGCTGCATATCAGGTCTCACTGGGACAGCGGGACGTTGGTGAATTTGTGTCGCTTCTCACATATATGGCGCAGCTTCAAGGCCCTCTGAACTTTTTTGGCACGTTCTACCGTTCCATCCAATCGGCATTGATCAACTCGGAGCGGTTGCTAGAGCTTTTCAGAGAACAACCGACGGTTGTTGATATGCCTAGTGCTACTCCTTTACCAGTCTGCAAAGGTGACATTGTCTTTGAGAACGTCAAATTCTCATATGATAGCCGCAAACCTGCCCTGAATGGCCTTACTTTCCGCTGTGAGCCGGGAACGACAACAGCCTTGGTTGGTGAATCTGGTGGTGGCAAATCCACCGTTTTCCGTTTACTCTTCCGTTTCTATAATTCCGAATGGGGCCGTATTTTAATCGACGGGCACGACGTGAAAAACACCACAATTGATTCACTCCGGAAGCATATTGGCGTTGTGCCGCAGGATACTGTTCTCTTCAACGAGACGTTAATGTACAACCTGAAATATGCCAACCAGAATGCGACAGACGAGGACGTCTACGAGGCTTGCAAAGCTGCCAGTATACACGACAAAATCATGTCCTTCCCAGATAGATATAACACTAAGGTCGGTGAACGCGGTCTACGACTCAGTGGAGGAGAGAAACAACGAGTGGCTATTGCTCGTACCATCTTGAAAAATCCGCGTATCATTCTTTTGGATGAGGCTACAGCCGCGTTGGACACCGAGACGGAGGAACATATCCAGGGAGCTTTGTCCACTCTCTCTCGCGGCCGCACCATGCTTGTAATCGCTCATCGACTAAGCACCATCACGACTGCGGATCGCATCCTAGTCTTGCATGAGGGCAAGGTCGCGGAGAGTGGTACTCACGATCAACTCCTAGCCATGAAAGGCCGCTACGCCAGTATGTGGCGGAAGCAAATACGAGCGCAGAGGGCTGCGGCAGAGGCCCAGGTACTCCAAGATCGTGCCCAGCGCTTGCGCAGTGCATCAGCCTCGGGCGTTGTCGGAGATGATAGTTCTAGCCAGTCTGACGAGGACCGGAATGGTAACCCTCATGCCTCTGCGATCCGACAGACACAGGGCCATCACTGGCCCGCGCACGATCAGAAAGCATAGAGCAGAACCTGAATACGTCAGCGCCGGGAGTTATCTCAGGCGTCGTTTTCAGTCACATATAAAGAGTTTATACTTAGAGTGTCCGAGGGATGATATACCAGTCTAGGGTTGTTTTTGTCCTTTTCCCCTTTTCCTTTTTTTGCTTTTTGGGAACATGCACTTGCAGGGATACACCTTTCGTTTTCGTTTCTCCCCGTTGTTCCAGCCCTGCATTACTTATCTTGTTCCATTCATTTAAGTCGGTAAAAATGGCGTTCTAAGTGACTAACGACTTGTATGACGCACTCTCTTGTCAATTCATACGAGACTTGCTGAAGAGGCAGCAGGTTAGGGTTGGATCCGTGAATATATTTCCTAGACCAATTACACTTTGAAAATAATGCATGATACTCGTCCATAGCAAACCATAATACGAACTATGTAATCTTCCACATTACTCCATATCTTTGAGGATTGCTTGGACGCGAGCGGGCTACTGCTCGAGGTGACTAGGCGTGGTAATACTATCGCCAACAGACATAAGAGGGGACAGAGAAGGTAGGCTACTCCAAAGCGCCTGCAATGGCAAATGGTTGTTAGACATTTCGAACATTATATGTACAGAATGGCATAAAGCATTACATATACACGCTCTAATTTCGTTTGAGGAACTTCTGTGGTATGTTCTTTTCCACGATCTGCATCCTCTCAAGCTGTTCAAGTCGATAGGCAGCGTCGTCTTCCTCGTCATGCCTCCGGAAATGCTCGATATCCTCTGGGTGAGTGAGGTCTTCCTCCTTGGCATCATCTCCATGATACTTCTCGAAATGATGAATTTCATATTCATATTCGATGTCGCCATGGTGGCCAGGTCCAAATCCGAAATCAGGCAGACGCTTGCCCTCGGCAATTAGACGCATCCAATTATCTCGAGTAACGAATCCAGTGTTCCCAGGGTCAAAAAGCCCGAATACTTCCCGGACAGCCTGTTGCTTGCGCTCTTCGCTCACACCTGCATTTGACTCATCATCGAGACCATATGTCTTCCGTACCTCATCGGCTGTCCATGCCCCTGAGTTATCATAGTCGTGGAAAGTAAAGAAGGATGCAGGATCAAAAGAATCAATGTGGTGCTCCTCTGTCATTTACGGATATTAGAAGCGTTCCTCTAGACTCCTCCAGAGCAATTGAACTCAGTAACGCACCTTGCATGTGCCGAGTAGCCCAGTCCGAAGAAGGGTTTTGCTCACTCGAGTGAGACCCATGAGCGTTCGCGAAGCTGCCGCTCAGGGCCAGGAGAACGGTAGCAAGGGACACGGAGCGGCCGAGCATTTTCAATTTACACAACCTCAAAATTGTGTAATAAAGAAAATATCAAGATTGTTTCAGTATACAGCCAGTAACGACTATTTTCAACCCTGTTGATGTGACCTTTTTTTGAGTGCTAACACCTGGATTCGGAGAACGAACTGCCCATTCAGTAGATATGCTGTTTGCAGTGTTTGCAGCCGCTCCGCCGAAACTTACGACTTTTTGTCCGACAGCACATGAACCACTTTTCCGTTTCTGCGGTACACACTCCCTTGTCCAGACATACGCCATTGAGCCCCTAAGGGCTAGCTGCTGAGTATCGCCATTTTTTTGTCATTGAAATTCTCCTTACAGGAAATGTTGCGGTAATGCAGAGCCTTTGGTCCCGGGCCGCCTCGGCGCGCTCGACTTGTCATTGCGTTTCTTGTCTAAGCACAGCGACTCCCGGACTAACGTCAAGGGCGGCATCAGCAGCCAGTAAGAGACGGTTAAGAATTGGAAACTCGGTCACAGCACTATACACGAGTATCTTTGCGGCGGCAGCTTTAGCTGATGCCCAAGCCAAAGATCAACGACGCCATGAATGGCAGGAGAAGATCGCAGCTGTGAAGGAAGAAGTCAACGAGTTAGTGGACGAGGAACAACGCCTTTTGGCAACTATTTCAGCACGACGGAAGCGGAAATCATTATTTAATGGAGTGTTAACAAGCCGGCAATACAGCACTGCTGCCCCATCATCACCAGGGCGAATCCGAAGTTCTATAAACGATATACCGTCACCTTCTCTCGCCCCCGACGCCCGCTGGCAAGATACCTATGAAACTCGACTCAGGGATGGTCTTGAGTCTTATTCCGATGAGGGGGATGAGTGTGACAGTAAAGACCTGGAGGATCTGGTCGCAGAAAGTGAGGACCCGTTGTTGAACGATTCAACCGAGGAGTACGGCTTCAGCCTTGCAGACGACACTTTTCCCGAGTGGCTGTCATACGACATAGTCCGCCAGAAGGTCATACGGAAGCTTGCAGTAAAACAGCTTGCTATACGACTCTTGCTACGTCCGGCAATTGCGCACTCTTACATGGGGCTTCGGATGAAATACATTTCCGATGGTTCAGTGCCCAAATTGAATGTAGCAGAGCTCCTACACGAATTGAATCAAGTACGGATCAGGCTACAGGAGCTGAAGACAACAAGAGATATGAATATCGATGATTTGGCAAGGGATTTCCGTGTACGCAACCACCAGGAAATAGCTTGGGAGAATCAAAAACTCGACCGGGAGATTCGCCGCGACATAGAACTATTCCTCGAAGGGTCTATGTCTCTTCAAGAGCTTCTTCTGAGGTTGTCCAGCAACCTGCTGCAGGCTACTGATCCTGACAGACCGTATTGCCTGAGGATGATGCTTTTAGCGTTCACCAAATGTCGTCAAAATGACCTAGGTGACCTGGTCCTAAAGACATTATTGCCAAACAAATTTCCATTAACCTCCTCTTTGATTCTCTCAATAATAACCTTTTACCGCAAGTCCAAAGACCTCAGAGCATTCGATTTGTTTATGGAATTGTTGTGTGGGGATAGCTACCCGGTAGACATGTCCAACATAGGGTATTTTAAGCGGACAGTGATCAATGGCGTCGAGATCTCAATACCTTCCTCGCATACCACTAATTCGATTATGTTCTCTACATTAATCACAACTTGCCTGCGCTTCGATCAGCCAGACCGAGCAAATGCCTATCAGCAAGTCGCAAGAGCAGCAGGGTATATGGATGATTTTGCAACCCTTTTCGCCTATTTAAAATTTTACGGTATTCGCCGTGATTGGAAGAACGGGGTGGGGGCCATCAAAAGAGCTTTGGCTTTCATGGCATCGTCCACGGAACACGAGTTATACCGTGTCGAGAGGTTGGTAGTATTGATGGTACATCTGTGTGATGTTTGCGAAAGATACGATGTCTCCGAGGCCATTATCGTAGCCGCGGTCGAAAACGGGTTTGACTGGAGGACTGCACAGAGGCAAGTAGACGTCAAGTTCACATTTGATCCTCACTTTCGCCGATGGCACGTAGCTGAGGATGCGTCAACTATGAAGGCAATCAAGGAAAGGCCACTGTGGGAGAGAAGTTGTACTTTCGTTAATACGGTCGGAGAACAGCTGAACGACCTTTCCCTGCCTGAGGAGGAAAGTTCTGCGAGGAAATGGCATAAGTTGGTGGGAACATACTCCCAGGAAGTTCTATCAGCTGTGCTCGCTGGCCGCCCTGCCGAGCATAAGAAACCCGAAGAGGACGGGCAACAGAACCTGCTCAAAACCATTGACGTGGAGAACAACAGATTCTATAACGCTGAGGCTACGGCAAAAGCTCACCAAAAAGAGATCATTGCCCTGAAGGACCAGGTTGCGCAGCTGAAACGAATGGTCTTTGACTTAACAAAACAATCTGCACTCGGCAATTCCCAGTCTAGTCCCCAAGAACTTGGACGATTAAAGGACAAGCTTCGTCATAACCCGCGCGTGCTCGAGCCCTCAGTGAACATTCGATACGGTGGAAATTGAAGTCTTAACGAGTGATATCCTCCCAATGTCCACCTGGCGCATTGTGTTCATAGAAGGGTCGGGTTGGAAAATCTGTACATCATAGGTGTTTATTGAAGGGCGTACGTTTGGTCTCTATTCTCATATCCTCTGCTATATATATTAAGACCTGCAGGGTTTGTACATTATTACGACAGAAACTAGATTTTCTCATCTTCAGGCTTTGTTAGTCTGGACCTCTTCTATAGCCTCTTACTTTACGTATGTAGACTGTATCGATTAAGGGAACTTGTGCCCGAAAAATTCATTCTTTCTTTTATTCTCATAAAAATATCGGCAAGCGTCCTTTCTATACCATTAAGGACATTTGTGGGTAGTCTCGGGTCTAACTGCATCCCATCGGGATAGAAAGTGATCAAGCTTCCGCAACAGAGCCTCACGTAACTCAACGTCCAGGTGGTTCACAGACGGAGAGGAAGTATCTCTTTAGGCCAACGCCCCAATAACTTAAAATAGCATAAGATGTCAAAAGTGATAAACAAGTCTATAAACGAAACATGGACAATAGTTTAACGCCTCCGGCTAGAATCGCTACGCAGCTTCTCTTTACGAGACAGCCTTTCTGCGGCACGAAGCAATGCAGAGCGAATTTCGCCCTTAGGGAAGGTCATGATGTCATAATAAGTAGGTGCGATATCCTGTAAGACCATTAGCCAAAGGCGTATTATGGTGGGAAATAAAGCAAGTGAAACTTACAATGAGCCACTCAGGCTTAACTGCCGTGACAGTTCTGATGTAGTTTTTGGTCGTGAGCACGAATTCATTGTACACAACCCAATCAGCGTCATAGCTTAGAACAGTCGACGGGTGCAAGAGGACGTTCTGGTTGTCCTTAATAGTCGTGTATTTGCTCTTGCCTTGAGATTCCTTCTTCGCAACCTGCATGAAGAATCCAGCACAGAGAGCACGTCGGATGTTTTCGTAGTAGTTTTTGTCCTCAAAAGGCGTCGAAACCATTTCAAGCTCCTCACGCTCCATGATCCGCAGGAGCTGCATGCGCACATTATCTGCCGACTGGAGGGATCGCAGGGAAAGGAAATGATCATGGCACCACTGCTTGGGGTTCTCTTGTGCATCTTGGCCCTTGAAAGCATGGTATACGTTAAGGAGGGTAAGGTGGTCACCATCGGGGTGAGCAAAGAGGTTCTTCATCTCATCCGCCCGCTTTCGTTGAGATGCGGGTCTCACGAACACCTGAGGAACCGAAAGCAAGGCTGTGATAGAGAGGATTTCATTTGAACAGTAGAATTCGGGCGAGCTGATCAGCATAACCGCAACCGCAGGATCAAGAGGAAACTCCGAGGCAAGACGTCCAAGTTGGGTTAGATTGCCATCATCATCAAGACAAGCTAAGTAATTAAGCTCTTCGAGAGCTCTCATAAGCGTTTCCGGAGCGGGGGGGTCCATCAAATCGAAGTGAACCAGGTCATCAATTCCAAGCTTCTTCAACTCTAACACAGTTGATGAAAGGTTGGACCGTAAAATTTCCGGATAGGTCTGGTCAATCAGTTCCTTCTTGAAGGCACCTTCGGTATAAAGACGGAAGCACTTTCCGGGACGCGTACGACCTGCACGACCGGCTCTTTGTTGTGCAGAGGCTTTGGAGATGGGCGACACTAGGAGGGACTCGACACGAATGCGAGGGTTGTAGATTTTCTGCTTCGAGAAGCCGGGGTCCACGACGTAAACGATGCCATCGATTGTGAGCGAAGTTTCGGCAATGTTGGTGGAAATAATGACCTTTCTACCGGGACGACCTCCAGGGCGACGGGGTGGTGGAGCCGGGTCGAAGATGCGTTGCTGCATATGCGGAGGAAGACTACCGTAAAGTGTATAGACTTTCAAGGGCCCAGCATCGACTTCTCTCACCATCTCATCTGCCTCCAGTGAGACTTTGCGCGCAGCATCCTCAATCTCTTCTTCACCAGTCAGGAACAGCAGTATATCACCATCATCCTCCGTAGCATGAATTTGCAAGACAGTGCGAATGGCGGCCTCCACATAGTCCTGCTCAGGCTCAGGAGTATAGAAAATCTCGACTGGGTGAGTACGACCGGGAACTGCAAGAAGAGGAGCATCGTTGAAGTAGCGCTGGAACTTTTGGGCATCCAGGGTAGCAGACATGATAATGATCTTCAAATCTGGTCGACGTTGTACGACTTCTTTGAGAAGACCCATGAGAACATCAGTGGCCATAGTTCTTTCGTGGGCCTCGTCCAGGATGATAGTGCTGTAACGGTTGAGATTGTGGTCGTTCATTGCTTCTCTCAACAGCATACCATCCGTCATGTACTTAAGACATGTCTTGGGGCTCGTCATGTCTTCAAAACGGATGCTGTAACCCACTTCCTCTCCAAGTTTGACATCTAACTCAGCAGCCACACGTTGCGCTACTGACATAGCAGCCACACGTCGAGGCTGGGTACAAGCGACCATCTTGCGCTGGCTTTGTGGCTGATCATCGAACAGGACGAACTGAGGGATCTGGGTAGTTTTACCGGAACCAGTCTCACCGACAAAGACTAGGATCTGTGACTGCTGGTAGAGTTGAAGAAACTCATCTCTTAAACATGAACATTAGAGGTCGCTCACTTGTAAATAATCGCGATTAAGAGAAGAGAACTTTTGTACTTACCTCTGCGCATGGACAGGAAGATCGCGCCGAGTTTTTAAAATCGAGAAATATTTGCTGGAGTATGGCTGGCCGTTGAAAGGGTTGATATCTCCATCTTCGATCTTCTGTGCCTGAGCGGCAGTCGACTGATGTCTCTTCACCTTGGCAAATGGCGAATCCTTATCTGCAGCCCATTCGTTGCCGTTCGAGGAAGCGTCCGCATACATATGAGCCAGGTATGGATTGTCCTTGGGATCCGTGCCAGCTTTATCCATCTTTTGACGCTTAGCACGCAAACCGTCTTCGGAGTCAGAGCGACGATCGACCATGGCGCGTGAAGGGTAAAAGAAGGACGGGGGCCAGAAGTTGTTCGTGCAGTTGAGTCTCACGTACTCGACTCCGCAAGTCAACTTTATTGATGGATTGAAAAAAAAGTATTCCTGATAAGGCAAGTCGGCCGCACATCGCCACAGCTGCTCCGTCTCCATTTTCACATTCACCGCCTTGATATTCTGCCGCCACTTTGACCCCACGAAGAGGTAAGGGACTGAATGATGGGATGGATTGAATCGCGACTCAGGCCTAAGACAGGGTAGGGTTGATTCCTTAAACTTTTGGCGAGGGGTGAATGACATTTACTAGTCCGATTATTTCTATTATATCTTCTTTTCTCCTCAGAATCGTTCCGGAATGGTATTCAGAACTTATCTTGGATCCATGCTCAATTGACCTGATATGCGGGACTAATCCTCCACACAGATACCGTGTCAAGAATAATCTCTCTCCAAAATCTATAATTGATTTCAGTCTCTCCTATCTTACGCGGAAACTGATTCGACTCTTTGAGCATACTGTGACATACTATTTTTTTGCAAATTAAAGAGGAATTTTTATTGTGACATTTGGAAAAGTTCTTTTTGTTTACTAACATGGAAGGCTTCAGCAACCCAGAGGACATGGGACCTAGTTTTTGCATTGGACAACATGAGAGCAAACGCACAGTGCCGATTACGACTCAGGTCGTGCAGGCAGCACACGAAAGCAATGTATGAATGGCAAAATTCCGATCCCCTGTTCTGCGTGCTAACGTCTACTCTCGATCAGTATGACATGCTTACCGCCCCTATAACTACATCTCATTTCCATTCCCGGGTCCTCAGTCTGCTCTCTTCGCACCTGTCCAATGTACAGGCAGCTTCTCCTGATGCTCATGGAACTATGGCCACGACGCAAAATACACGGCCCCTGGTTATCCCGCCGTTGGCACCTTCGGATACTCATTTGACTCCTAACGAAGCAATGACCCAGGTTGTGGGTGTGACAAGCTCATGGATCGATCTTTGTTCGCCAGACCCATTGATTGCAGACATATCCCGCCAGGTCCTTATGTTGGAGGTCGCTTATGCAGCCTTTTGTGGTATCGGATACCTTCTGATCCCGGGCCCTAAACTGCACCACAAGGGCCTGCACTCAGAAGGCGTAGCGTATTACGCAAGAGCGATACAGGATGCCATCAATGTTGGTCCTTATATTCAATTTAACATCTGGCTGGGAGCGGTTGATAGTCCGGATCTCGAGGTTGACGAGATGGGCGACCTAGCTCCCCTTGCCCGGGAAGAATACCTTGTAAATTCGGACGAGAGACAACTACCGAAGGAGGACCCATATGGAACTTGGGAGGCTTGGGATACCATCAGGCGAACTTGTAAATATCACTCAAGGCTTTTCGTAGGTAAGAATGCATCGCCCGTCATTCCACAGGCAACTCTTGGGTTTCTGCCTTTATCAGTTGGATTATAGACTTTACGTGTATGAAGCTAAATCAGTTTTGCTAGCGCTCTCGTTACAGAAACACCTCCCTGGAATGTCTGTCCAATCTCGGTGGCACTCAGAGCCGGTTCGCCTGCTCACATTCAATGCCAATTCCTTCATCAAAAATCAGAAGGGTTACCCCGTTTTATCCAAAGCCCATCAATCTTTGATCGCTCGTTTTATGCGTCTTCGAAGCCCGCCATGGATTCTTCTGTGCGATGTCGGTATTATCCCAGGTGTAGACGCTGACAATTCTCATGCCACCAACATAGAGGGCGCCGAATACCCGAGTCTCGCACAGGCAGCAGTTTCCAACAAGAAGCATTACGACCCCACACCCCATCTTTCATACATTAGAAATCTTCAGCAGCGGCAGCCAGCTCGAACTGCTATCGAAAGGTTCGGCGTAGGCTACCAGGACTATCTCCAAGCCCCGCTGCAGCCACTGACAGTCAACTTGGAAAGTATTACGTATGAGGTCTTTGAGAAAGACCCTATTAAGTACGAATGGTATGAGCGCGCTATTGCAAAAGCCTTGAAGGACTGGGCCGAGCAGAAGAAGCCCACCTCGAATCCAGATGGCCGAGTTGTTGTCGCTGTGGTAGGCGCCGGCAGAGGCCCGCTAGTCACCCGAGCTCTTAAAGCGAGCGCCGAAACAGGCGTTGATATTGACATGTGGGCTGTGGAAAAGAACCCTAATGCCTTCGTTCTCCTCCAACGTCATAATGCTACTATATGGGGAGGAAAAGTCACCCTTGTTCAGTCGGACATGCGAAGTTGGAAAGGACCTCGAGTTGAGAAAAAGCCCTCTAGTTCGCAACCCTCAGCACCGGTGGGCCAGTCTCTCGGCATAGAAGATTCAATGCTTTACGACGCGGAGGCAGACCCGAAAAACAAAACACAAGCTTCTGAGGCGACAGCCTCTAACCCTCTTCCCGAGCTTATGCCTACTACTATTGATATCGTGGTTTCCGAGTTACTTGGCTCATTCGGTGATAATGAGCTTTCCCCTGAATGTCTAGACGGCATCACTCATCTTATCAATCCGGTTCATGGCATATCTATTCCCGAGTCATATACAGCCCATCTCACGCCTATTTCAGCCCCGAAGCTTCATGCTGATGTTGTTCATCAAACCATTTCCAACCCTGCAGCTCCAGAAACCCCGTACGTGGTGATGTTGCACGCCGTTGACTTTCTCTCTACGAACCAGCCTACCTTGCTGGGCAACACCACTGGCGGCGGCAGCTACCACAGCAACGTACGGTCCTCCATATCGACACTCCCTGGAAGCGAAACGCCGGCTCCGTTTGTACAGACTGCGTGGTCCTTCTCCCACCCTAATAGGCATATTCCTCCACAGTCTCCTTCCATATCGACAATCTCCAATGCGCACAATGTGCGCCGGACGCGCTTGGCTTTTCCTACCCAGAACCGTGGAGTTTGCCACGGTTTAGCTGGTTACTTTGAGACCGTCTTATACCGGGATGTTGAACTTTCGACTAATCCCGTTACCATGGATAGTAAGAGCGCGAATATGATCAGCTGGTTTCCAATCTACTTCCCCCTCAAGGTAAGCAATTACATTTCCCTCTAGGGCAGTGGGACCAGAAGATGCTAATGAGTATCACCTAGACTCCCCTCAATGTTCCTGATAATGGTGAGGTGGTGGTAACGATGTACAGGCAAACGGATGATCGGAAAGTCTGGTACGAGTGGATGGTTGAAGTATTTGCTCTTGAAGGCCACATGGAATCCCCGGCCCCAGAGTACATCGCTCCTGTTATGAGCGGTGCCCGAGGCGGTTCTCCTAGTGCCGACGGTAAGCCGCAACAGCGGAAAAGCAGCGGTCGTAGTGGGATGCGCCGTGTGAAGGTGGGGATGAGTGAACTGCACTCGAGCATCAAGGAGGGATGCCTCATGTGAAACAGGCGATTATGGTTATAGTAGACTTTGACCGTGTGAATTCCATCATCTGTCATGTGCGGATGACGTCGTCTCACAAACAGGAATATGGAGAACACAATGATTTGCAGGAGATAGGGCAAATACAGTTTTTCTGAGTAGTAGCATGTTTTGGGTATCAATACCTCCTCCAACTGTGTTTCTTTATTGATCGAATATACTTTTGTATCCTAATCATGGCTTGTTCTCAACGAAACTCACTGGATAATCAAACGATCAAAGTTATAGAGGGGGAAGGGAGCTGTGTATGCCCGAGCATGCATGCATCCATCTCAGTTTCCCCAAGCTATGATCAATACTTGTGGTGGTTGATGATTCAGCCTCTTGTGCTACCGATAGGCGCCAAAGAGTTGAGTCAGGTGAACCGAGCTTGGGCCAAACGGAAGGCAAACCGTGAACAAGGCGCGCATGGATAAAAGCAAACCAGACACGGAGTACACTGGATGCAGTTAGTTACACCTGCACCTACAGGACACCTGTGCTTTGTACGTTTCGCTCCAAGAAGAAGGGGGGTGCAGATCAAGGGTGTGGTTGAGCAGCAGGAAATCAATAGTGCGACGAAACATGCAAAAGAAGGGGTCTTGGAAGTCTTGGTACGCTGACGCTGTGGGATTGTTGAGTTATTGGCAACGTGGGTGGGTGGACCGCTATGGTTGGTGACGTTGATCACCGAAGGTTGTGGTTGTTATCGGTGCATGGGATGTGGTTCAAAGGTTCTGATTAGATGTTTTGATTACCTGTAGAGTATTGCTTGGTTCTTCAAGCGACGTCTTGGTTCGCCTTCCAATCTATCCGATATCAGTTGATCTAGTAAATTTACCGAATCGGAGAGTCTTGATTGGTATTCTTTGTAGCATTTAGAAGGCGGGGGATCTCATTTGAATTCACACAGCGGACTACGCGGTAACTTATACCAACCGTCTTAAGTAGGTTAATTATATGTACCTTAAAGAGGTCCGAGGACTGTTGAGACAACCTTGTCTTGGTAGCGAAGGGGGAGTGGTGCTTCTAGAAACTCGCCTTATCATAAGCCTCGGAGTTAGCAAGGCGGCGTGCAGTGGACGCCCAAAGGGGAGCGCCGAGCCCTGTTCCAATTCAATGAGTCCCCCTCCTCGATGACCGTATCGTTACAGGATCGTCACGGTCAGATGCATCACCGATACTCGGGATCTTACAGAGTTACTTCAGCAATACACCGGTCATTACCCATACTCCGGCCAACCATTTCGCATTCCGATCACCTGTAAGGCCGCGTACCAAACGGCCGGGGGCCCGTCATCATTCCTTCAGGTGTACTCCGGAGTATGATGCATCTTGCGAGGCAAAAAAAAAAAAAAAAGGGTTCCCATACTAAAAAACTAGTCTATCAATCATTCATACACTTACTCCACACAAGGAGGAAAAAGAAATTACACTCCCACACACTTGCTCTTCTCCCTTCCACCTGTAAGATCTGATTATTTCTATTCTTATCAACGGACGTCTGCACCCGCCTCGAATTTTCTTCCTTCCCTTACTCTATCTCCATGACTGCATGCGTGATTCGTCGCTCGACCATCGCTCCGAAGGTCGTGGGTTGACTTACTACATACTTGTACCCTCTATCTACGACTTGAACCTAATTCCGTCTTGTTGTCTCCGCAATCATAAATTGCCTTGACAGCATCCGTTATCCTTCTCCTTGTTCTTCTCCTTATTGTCGATCGATTTCCTTATTCCCTCCATCTTACGCTCACCAAATACCGACTTGATTTCCTTCGCGCCTTTACCCTCCCGCCACATACAGACCTGAAATGGTTCACTCAACGGGCGAGGAACGCGCTGTACACCTCACACGAGAGGCGATTGAATTAGTAGACGCTGGTCATCGTGAAGTATGTGTGATCCTTATCTCATTTCTTAATGCCACTTTCCTCGGCTTCTTTGGTTTTCTTTGGCTTTCTGTGCTCTCCGCGTTTCTTCCATTGTCCCGCTTGGTCAACACTTCGTGTGGAGTCTTATCGATAATCCGCTAACGTATTACTTTCCAACCCGATCACAGGCTGCCTCGCGGAATCTCCGAGAAGCCCTCTCGTTAGCCCCAGACAATCCAGCTGTCAGAGAAGCTTTTATCAAAATCCAGGAAGAGGAGACAACTGGTCATCATTTGCTCGATCTTTGCCGGCGTTACACTTCTCGCAAAGACGAAAGTGCTGGAAAGGATGCCGCCCTTTATCTGCGCACGGATGGTCTTAAACCTCCGGAGGAGGTCGCCTTAGAATGTGCCAAACTTTTGCTAGCGCACAAAGCACATGCGTTATCTTCGTTGCAAGATGATATCATTTCGGGGTTGGTTCGGCAAAATGCCAGCGTTCGTCAGTTTTTCTCAGACAAGCTGCAGGTCTCCGTGACTACGTTCTTTGATGAAATGTACGATAGAGGCGACGGCGCTGCAGTATGTCTTGATACCGTCGTCTTGGATCCCTCAGTATGGCCTTCTGAAGCTGCTCGCTTGCATTGTGAGCGCGAGCTTTTCCTGTTGTTCATCGCTAAGCTCATGGAGTCAGGCCATGACTTGGACGGTCGCTCTCTCAAGGGAATCGCGCGACTCCTTGCTGTTGATGCGTCTAAGTTGCAGGACCAAGTTGATGATGAAGAATTGGATGTAATCCTGTCCTCCTTGGATCATAGGCTGCCCCTCGAATGGAGGAGTCAAGCTACTTTAGCGACCGTCAAGTATCTTGAAGCTTCCCAGGAAACCGGACAGAACCGGTTCACAAAGCTCATCTCTGCCAAACTTACCAAGGCGCGCGTTGATGACCATATCGTCGCGTTTTCGGCTACAGCCGCTGTTTTTCCTGTAATCCCGGAGATCGCGGCTACTCTGTTTTTATCGGAAGAATTCATGGCCTCCCTAACACCCGTATCTGCCAGAGATGCCAAGCGCCGGAGAGTAGAGGTTTCAGTGTTGGAACTCCTGAATGCTGCTTGTATCAACAAGGCCTGCCGCGAAGCCATCACCAAGAATTTCTCTGATTGGCTTTCTCACACATTGACGAACGGCAGCGACGAGTCGTCCGAATTGGCAGCGGTGGTATTGGCTAAGATACGCGTCTCTGACAAGGATGCATCGGGATCTAATGGCCAGGTGCAGGGTGACGATGCCAGCGTTGCTGAATTGGTTGGACGATTTAAGACTATAATGTCAAGTCGCAAGGGTGAGAATGTTCAAAACGTGATTGAGGGCTTGGCATACTCATCCGTGAAGCCGATTGTGAAGGAACAACTTGCCAAAGACTCTACTTTTCTGCGGGACCTGGTCAAGGTCTTGCATGAGAACTTGTGCGATTCGTCGGTTCTCTATGGTGGCCTAATGATAATCGTGAACATCACCCAGTTCCTTCCAAATATGAGTGAAGAACAAAAGAAGATGTCTCAACTGAAGTCGTATGCAGAGGCTTCTCCCGATGCCCGGGCGGGCCCAAATCCCCTCGAGAAGGACGAAAATGTTATCGCTCGTTGCAATGCCGTCATTGAAGCTGGCATCATGCCGCTTTTTATTGAGTGCAGCAAATCAAACCTCCCCTCTGTCCAGGGCCTTGTAAGCAAGATCATGCTTTCACTGTCCCGGAATCAGAAAACCAGAGGAACCCTAGCCCAGCAGGGCGGTGTCAAGCTATTGCTCAATATTGGCACTTCGAGACAGGGGAGCTCTGGCTCGATTGCAAACGAAGCTGTGCCTAATGCCTCCCACGCATTGGCCCGCATTCTTATCTCCGTAAATCCGTCACACGTGTTCCCTCCATCTGGATTTCCGCAGGTCACTTCGGCTATCCGACCCTTAACTGCACTTCTGGTGGTCCCTGAGACTTCGGCGGACCAGCCACGCGATCTTTTGCCCATTTTTGAAAGCCTCCTTGCGCTCACGAACCTCGCTTCTCATCCGGATGAAAGTGCGCCGGATGCCATTGTCCGACAGGCATGGTCAGTGATCGAGGATTTGCTGCTTTCCAACAGTACCTTGATTCAACGGGCCGCATGTGAGTTAGTGTGTAACCTGATGACTTGTGAGGCCGGGATAGTGAAGTTCGCGGACGGCTCTAAACGGGCAGGGCAACGCCTGCATATTTTGCTAGCTCTTACTGACACTGATGATATTGCAACCCGGAGAGCCGCTGGAGGTGGTCTAGCTATGCTCACTGAATTTGATTCCGTGGTCGCTGCCGTCTTAGACAAGCCTCGTGGTGTACCGCTCTTGCTACGTCTTTGCCAGGAAGATGATGAGGGGTTGTTGCACCGAGGGGTGGCATGCGTGCGGAACATGAGCTGCATCGCGTCAGGTGATATTGGCCGGCGCGCAAAAGAAGCCCTGAAGAAGGGCGGTGCGGTTGATATATTGACTAATGTGCTGAAGAAGTCGAGGAATACCGCGGTCCTCCAAACAGGGGTTGAAGCATTGAAGCCTCTTGTTGAGTGATATTTTTGATTCATTTTAATTTCATATGGGCTCCTAGTCTGTCCTATTTCTTGCTTGTTAGCGATTGATTGTTTTATTCAGGCGTGGGCTATGGATGACTTTCTATGGTGTTTTTGTTTTTCTGGCCTGCGTATCGGCGTTGCTTGTCTTTTGTAGCTTTTGCAGGCAGCTTCTTCCTATTTCCCATTCTGTTATCTTATGATTTCCCCGGTTTATGAGGGCTAGGAACGGCTCGGTGTCGTTTTCAGTTTGGCCATGAGGGCACATGCGCTTTACCGGGTCACTCATAGACCAGAATGACTGATGTTTGTGATGTATTCTCAGTGGGCTATCTAGAACATTACATGATACAGTTTCGATATGAGTTTTAAAACAAAGATTCTTTTCCCCTACTCACCTGCCATGTCACTATCCACTACTAACATCTCACGAACCCCAAACTGTCTCCATCCTAAACTATACCCATGCTCTTACTCTTAGCACGTCTCAATTTCTGCTTCCTCTCTTCCGAAACACCCTGCACCAACAATTGCAACCCTCTCCCCGCCATCCACTCAGCATCAGCAAGGACCGACTCAACCTCCGCCTCCCAAAACCCCGTCCTCGGATAATATACACTCTCAGGCTTCGCCCACTTCCAAACGGGCGCCAGCCCACCCCTCAACAAATCCTCTGACTCAACCCCAAACACTGTGATAACAAATATGCGAAAGTCAACCTTCCCACGATTCCTACAACTAGTCGTATCACTACCGCCGCCACCACCACCACCTCCTCCTCCTCTCAACTGAGAAATAGCATCATCAACAGCCTCCCGATTCCCCTTCCCTTCAACTAGTGACACAAAATAACGATGCAGAGCAAGAGAATCACAGACGCCCTCTATGGGCGGAGGAAAAGTCCCTACCTCTTCGAATCCGCGAATATAGTGTAATTGGGCCTCTGTGAGCTTTGTTACGATAGCGATGGCTGAGTCGTGGTTCCAGTAGTGGAGGACCGTGGGGAGGATCTGGGCGTCTTTGCGGGTGATGCTGATGAGGAGGGTGTGGGGGTGGATGTGTGTTTTAAGGTCTGGGTCTTCCGGCTGCGTAGTGGTGTGTTGTATTGTCTGTTGTTTTTTTTTCGGGGGTTTCGTTAGAGTTGGTTCTATTTGGGGTTTCGGGTATGGGATGGTATGGGATGGGTGGTCTAGGGGGGGCGTACATATACTACGGGGCTTTGTTCGGGTGGAATTGGATATGGTGGTGGTGGTGAGGTTGCCATCTTGTTTGTATATTGGGGGGTTGGGTGGTTTAGGTATGTTGGGCTTTGGTATAGCACTGGGATTTTGTGTTGCGGGGGGGGAGGGAGTGACTTGATAGGAGTTAAATCACTTATATACAGTGCTTACATCCTTGTTTACCTTGCATCTTAGTTCAGTTCTACTCTTTTCTAGGGGGGGCTTCTTGTTGCTCGTTTATATACATCATTTGAACATTTTTCTTTATATCAGAGACTCGGATACCTCAAGATATACTGGAAAATGAATCCCATTACTTCAAAATGCTACGATCGGCGAAGTCTGGAATCCAGTAAATACATCGTAAACATTAAAACAAGGATCATATGCTCCGATAACCGAACCCCTCATCCCGATCACGGCTGACGCTGCAAACCGACATCAGAGTCGGAAAGCGGGGATGACCATGGGCGGCGATGTGCTCCTGTTAGTCTTATGCATTATTGAGTTAAACGCAACCCACCCCCCACCCCGAACACCCACCACTGTACCTTGGCACTTACCGTACTTTGTGTGAGTTGGTGAAATGAGTTTCGGATTATGGTAGGTACAGTACCATGTGCCGAGATAGAGTGAAAGCAAGGAATATGAATGTCACCAGGTAGAGGTAACGGTGTCTATTATGACGCCGACGGGCGGTTATTTTGGTGGATAAAGTCCAGCATGATCACCTGAATGGAACGCTGGGGGAAACAATGATAGCGGTTAGTCTAGAACAAGGAAGCTACACAGTACGTGCGTTAGGAGAGGAACGATTGACGATGGTGGGCAAATAGTTCGACTCTTATAGAGTGGAGGCTAGCCAATCAGGGCGGTCCATTGCTTCGGTGTACTGGTCATGCCGACATATCGTACCTTAAATACCCATCGTTGGTGGGGTTAGCTTCTGGAAGTAAAGGAAAGAATGCCGGTGATAAAAACAGAAATTCAATTGGCATCGTGACGAGTGATGCATCGAACTGGTGGCTGTTTGTCCATGTGAGGTGGGACTCCTGAGGGAGTGTGGCAGGAATTGATAGAGTACGTGGTAGAAATAATGTAAGACTAGGCAATTGATTGCTCTCGAAATTCTCAAAAATAATCTCGTTCATAGCTCAATACTAATAGTACTAAATACTAGCTTCTATAAAGTCCTAGTATTATGTCTGCCCTACTTTGGGTTGTGGATCGAGATATATTTTGTGAATCCGTGCAACGTAGTAATCAAAGTGGGCGACATTTGACCACAAGACCAAAGAAGTCAACTCCATTTCTCCGCACCAGAAACAGAGCAAGGGGGGAGAAGTCATCCAGAAGAACCCTAATTTCGAATATTGTTCCATAGCTCTCTTCTTTTCCCCAGAGTCTCTTGCTCCCTTGCTGACTCCTCCATGCCTCTTGGTTTTGTTTAAGGGGTAGGGAAGGGCATGTGACATGCAGGGAAAACGCACGAGAAGGGGCAGAGGATTCGAAATGGAAATGGAACACGACGGTGTCCCCACCCTTCTTAACTCATCATTTTGTTTTGAGGGAGCTGGCGATGGGGAATGAAAGAGATTGACCAACTGAGTTCCACCGGCGGTATGCAACACGAACTCTGATTTGGCCTGTGGAAAGCTCGGATCAAAGTCTCGACCACCTTGAGCAAATGGGATGTTGTCTTGATGTCTCTCGTCTCCTCCGACGCTCCACGGCCCCTCTCCCGTCCCCGGGGTATGGATCATGGAGGGAAGTATTTATTGTTTAATACGGAATAAGCCCTGGAAGCCGTGAGACCATATATAGCGGTGGCGATCCGGAATTGAGGGACCTTAACAATTCCTTCACAAACCCACATATAAGTTAATTGGTCCTGACACATTCCCACTCGAATTACTTTATTGTGTCCTTTGCGACCGAGATTCTCACCTGAATTACGTTGCATTCACCCACGACCGTTCTACTACTGGATACGGAGGCTGAAGGCAAGCGTTGAATTAACCCTACCGTTTCTTCCCATCTGTAAGGTACAGTTTTTTTTCGCTGGTCCCGAGATTGAATCCCCCGGAACAAACAGTGTGGCGCGAGCAAATCAGAGATCGCCCGCCTTGCACGCCGAGCATTAATTCGCGGAGCTCCATTAATTTTGATCCTGAAGATTCAACGTTCCGCCTTCCCGGGCGTGTGCTCTGTTTGGCGCATCTCACTCGTTATTGCCCCTGTTGCCACTTCTGTTCTGTCGTTCCCTGGTTCCCTTACTACTTCCTCCGAAGGTATTGGCCTCTATTTCCTCCATGTGCCCTGTCGTTGAGCCTCCACTTGGTGGATGTCGGGCTTAGTACTCCGTATACCTTGACCACCCTCCATGTAAAGAAAGTCAAATTATTTTTTCTTTCTTTTCTTTCCTTTTGTTTTCTTTTTTTATTCACCGTATCCGAGCTCCCCTTACCGCATATTCTCTCCATATCGGCGTGTCTCACCGCAATTTTCCTGACTGGTTGAGCTTTTCACGTGCTGACTCCATCCACGCTATAGTATCATCTTGGACACTCCGCTCTCTCTTCCACATCTTTGCGTGTATTGCCACCTACGCGTTTCAACATCCTTTCTTAATTCATATAACCGTGAGAGTCTTTTCCATCTTGGCACAGAGACAGACATCTTGCGCAATGGCTTCTTTGTAAACTGACAAATGGCGCTGTCGCATTCGAAGTTTAAACTGTCCTTTTCCTTTGTCCCTATCGAATCCGCCTCTAGTTCTTGATCTATTACGCCACTTATCTATACTTTCTTCTTCTCAAGCCGGTGTCTGGAAGGGATTGCGTAAAAAAAGCTTTGGGGATCTCCAACATCTGAGACACTGTTATCGAGAGGATCTTACAGCCTGCTCATCTTCCTTGATACAGAATATACCCTATTGTGACTGCCAGAAGAAAAGCACACCATGAAATTCGGACGCAATCTTCCGCGGAACGTCGTTCCTGAGTGGAGCTCTTCCTATATCAAGTACAAGGCGTTGAAGAAGCTCATCAAGTCGGCGGCAGAAGATGTGAAGGCTGGCCATGAGGCAGACCTTGCCGGTGAGCGGTTTCTTTGATCTCCACGTATCTGGACCGCGGAGCGGTCTTCCTGACCTTACCCCCTAGGATTCTTTTACTCCCTCGATCGAAATCTCGAGGATGTCGACTACTTCTATAACAAGAAGTACTCGGATTTTGCTCGCCGCCTTAAGTTGCTAGAGGACCGGTATGGCCAATCTTTGGATGCTGGCCACCGTCTTGACTCTGAGGAGGTTGAGGACCTTTTGGCTGCCTTGCTTGAGCTACGCGGCCAGCTGCGGAAATTGCAATGGTATGGTGAAGTCAATCGCCGTGGGTTCATCAAGATCACCAAGAAACTTGATAAGAAAGTAGGCGTCCATGCGCAGCGGACTTATCTAGAATCGAAGGTCGATCCATCCCCATTCGCCTCGAATGCGCGAGTAACCGAGTCATTGAAGAAAATCAATGACTGGCTTTCGGTACTTGGTGAGCAGAAGGTCTCGGACGATGCCAGTTCCACTCGCTCTTCCCTCTCACTGAAGAGGGGTCCGGCTCGCCCGCACTTGAACCTGCCCTCGAGTCTGCTTGTCGCTGTCGACGAAGCATTACGCAAAGATGACACACATGTCCTCTTGGAATTGCTGGAAGACCTTAGAGCTTCTACGGACAATCTTGGAGGAAACATGTTCCCCAAAGTCCTCGAGAGCCTTTTGCAGAGGTCGATTTACTACCGCTCGAAATCTTGCATTTCCGCCCTGCTCGACAGAATTGACAGCCTTGACGATGAAGATGATATCAACAAGCGTAACTGTATACACAGATTAGTGATCTCGATCGGTCGGGCGCAGTCCACAACTGACTCGGAGGAGTCCGCTTCAATGGTCCTGGACTTCCCCCTTGAAACCTCCAATTATATTACACCCGCTGCCCTGCCAACACTGCAGCCTCCTCGGAATGTAGTGAAGGAGTCGGATCACCCTCAGCATTTGGATAGATCAGATCCGTCGGTGTCGCTTCTACAACACTTGCTAGACCAGCTCCAGCCTGAGCAACGAACTGCTTTGCTTTCTAAGGATATCTCGGGTCGTACCCCTTTGCACTACGCTGCTCAGTATGGGTTCAGAGTTGTTTGTGAAGTCATCATTGAGCACCTGCAGGCATGGAATATGTTTGACGTTTCTGGGGGTATCGATGGGCCGCACTGGCAGGATAATGACGGTTGGGCCCCTCTACATTTGAGCGTAGTTGGTGGTCACCCATTAACTACACGCACCCTTTTGGACGCTGAGAACTGGCGGGATGCCAGCCTGGATAAGTCGACCACCCGGAAACAGGTCTCGAAATCAAGCGCAGTACTTGCGATGGCCACAAAAGCAAACTTTGTTGATATCGTCAAGCTTTTGGTAGATGCAGGAGTTGATGTCAACTACCAGGACGAGCAAGGCGAAACCGCGTTGCATGTTGCAGCCCGGTTTGGACATCATATGTGTGCCAAGATCTTGTTAGACGGCAGCCATGACCAAAAGGCGGATACTGAATTGGCTGAGCACACGTATTCTTGGACGCCACTCTTCATTGCAAGTGTTGATGGATCGTTGAGCGTTGTAAACCTGCTGATTGAAGCTGGTGCCGACCTTGAAAAAGCCGACTCCTCCGGGTGGACTGCAAAGGAACATGCAGCGTTGAGAGGCCACCTTGACATCGCTCGACGTCTTGCTGAGCTTACGCCTGAGCCCGATGTCGCGGAAGCTGAGCCCGTGATCCCGATTCCTGTAGCTTCCTCGTCTCCTCCAGCCCCATCCTCTTTGATCGAGCGAAGGTCCAATACCAGCACGCCCTCCGGGAGTTCTAGTACGCGGGATGTTGAACCTGTTAAATCTTTTGGACACAGGTATCTTACCGACGAGGCCATGATCTTAGTGAGCCTGGGCACCATGGATATGCACAGGCCCGTGGAAGCAGTTAACCTGGATCGTATCCCAATGGAGAACGCTCATTCCACCCAGCTTGATACTGCATTGTCCATCGTAGTTTCTGCCAATGGGGCTCATGGCGAACCTGAGATCATCGATCTGCCTGTGCAAGACAATATCTCGACAGAGCCAATCGTTTTCCATACTGCCGATGCGACGAAAGTTAGACTTCTATTCGACCTTGTCCCGACTTATGCTGGTTCGAAAGACCAGGTGGTTGGGCGTGGTGTGGCGTTGCTCTCTAGCATTAAGCAAAGCGTGGGCTCCAATCGCATCAACCTGAAGGGTGACTCCACCGTGCCTATTGTGGCTGCAAACACCCTGGAAGTCATCGGCACAGTCACATTCAACTTCCTCATAGTCACGCCTTTCAAGCACCCGAACATGTCCATCACCGGTGACCAGACATATTGGAAGAGTCTGAGCTCGACCATGGTCATTGGGCATCGTGGCTTGGGCAAGAATATGGCTAGCCGCAATTCGTTGCAGCTAGGTGAAAATACGGTGCAATCATTCATTGCAGCCGCGAACCTTGGCGCATCTTATGTCGAATTTGATGTACAGCTGACCAAGGATCATGTTCCGGTTATTTACCATGATTTTCTCGTCAGCGAAACTGGAATCGATGCGCCTGTTCATACGCTTACGTTGGAGCAATTCCTTCAATTGGGTGACAGTGGCTCGTCTCGCCGATCTGGCTCCCCATCCCAGGCGCTTGATGCTCTTGGAAAGGATGCAAATACTTCTGCTCCTCGTCAACGCTCTATGTCTGTCGGTGGTTCTGAATATGACCCTGCGGAGTTAAACGAGAAAATCAAGCATACCCGCGATTTCAAGAAGAAAGGCTTCAAAGGCAATACCCGAGGCAATCACATTCAGGCACCCTTCGCCACATTGGAAGAACTGTTTAAGAAACTCCCCAAATCTGTTGGATTCAATATTGAGCTGAGTGAGTTACATAACCCTCCCTAGAACAGCTACGAGACGATCTGACTGAGATCGCCAGAATACCCCATGCTCTATGAGAGTGAGGAAGAGGAGATGGATACCTACGCCGTGGAGCTGAACTCCTTTGTGGATACGGTTCTTACCCAGGCGTACGAATTAGGTCAAGGCCGCAACATGATCTTCTCTAGTTTCAACCCTGACATCTGTCTGTTGCTTTCCTTCAAACAACCCTCCATCCCAGTACTCTTTTTGACGGATTCGGGAGCCTCCCCTATTGGTGATATTCGCGCTAGCAGTTTGCAGGAGGGGGTTCGGTTTGCGTCCAGGTGGAACCTACTCGGTGTTGTTTCCCAGGCTGAACCATTGGTACTCTGTCCTCGATTGGTCCGAGTCGTGAAAGAGTCTGGGCTTGTTTGCGTCTCCTATGGAACTTTGAACAATGATCCTGCGAATGTCAAGGTCAGTGTGTCCGATTATTGGCCTGTTTGTTAGGCTTGGCTAATATTTCCACAGCGCCAAGTGTCCGAAGGCATTGACGCAGTTATTGTCGACTCTGTTCTCGCCATCCGAAAAGGTCTTACGGAGCATCAGAGCAATTCGATCACTCCTCAACGCAGCCCACTCGTCCAACCTACCCCAGTTGCCCTCAAAGATACTCTTCAGATACCCATTCTCAACCAAGCTGAGCAGAAAGAGGATCGCCTTCACATAAAGCCGGACGCTGTAATTTGAGCGTCTACCATTCCATAGGCAGTTCAACATGCCATCACGCCGAAGGCATGGTTTTTATACCATATTAGTGAAATATAGATGTTTAGTGTTGATTTTGCAATACGTGCTTGAGCCATACTTGGTCACTCTTGGGTGTTTTTACGGGAAAGATTACCCAACATAATATATTTAGAAAATTTGCTGCCTTCTAATCACAGATCTTCAACACAAAGACAGGAAATAAACTGCTTTGGACAACTAGCGACAGCTTATCCTATATTCACCTGCCGCTACCAGCCGTAGACATACCATTCTTTTTATATCAGGCGCAGGAGATCCAATCCTGTTAGATGAATACCAACAGTAGCGTTCTTAAATGTGGTACTCGATATACTAAAGTATATGAAATGAGCATGCGCCCTAGCTCAAGGTCACGTGTACGGCAATCATCGGCATGACCCAAGATAGAGCTAGAGCTTTGATAACGCTACCGCTCCCAAGCCCATATCTTTCTCTCCCCAAGTCGACCAACGGAGAACAACTACCCAACTTCTCCCGGTGTCAAGTATCAGTTCGAACCAACCGATACTGCCTGGGCTGAGACGGGTGGTTGGGATCGGAACCAACTAAACCATCAGTCTTTCAAACGCCGACACCATCTCAAGTCTAATGATGTTATGACTTGACTGGTTTTTTTTTTAAACACCTGGCTCGAGCTTCTCTTCCACTTTCGCATATTTTCTTTTAATATCAGGTTATGTTCTTTTCATCTCTTACGAATTCATATAAATCACTGGAAAAGACCATATCATGAACGCCGTGGATGCGACAGAGCACTATGAGACGAGTGCACGCGGTAAGATCCATCTCATGCTATACAATAGTTATAGCTCTGCAAGAGACGACCCCAGCTCATATATCATGACCTTAAAGATCCTGCGCCCGCCCTCTTAACCGTCGTCCTCGACACGAACCCCCACGCATGGGCCCTCCTCGAAGATTCCCTCCCGCTCTCCAAGGCGATCGCAAACATCCTAGTCTTCCTCAATGCCCACCTAGCCTGTAACTACGCAAATGAGGTGGCTGTAGTAGCCTCCCACAGCCAAAAGGCGGCGTGGTTGTATCCCCGCGAAAACCCAGCCACGAAGACGGCTCAAGATGCCGACGGCGACGTCTCGATGAACGGGTCGTCGACCGATAATAATACCACCCAAGGACCAGGGCAGGTGAACAAGTACCGACCGTTCCGGATCGTGGAGGAGCAAGTTACGCACAATCTACGAGAACTGATGGCGTCGACTAGCGGGCCGGACGTGAAAGCTAGCAACTCGACGATGATGGCAGGGGCGCTTACGCTGGCTCTTAGTCATATTAACCGGCGGAGTATCGCGTGGGCTGAGGCCCATGGGGCTGATACGGCGGCTGAGGCGTCAGGTGGTGGCCCATCTAACGGTGGACATACTTCGGGGACGGACACTACGGAAGGGTTGCAATCGCGGATCTTGATCATATCCGTCAGTGGTGCCAGTGATTCTGCGCATCAGTATATCCCGATTATGAATAGTATTTTTGCCTGCCAGCGGCTTCATATTCCGATTGATGTGTGCAAACTGAGTGGCGATGCGGTGTTTCTGCAACAGGCTTCGGATGCTACTAAGGGTGTCTATATGTCGTTGACTGAGCCTCGAGGGCTATTGCAGTATCTAATGATGGCTTTTCTGCCAGACCAGCGGTCGAGAAGACATCTGGTTCTTCCGACGCGGGTCGATGTTGATTTCCGCGCGGCCTGCTTCTGTCACCGACGGGTTGTCGATATTGGTTTCGTCTGTTCTATCTGTCTGAGCATTTTCTGCGAGCCTCTGGAGAACGGCAACTGCCTGACCTGTGGCACAAACCTTGAAATGGGTGATTACGGGGCAAAGCCAGCCGTGGTCGCCCGAAAGAGGAAGAAAAAGAAGCGCGCGAACGGTCCGTCGGGCACAGCTACACCTACGCCTACGCCTACACCAGGACCCTGACAACCTCCTCCTTGCCAAACAATGTTTTCTGTTTCATGGCGGAGGGCGTGTGACAGACGTTAGGAGTAAGGTAACGTGTCTGCTACCTTTGGTCTCAAGCGATTTTAGCAGGTCGCGTTACAAATAACATATCCAGCTTCTATTTGGTATCCTATTACAGATACGTGTAGGAGGCAGTCACAAACTCCGGTCGACACACTCTGACATTCCACAAATGCCCTTCTCGAGAGTAAGACATTTTGAAAGAGATCCCCCGCTGCACAGGCAAACAGAGTGGGATCTATAGTCTTGAGGATTCTGGTCAACATCGCATCTCAGTTTCCTGCCTACATCGCTTGATTGATCGCCGAAGGAATGTGGAAGACAACAACACTATCCAACGTTAGGCAGACAGCAATTGGTCACCTGCACTTGGGTTGAAAAGTCAAGTTTGACTTGTATAATACACAAAATACATGAAAACATAGATAATAAGAGGACTTACTGTTGTGAATGGCTATGTTGTAGTACTGGGTACCTTGTACCTAACGACTTATGAGCTCAGTCGGGGTATACTTTGTAATTCTCACCATGAGGTGCTTTGAGCCTACCTCTGGGATCGGTAGGCGCGGCCACCTTGTGCGATACTCCCATTTCCATTGCTGCGTGACATTACAGACACCGGCTTCTTGTCCTCGCTGCTCATTGAAGCAAGTGCCTGAGTTGAAAGCGTTTAGTATAAGAGCTGAGCGATAAACCAGCGCTACCTACGAAAGAGTCTGTGTTATGGCCAAAACATAGGTACACTCCGTCGACTGTTCTCTTGACCGCCATTATTCCAATGGCACCCCGACAGTGGCTGTCTTTGACTCCTGGGTGGCCTAAGCAAGAGGGAGTTAGCCTTCTATATATAGACGGTGGATGCAAGGCCCATCCGTTACCCATGAATTCGGACGCTATCATTCCCCTGAGCGCTTCATCCTCCGTGACTTCCTCAAATGAACCATCTTCGCACTTCCGTTGGTTGTAATAAATGCGTGAGGCACAGGTGCCAGCAGCCATACTTGTGGCAATGTGTTCGCCGGTTCCCGAAGTGACCGTAGCAACGCATGTTTGGTCAGGATCGTTGGGGTCTACTGGGATAACAGCAGTGCCGATGCCCACGAGCGCTGCAGGGCCAATCCGGCCACTATGTTTCATCCCAATGCCACCGGAGGATGATCCTGCCGCGATATTACCATGTGAATCGACTGCTATAGCACCAACAGTATCGCTAATTTGATCCATATTTGCGTAGTGGATATCCATGGCAACAGAAGGGGGCGTCGCCTCGACGTCCATATTGGGTCCAAGAAAACGAGATGCTTCCAATGACGCACTGCCTGGAGCGGGGTTGGATTTTCGAGTCTGAGACATGATACCGTCCATATAGCCAGTGTCTCTTGCTCGTGGTGGTAGCATGAGAGTATTGCTAGAACCGACTGGTGAAGAGTTACCGGAATCCCTAAGGCGTGTATCACCTAGGCTGGAGCTAAGCGACGAGGCAGGCCGTATGTTGCTTGGTGAAGAAAGTAAGTGTGTCGGATTGACACTCACTGGTCGACGGATGAACGCCTTATGACGCTCATATCTAGCTGGGAACTGTTGCGCCTCTTTCAATTCGGCCGCTTCCAAGTCCTGTTGCCAGCGCAGCCAACGCCCCTTTGCTTCTTCGGATATCAAACCGTCATGGGGCATCACAACTAGGCCTTGTTCATACGCAAAGCTTGTCGCGCCCTGTCCCACAAGGAAGTTGGGAGGCACTCTTTGCAAAGTTAACGGCCTTGTTGATGCCTCAAGGACGACCCGAGCCAATGAGATTGGATTCTTGACTTCTATAACTATATGTCAGTTTACTTCAACGCTAGCTAGTGCGAAGCAAGGTCTTCTCGCAAGTACGTACGAGAAACAGCGCCAGCCGCACCACTTCGGCCCAGATGGTTCACGATAGTAGCGTCGCATTCAACAGCGCCATCGATGGTTAGGTTGCTGCCGTAACCTGCATTTGTAATTTCGGAATCTTCCAGGAGCATAATGGCGATTTCCACGGCATCCACAGCTGATCCACCATTTTTGAGCATATGAATTGCCACCTTCGCCGCGCTACTGGGGGTTAGACATGCCAGCGTATTGCACGATCAGAAAGGGAGCTGATGTCGCCAGTGGGGGTCAACAACTCACTTCTCACACGTTTCTAGATGCAATTTTTCGTTGTGCGGACTATGAAACCCAGCTCCTGCATGGACAAAAATGGCAGAGACATTGTCTCTCCGTGGACGGCTCATTGTGTCTTTGAGTTGGCTTGTCGACGAGAGTGGAAAGTCGGCGCGTAGCTTTGCAGCCGGTTGTTGCGGAAATAAAAAAGGTGGAAGACTCCACACAGTTTGGGAGCAACTCAAGACCAAAGCTCGTAGCGGAGACTGGTGATTCAGCATCCAATTTACCAGAGTGTAGAGAACACACACCGTGGAAACATCACTTCAGCTGGGGTGGCTCTCCTTTGAACAGCAGAACCAGTGCCAGTAGGTATAGTTCCACGATGGTCAGTTGTTAGGGAATTGCTTTTATTTCAGTGTTTAGATGAAAATGCAGATAAGGAGGACAGGGTTTTGGCAAGAATGATCAACCGATCGATGAAAACAAGGTGTGTCGAGTTGAGTGAAGGTGTTAGGAAATATTGGGGACAAATGAAGTGTTAAGACTAAAGGTATGGGGATATCTATGAACAAACTTTTAAAGAAGGGTACTAGTAAGCACTAGGAATACCTGGAAGGGTATTTTTTTTAAAAAAAGAAAAAAAAAAGAGAAGGTCTTTGAAGCAATGAATGTGTAGGATTGTAGGTACAGGAAGACAACACAAAATATAGACGGAGGAGTGAATGCCACTGTTTTGAATGGTTCGCAGTTCCTTCCGAAAGATCAGTCATTCAGACTGAGAGGCAGTTGCCTCTTGTGAGTGATCTATAGATGTCATAACTTACAAACAAGAAGGCCCTAAGGATACAAAGAGAGAAATCATAAGAACTATTTCCAGAAGAAAAGAGACAAATATGTATAGAGAATATCCTATAGTAGTTCGAAATAGTAGTTCAAAAGTAGATTTATATGCGGGCGGCACATGACTGGGACTTGGCATCGATGTCATCAACCTCAGGTATCCAAAGTTACCGTACGGAAAAGTTACCTACCTAAAACAATGGGCATACGTATGTGACTTAAGGTACGGACGGTACACTTACAACTACTACTAACTACTTGCCCGCCTCTCCGTCCTTTCCTCCCCTCCTCCGCTATTGGAACGACTCTCTCCCTATTCCAGTACCCACTATACTTCCTCTTCCATTTTATTATCTGCTTCCTTGTTTCCCAATTATTCCCCAACCCGACCGGTAGCAGGTTATTCTAATCACGACTTGGGAGAAAGGGGGAACTGTGGACGTGTGTGTTCCAGCTCATCCGTCATGGCGTCCCAAACCCCAGCCGTTGTCATGGACAAGTATGTTGTTTTACACCGTCAGATCCCGCCCACAGGCGATGAAGATAACTAACTCTAGATGCTATTGTGTAGCGGTACTGGATACTCTAAGTTAGGTAGGTTGAACTATCCCAGTCCCTATCGCTCAAGAGCCACCCAACCCCGAGCTTCAGGCTGAGCTCTAGGCTGACGAATAACCAGGTTTTGCCGGTAACGACTCGCCTTCATTTGTCTTCCCTACCGCAATTGCTACCAAATCTGGTGCTGGAAGCACCAAGCCTCCTGTTGCGAACAAACCCGGGTTCTTGTCTGCAGGTGGTGGGGCAAGCTCACACTTGTCTTCGAAGCGTGGGACAGAAGACCTGGATTTCTTCATCGGCGATGAAGCTCTAGCTGCTGCCAATGGTCCCGGATATGGAATCAATTACCCCATCCGACATGGTCAGATTGAGAATTGGGATCACATGGAACGGTTCTGGTCGAACTCGATCTTCAAGTACCTGCGCGTCGAGCCGGAGGACCACTACTTTTTACTCACTGAACCTGTAAGCTTGTTCTTGGATTCAATCGCTTCTCCGTGGTTGCCGTTTGCCATGTAGGAAACGACATTTGCTGATATGTCCCGGTTGCACAGCCCCTGAACCCTCCCGAGAACCGTGAGAACACTGCGGAGATCATGTTCGAGTCGTTCAACTGCGCTGGTCTTTACATTGCGGTTCAAGCCGTGCTTGCCCTCGCTGCCTCGTGGACTTCTTCTAAAGTGACCGATCGATCCCTTACAGGAACCGTTATTGACTCGGGTGATGGTGTTACCCATGTCATTCCCGTTGCGGAAGGCTACGTCATCGGATCCTCTATCAAAAGCATACCCATTGCCGGTCGAGACATCACGTATTTCGTACAAAGTTTGCTTCGTGACCGAGGCGAGCCCGATAGCAGCTTAAAGACTGCCGAGAAGGTCAAGGAGGAATATTGTTACGTGTGTCCGGACATTGTCAAGGAATTTGCCCGCTATGATCGCGAGCCGGATCGACTTCTCAAGCATACCGTCACCTCGCCCAACGGCCGGTCCGTGAACATCGATGTCGGATATGAGCGTTTCCTTGCTCCCGAGATCTTCTTCAACCCTGAAATCTACTCTTCCGACTTTCTGACTCCCCTGCCCAATGTCGTCGACGGTGTCATCCAGTCCTCTCCTATCGATGTTCGGAGAGGCCTTTATAAGAACATTGTCTTGTCCGGAGGATCTACGCTATACAAAGACTTTGGTCGGCGTTTGCAGCGTGATATCAGGCACCTGGTCGATGCTCGCATTCGCGCGTCCGAAGCTCGCAGTGGTGGCGCCAGGAGTGGTGGTTTGGATGTGGCCGTTGTGACGCACAAGAGGCAGAGACATGGTCCATGGTTTGGAGGTAGCTTGTTGGGTCAGACCCCGGAGTTCCGCAGCTACTGCCACACCAAGGCAGAGTACGATGAGATAGGCCCCAGCATTGTCCGGAGGTTTGCCCTTCTCGGAGGGCCGGGCAGCTCGTAAATAGAGGAGATTAGTTGTCAGTGTGTCCATTAGCTCTTTGTCAATAGTTTTCTTTTCTTTTACGATGTTCCACAGCCCATCTCAATCTGACGCTGCGCGTTTTCATGTAGCTGGATAGACCAGAGGGCAAAGTCCCGACCTGATGCTCACCCCCAATGTATATACATATACACCTGACCCTCATGAGGGAGCCTTTTTTCTGGATACTCACGTATGAATAAAAGTGAAAACGTCCAACGTCTACCACTGCCTGGTACCTCCTCCCACGACGACCTAGCTTCAACATTTCGCCATCGCCAAAGTCAAGAACAGTGGGCTGTAAAGAGAGCAATGTAAAGAGCATTTAAGCATTGGAAAAATTCACCGCAACGAACTTAACGTTATCTGCCTATCTATACCGACAATCCGCAGAATACTACCGACAGCCCATTTACATCACCCGGTACATACCCCGTAAGTTAAGCTGTTACAGTAAATGGGCTGTTCGTACTTAGTAATATCTCTTCACATGCGTGTATTAGATGAGGTCTCACACTGAAATGAAACAGAAAAATCCCCCAGGTGTTTAAGAGAGTCTTGGCGAAGAGTGCTAGTGGACGCGAGATGGAATCTATTACCTTAGATCATTCCAAGTGTATGCATATATATGTATGCATGTGATCCTCAAGCTATACTTAACCAGCTGAATTCGTGGCCAAGGGATATGAAGCTTTAGTAGCGATGATGTATTTATGATTTGCCGTAGAAGATGCTCAGGTATTATTCACTATATACATACTCACCCCATGTCCAATCCTGTCCAGTGGGGCAGAGCCAAAGACTGAATCATATTTTAGAAAAGAAAAAGACAAAAAAAATATTTTCTGTTTCATGAAATGCTCATTGATGTACAATAGAGAATCGTCAATTAAAGTCTATGCTCTGTATGTTCTTTTATGTCGTAGCCAACGCCGGTTGAAGTCCAACAATACCACTCAAGGATGTTAAATATATGCCTTGTGTGCCATCGCATTCATTTTTCAGAATGTAGTCTTGTTTAAAATTGCCACACCTTCAACGTGGCCTGTTTGAGGGAAGAAATCGAAGCCTCTGATACTCTCAATCTCAAAACGAATATTCTTTTCCTTGTCACCCTGGACCATAACCGCCACATCCCGCGCCTGAGTATGCACATTACAACTCACATAGACGACGCGGCGAGGCCCAAAAGTCAGAAGCTGGCGGAGGAAGTCATCGCTGCAGCCCTTGCGGGGTGGGTCAATGACGAGGAGTGTCTGGTCGGGAGGATAGGGTACGTCTTTGAAAAGCGTGGCGGCATCTGCCGCAGCAAAACCAGTGTTGGGAAGGGAGTTGGCGCGTGCATTCTCTCGTGCGGAGACAATGGAATCTCCAGACACGTCCACACCAAGGCTGGACTTGAAGAGCGGCGAGAGGGTGATTGTGAAAAGACCGGACCCGGAATAGGCATCTAGAAGATACTTGATCGGTTTGGAGTCTTGCTGGGTGTGTTTTGGTAGCGCAAGTTCGCGGATGTATTCTGTGAAACCGGAGAGAATGGAATTGTTGTTTTGGAAGAAAGCGCCGGCTCTGTTGCTGAAGAAGTAATCATCGATATATTCGACCGATGTACCATTGGGATCCGTCACACACCGTTTCTCTTCGGTGTACTTCTCTCGTTCGATTTGAATCACATCTCCTGAGTCCTCGCCCACTTCAACCTCACGGTCCTTGACCGCTGAACCAGGGTCCATATTATCTTTAGGACGTCGCGCAGTAGATTCACGCAGCAAAATAGTTGCGCCTTTAGTGTATTTTCCAATGTTTTCTGCAACCCTCTTTCTCTCGGTTTTAAGGCCCTTTCGCACAATATCGGTACCCAGAGGACAATCTTCAATATCCAGATCCCGGCGCTGGTTCTTCATAGTAAATCCGATGGGTGGTACTTCTGTATGGGGTTGCCTCGAGGCTTTACTCCTCCTATTTCCGCCGGGACCCGCAAAATGTGGCGTCAACTTTGTGCGATAACCGTACTGCAAAGGGGAGGGGAAGGTGTCGTCGATGGCCGGAATTAACTCCGGAATCAAGCCGGAGAAGTTGGCATAAGCCTTTTCCACAATGCGCTTCTTATGAGCCAGCTGATCTTCATAGGACATCATCTGTAGCTGGCAACCGGAGCACTTGCCAAAGTATTGGCACCCTATCCCGGCATCATTTCGTTGAGGGCCTGGCTCAATTACTTTCAGGAAATCCGTCAAACTGTACGACAAGTTAGGAAAATGCCGTACGATCTTCACTAATGCCTTATCGCCGGGCACGGTAAACGGAACGACGTAGACATGATTCGCATCCTCGGACAACGCAAGGCCATCGCCGGTTGACGATATCTCAGCGACCTTAACTTCGATCTCGGTAAAAGTCTCCGGTAGAGAAGAAGCCGGTGGTGGTGTGGAAGCATCTTCTACACCAATCTCGCTCTCCGGCTTGTGCTTCCGAAGAAGGTTGTCGATATCGGCTTGAAGGACTTCATCAAACCCACTGCTCTTTTCTCGGTCAACTTTGGTCTTCTTGCGCCGCTTCGCATTCGTATCTGGACTCTTGGGAGAGTTTTGCATTATGGTCGAGGAGAACGGCGCAATGGGGTATGGATGGCGGGACAAAAGAGACTTGGAAAGGACGAGATGTCCAGTCCGCAAAGAAAGAATTGAAGAGTAGTGTTTTCGCGATAGGGAGAGACCCGCCCTGAAAGCGAACATATATGATAGACCAAGTCCGAAAAAATCTAAAGCGCAGAGGAATTGTTGCGAAAGAAGAACGAGAAAGAGAAAATTAGCTTAATTTCTGGAGGGACAAGATGAGTGACCAAAAAAAGGTGGGCGGCAATTGGTCGAACCGTTCCGCTGAGAATTTCGCTGGCTTTTAGTCCTTCAGTTCTTCAACCATCCAAACCTCCGTCCACCCTTAGCACCGCGGTTGATCCCACTTCCCCCCCAATCCCTTTCACCTTTCCGGAAATAGCTCTCCAGTGGCCTCTGCTGGCCAGAGAGCTCCTATCCTTCAACATGAGCTTCGCACGGCCGGCAAGATGTGTGTTTTGCAGCTTTACTCGAGGTGTCTCCGCGGGCACGCGAGTGCCTAGTCGCCAATTCCACCCTTCCCCGACACAGTTCACGAACCGTAAACCAAAATTCCCCAACTTCAAGGCCCGAGATGAGAAGACTTTGGAAGAGATTACGCGGGATATGAAGCCCAAGCACTTTAAGCCGTACACGGAGGAGGAAAAGGCAGCCCTGAAGGAAGAATACACTCCTGAGCAGCTGGCCGCAATTGAAGCCGGTGAGGCGGCAATCGACCCCAAAGACATGGCAGAACAGTTTGCTATTCGCCGGGACCCGATGAAGCTTCATTACCTTGATGATTTCTCCACCATTGAGCCCGGCGTGGACAAGCATGTCCGGGCGCCCAAGTCCAATTCCGACTATAACGCGACCTTGAAAAGCGATGATGATTTCGTCGAAGACTTCGCCCGCTTCTTCCAAGAAATGCCGGAGGACGCTACTGCGGCAGACTGGGTGCGGTTCGCTGAGACCATGCGAGTCACCCTGGGCAAGGAGGAGAATGAATTGAACCCTCACAGTGCCCTTGTGCCGGATTTGTTCAGCCCGGGGCAGTCTCTGACGGAGGAAGACAAACCTGTCAAGCCCTTTGAGATGCAATCGTCCACAAGGTTTGGAGAGAGTGAGGAAATAACTGAGGCGTTGAAAAGGCTTCTCCAGTCGACAGGCTATACTCAAGCCTTTGTCAAGGGTCTGGCGACCAAGACCCTTGTTTCGCACTCAGTCGTTAACCAGACTCGTCTGGGTAAGGTTCGTCGGATGTACTGCCTTTCCATCGCCGGCAACGGCAATGGTCTCTTGGGAATTGGAGAAGCCAAGTCCGAGGAGTCTGCCGATGCCATCACACAATCCAAATACCGAGCCATCAGAAACATGCAACCAATCCCGCGGTACGAGGGCCGCACTATCTTTGGTGATGTTGAAGGCAAGGTTGGAGCAGTCGAGTTGAAGTTAATGACCCGTCCGCCAGGTATGCAAACGCTTAATCATGGGCTAGTGGTTCTAGCTACTAACAATGCATAGGATTCGGACTCCGTTGTCAGCATTTGATCTTCGAGATGTGCCGCGCTGCCGGTATCCATGACCTTGCCGCTCGTGTCGGTCGCTCAAGAAACCCTATGAACACCGTTAAGGCAGCTTACGACGCTCTTATGAGTCAACGCAACCCAGAGGATATTGCCCGTGCTCGTGGCAAGAAGATGGTCGATGTCCGTAAGGTCTACTACTCGGGAAGATATTAATCGGCGTCTTCAGCATGATGTTACGTTCTTCCTAGTGGGACATTTCTTTCCGGGTCTTAAATGATTTCAAATAGTCTGGATAACCTTCTTTTCGTTATCTTGACGTCTCGGCAGTCATCATTTCGCATAGAATAGACTGTACGAATATGGGCATCGTTTGCGGCATGTAATGCACGCTTTCTTTGCGTTATGGCGATGTATATAATCCTTTTTTCTCCTTTTGTTCTCTTTGTACCCTGACATGTATTTGTATCTGCAAGACTAGTGTCATAGTATTTCATATCAATCCAGTTCCTGGTTCCATAATCAATCAACCCACAAAGCCCAACACCACGCCAACCAAAACCCACATACCAAAACAAAGGGGGTATACCCATGGCCCACACCTATATATGCAAGAGAAAAGAAACAAAAAAGAAGCCCCTCGTACGATAATCACAGAAGCAAAGGTAACCAATATCAAGCAAATCGCCCCTCAAAGCTCATATCCTCATCCTGATAATCATACCCCTGATCATGATACTGCATCTGATCACCCTGCTGCTCCATCTGTTGCTGCTCCTCATTCTCGTTGAAGATCTGTTGCTGGAGCACAATGCTGTACACACTAGCCTTCAATAGTGTGCAGACCGTCGCCGTCTTCCGTTCAAGAAGTCTAAGGCCGTCCAGAGTAAGGGATGAGGGATCGCCGGAGAGGTCAGCGAGCTTTTCAGATAGCTGTGGGTAAGTCACATCAGTGTCAGTATAAGTTCGGTTATACTATCCTTAGGAGAACGGGCGTGGGATGGTGCGGCGATGATATAATGGTGATAGGATGCGCGGGGTATAGCGAACACGACATATATAGATAGATGATGTTCAAAAGATTGAGAGGTCAACGTGTGCACTTCATACCTTATTTACATTGCCCAGTAATCTAGAGTATTCATCTAGAACTTCTTGTTCTAGATCAGAGACCATCGGATTTGAGGCGCGGAGGAGAGGGTTCTCGGATTCTTGGGCCGGGGAGCCATCGGACATTGGAGTAGACATGGTGACTGGAAAATGGGTTTTATGAAGAGACCCCTTCGAAGTATAATAGAATGGTATATAACGGAATATATTCCTTCTTAAAGGGTTCTCAGTTACGGTACGTAGATCGATTGGTGGGGTGGTGGTGTAGCGACGCCTAATTTATTTGTTTGGGTTGCGGCGTGTTTTAGTTATTATCTATCGATAATAACTTCCGTACATCCTAGGACCGGAGGGCTGAGCCTGATTAAGTAGGCGGCGGCCACTGTACCATGCGGCAGAATAATTGTACACTTTCTCAGTTTCTTGATCGAAAAGTGTATATTTAGGTGGACGTCACAACGCAGTCAATATCGAACTTGAACTGATAGTAATGCGTTCTAAAAGAAATGCCTAATTTATATAGAATTTTAAAAATCCCCTAGATTCAAAGAGACTCCTATCCGTGGAGATAGAAGTGGTCTACGAACCCAATAAAATGCCTCCTTGCCGACCCCGAGGTTGATGAGGTCCAACTAGCGCCAATCTTTTTATAAAGAGACCGCCTTCCTCACTAGACCTAGGCTCATATCACATGAACGGGCTATTTCCCAATACAGTCTAGTCTGACATCGTATCGAAATAAACACAATTGATATATACGTTAAGAAGTACATACTACGTCTCCCTTGAAAACACAAGTCTGCGGCAACAATCACAGGCCTTATATCTCAACTTTTGGCAATATCTCATGACTTTATGTGTCGTAAAAGCCTTGCTAACTTGGATTGAGGAATCATCCTCGGCGTGGCCGTTTCCTAGCTATGTCTGCTGCCGATAATTTTCTAATTGTTTATCCCACAGATATTGTATCTTTTTCTGATAGCAAAACTTATTATATAGAGCTATACTACAAGTCATATAATTTTCCCATTATTTATTCACGAGCCCGGTGGTCGGTTTCTGTCCACATCTTACATTTTAGCCAATGTCGTCTTGATCCAGCCAACAGTGATTACCAACTCAACCCCTTAGGTTAACGCCTCTAGATATTTCTGGAACAAAGCAGAACTTTATCACATGAGCTATGAATTCTTAAGCACATCTCTAACCGACTATAGTTCCATCCCAAGCGAGAGAAGAGCTATCCGCAGAAGCCCCGGGAATTCTGCTCAACATGTACCCCTACTAGCTATGTCCACGTCATATACCCCCCGGTCGATTTAAAGCCCTCGATAACTACTAGCCCGAAGTTGACGAAGCAAGAGGAGGCAAAGTAGTCGTATGAGTAGTCTCAGCAGTGCCATTCGTCGCATAATCACTACCAGGAGAGACCCCAACCTCCCCTGTAGCAATGTCAAACCCATTAATAGTCCTATTAAAGATCTGCAGCGCAGCAGCCGGTTGGAAGTCTAGCCCACCCCCAAATTAGCATTCCCAAACATAATCGAACAGAAAAACAAAAAGATAAGTAAACTCATACAAGGAACTTCATGTCCAGCCTCCCAAACACGGGTAAAGCTCAGCTTTCCATACTGCCGAGTTTCGCCGTATGCCGTTCCATCTACGACGAGGTTAGTGTATCCTGCGTTGTTGAACGCTTCTTGTCCCGACCATTTGGCAACCTTGGAGATTGCCTCCCCGCCGAGCCAGTTGCAGATGTAGTCAGCGTCGCCGTAGACTAGGGAGACTTGGATGTCTAGTTCCAGGAGCTTTTCTAGATCGGGGAGATATGGCGCTGCGAAGTCGCCGGACAGACTGAAAGCTGTGTAGATTAGATTGCTTGAGGTGTAGTTTAGATCTACTCCAAGGGCGTTTTGAACGGGACCGGTATTGAGGTAGTCCTATGTTATATATCAGCTGGCAATCAAAGTTGGGAATGGATGGTATGTAAACACCTACACGCCAGTAACTTGGGGGAACGTCTTGTCCCGTGGGCTTACGCTGTTTGTTGTCTGATCAGCTAACAATGTGTGATATGATTAACATCAAACGTACAATATCATAGGTTCCTCGATCACCGAAGCGATAGTACAGGCCTTCCACGGTGGTCTGGCAGATATATTGAGCGGCCGCGCACGCTGACCGACGGACAATGGAATTCTCCCGCTTCATCCAGTTACAGTAGTCAAGCTGATCTTGACACCCGTCTGGCATGTTGAGACTGAAGGCACCGTGGTCATAGACTGTGTCGTTGATAAGCTGTACCCCGTATGTGTTCTTCTTTGTGAACTCGAGAAGATACTTCGTCTGCGTCGGCTCATCAATGATGCCGTTTATGATTCCAAGAGACTTGAAGTTCAATTTACGACCCTTTGAGCCATCTTCAGGGAGCTTCTCGTTCTGCTCGTAGAAGTAAGTGGAGAAACTGGGACCCCAGTGGCCACCAAATGATTCGGTCCTAGTTATCAAGTCAGCTGTATGGGTTCAGGACAGCATTCACTCGGGGTTTCAGATACCAGAGATTAAAATCCGTCGACTCAACATCTGCATCTAGATTTGGAAGCGCGCTATAAAACCCTTGAAGCAGCTCCCACGCAGACTCAGCCGCTAACCGGCTTGTGTCGAGTGCAGTGACATTGATGACAGACCACCGCCCTTCTTCCGTCTTATTAGTGGTCGACTCGACCGTCAAATAAGTAGGATCTAAAGACCCAACCTCCTTCGTACTGTAGGAGAATCCTAAAAACCCTTATCAGCATAGTTCAGTCCATCCAATACCAAGGTTAAACTACATACCCGTCCCCACGGGCTGAGAAAGAAACAATAGATTGGAAACCTCCGTCCAGGAATGATCACGAAGAACCGTCGTCATATTCTCCGCAACAGTACAAGGGCCCAATTCCTCAAATAGGCCAATAAGCGAATCACTTCCCGGTCCTCCATTAAGCCAAAGCGTAACCGGATCATGCTTGGGGTCGCGCTTTGATTCAAAGAACCAGAAAAACACATGGATGTCCGGTGTTATATCAATGTAGCCGCTGTACGATTTGACTCCTGGGGTGGTTTCGCAGATGCCTTCTTCGCCGGGCTCCTTGTACCGAATTGTGCTACCGTTTGGGCTGGTGATGGTTCTGACACCGGTCGGTTCTTTGGGCGCATCTCGTGGATTGACTGCGAGGATTGTTGTTATTGCAGTTGCTAGTAGGAGACTGAGTTGCATTCGCATTGTAGATCTCTGAGTAGAGTGGACCTATAAGTGGCTTACGGATGTATTTCGTGTTTTAGGTAGAAATGGAATGGTTTACTTTGCTGGTTGAGTTAGCTTTCCTAGCTGCTTTTTTTATCTATCACTAACTTTGTACAATATTCTCCCTCGTTGACTGCATCCGAAGGACGGGATCAGGTCCCGAGGATTTAATATATTAATTCACTCGCTATTAGCTGTTAGGGCTTATCTACCGAGCTGACATGGTACAGTTACATTGATTGATATCACGCGGTCTGGTCTCAGGCTATGACTATCCCGAAGGATTATTGGATGAACTGTTATGCTATCAGCCGGGATGCTTCATTCCTGTGCGGAGTAATTAATTAATTTATGATAAAGCGCGATTTTAATGTGTAGATCTCCTCACTTCGGTAAAATCTCCTGAGACATGGATAATCAAGTCCCACGAGTGTGGTTTGCCGGTTCAATAGATAATACTTGGGTTGAAATATGGTTGGTCATTATTAGTGCGACTAGAGTCTGAGGGACATATTGGAAAACTGAATACGGACTGACCCCAACATCGTAGATGTGAGAGGACATAAAGTTGTCTCAGTGCTGGCTGGGTTATCGAGTTATCCTTGGGCAATGTCGGAGAGGATTTGTTGACGACCAAGTGACTGGCGATGCGCTTGTCCACTGTGTTATAGCAGAGGAATAGATTCTATTATCAGACTAAAACGTTTGACTGAGAAATATAAGCATGCATAGATAGTCAGTTACGTAGACTGAAAATACCCCGGAAACCCTATACGACCCTGTCGTATTAGACTACAACACCTGTTTCTAAACCTTCGACTCTCCCATGATAAACCCGGCAATCTTCTTTATCCCCGAACTCGATTTGACCCGAGCCTCCAAATCTTCGCTCACGTAGTGCCTTCGGCCTGTGTTCAGGTCGATATCCTTCGCAGGGATCCACAGCGGACCTCGATAGTAAATCTTGCTCCCGACATACAGACCAACAATTGCAACGATCGATATATAGTTCGCAAAGAAGTTTTCAGCACTGCTCTTTTTATTCAGAGGCCACACAGCCAAGTAAAACTGGACAACAACCAACAACATACACCAGGTCAACCCATAGACAGTTCCAAATAGCCCTGCCCATGATCTCCATGGGAGGTCATCGAGCGAACGGCCCTGAGCCTTCCATGCCATACGGAACCGCAAATGAGATAGGAAGATCGTGCCCCAGAGCCAGAGAATACACAAGGCTGTCAGGTTCGAAAACCAGCCAAATACCGTTGCACCTGAATTGGTGACGTTGAGATAGCATAAGCCGCCTCCCACGAGGAATGTGATAAAGATGGCCGCCCATGGGCGTCCTAGCCGGTCACACTTTTTGAAAATGGGCGGTGCCATGTCAATATTTGCTAGGCCAACGACCGTTCGAGTAGCAGCGTATGCTTGTGCATTTCCGGAGGAAACTACACTGATAAAAATAACTGCGTTCATCGCATGTGCTAGACCAGGGATGCCAGCATTGCGAAAGGCGATCACATAGGGACTCGCATTGATCCCCTCACCGCCAAAAAGATCAGGGTCTTTGGGTGAGACGGTAATGGTTACCATCAGGCCACCGACAACATAGAAGAGCGTCAAACGAAGCCAAATCGAATTGACAGCTTTGGGAACTGACTTTAGTGGGTTACGAGCTTCAGCGGCAGCGATACCGCCGAATTCAGTACCACCCATGGCGAAGATACAGGTTCCCATAACAGAGAGGAAACCTTTGAAGCCATTGGTGAAGGGCATGGAGTTCCAGTACTCAAACCCGGTCTTATGGTGGGTAGGCGCGCCGCCAGCACTAATGATGATACAGCTTATAATCACCACCACAATCCAGAATAACTTGATTGTCGACATGACGGCCTCCGCTTCTCCGAATATCTTGACGGCACATACAACGACGATTAGGATAACCACCAAAAATACGGAGAGCCATACCGCAGTTGGCACAGATTGCGTCCAGAAGCTCAGGACTGTAACCACACCCTGGAGCTCGTTTGCGAGGGTAATCGATGCGGAGAACCAGTACGCCCATCCCACTGTGAAAGCGGGAGCTTTGTCGATGAACTTGGTTGCCCACTGGGGGAATGCTGAGGCCAAGGGATAGAGAACTGCCAGCTCGCCGATTGCTTGACTGAGTGCCCATGCGATGGAACCTGCGATACAATAGCCTAGGAAAATAGCAGCGGGCCCACCGTTGATCAGCGAAGTACCGGACCCCAGCCACAGGGCCATTCCGATCGACGATCCGATTGAGAACATTAACAAGTGCCGGGACTCCAGTGAGCGTGATAACTCAGAGTCCGCACCATGATCTTGTTCGTTGTACTCGGCAACATGACCGACCTCGTCCTTGTCGGCTGATGCTGACTTCTGGGGTTGAGTACTTCCATCATCCTTGATTGCTTTGTCCATGATGAGCTGTGTAGAGAGAAACTATATTCAGCTATAGTTGCAAATGTCGAAGTATGCAAGGCGGCAACGCCCTACTGATTCCATAAACGGCGGCAATGTTGTAGCTGGATGGACCAGATAGTTATTCTTAGTAGTAAAGCTTCAGGAAATAGTATGCATAAATGGAGCAGTGGTCTAGTGGATCTGGTCCCATCGGACCCTATCTATATACTCAGTGTCTCCACATAGCCGCATCCCAGCTATATGTTCATATCGCCCGTCTTTTTCTGATCGAGCAATGACGTCCACTACCGGAGATTTACCAGATCTGTGCCCAAATCGTCCTAAATCTGAGGAAAGGGGGCTCGGTATCACTTCCCGAGGTCAGGGTGCCTATTCGAGACCTTACTACCAGTTATTATCAGCAGGGTCTCATTGTAAGGTTATATCGATGAGCCGGTAAATGGGCCAGCCAATGAAATATACAGCACCCTTGTTTAGAGCGCCTGTTTTCTCCTCTTTTGTCAATGAAGATCCTTTAACTTATCCCACCATTCGGAGTGTGTTCCGCTCCATGAGACTCGAACACCAATACAGCCTCTTTTGAAGAGCATAGGCATTTCCCCACGGTGATATTTCCAACAGAGTCCATACTTTCCTAGAAATTCTCCTGGTGGTCCATTCTGTTTTTAATGAGTTAGGCGTCAGTTTACTTCAAGCATACCTGATCATTCAGCTGTCATGCCGCCTGCAAAGCTGGTGTCGTTCAAATATGAGGAAATCCCAGTCGGTGCAATCAAGCCACGAGGATGGGTGAGAGATCAGCTTCGCCTGGCTGCTGATGGGTTAGCTGGCCACATGTTCGATTTCTACCGCTATGTCAAGAACAGCTCTTGGCTCGGTGGCACGGAAGAATACAGTGAACTGAACGAAGCAGCGCCTTACTGGTACAACGGAATTGTACCGTTAGCATATACCCTAGACGACGAACGACTCAAAGCTCAGGCGAATCAATTTCTTGACTACGTGATCCTTCACCAGGCTGGCGATGGCTGGTTGGGTCCCGAAACCACAACAGAAACCCGAGGGCTGTGGGCGCGGTGTCTTCTGCTTCTTGGTATGGCTGCGCACGCGCAGGCTGAGCCGGGACGCAGAGATGAGATCATCGAGTCTATGCTGCGTTTCACCCGCCTAGCGCACAGCATGATCCAGAATAACTATCAGGGCTACCTGTCACACGAGGGCGATCGTTTTGATCCACTCAAGTTTGGGCTAGCCCGGGCTCATGAACTTTCCACCACTCTCCAGTGGCTCTATGAGACTGTAGCTGAGGAGAACCGATCGGTTATCTGGGATACTATGGACTCGATGTGGACAGGGGCTGAGATCGGCGGTCGTGACTGGTCAAAGTTCTTTGTCCCAGGAGTATTTCCTACTTCAGCGTCTATTAAGCCTCAGCCTAATTTCCAACATGGAATCAACGTGGCTCAAGGTTAGTATAGATGACTACTTACACACATTATCCTCATGGCATATTAGATCTGCCCTACTGACATACACTGGCCTAGGGTTGCGGTATATGGCGCAGAAGTACCGGATGAACCACGATGAGAAGCTTGCCCGCCAAACTCGGGAGGCCGTAGACATGGCCTTTCATTACCATGGCACTCCGTCTGGCTCTATAACGAGCGATGAGTTTCTTGGAGGGTTGAGTCCAGAACGAGGCACAGAGTTGTGCATGTCTGTGGAGTTAATGTTTTCCCTCTCCTGGCTGCATCGTCTCTTCGGTGATAACGACTACGCCGATCTCACAGAGCAGGCAGCGTTCAATGCCCTACCAGGGGGTATTTCGCCGGACTGGTGGACTCATCAGTATGTCACTCAGTCCAATCAACCATGGATCAAGCGACTGGACGGTCGGCCCTTCTATGATGTGAGCCCGTACGGCAATATCTTCGGGCTGGAGCCAGACTATGTATGTGGCGCCTTGCACTTTTCTCGATTTAATCGAATATTTATGCCCGAAATTGATTGGCTAACCTTCGAGATAATGTAGCCGTGCTGCTTGGTAAATCATCATCAAGGCCTCCCAAAGCTGGTCTGCTCTGCCTTTGTTCGTAAAGGTAGTAACGGCGTGATCCATCGCTTTCTCATCCCCGCTGAGACCTCCATGGAGCTTGATGGGGGCTATGTTTCTGTCATAGCCGACACTCACTATCCGTTTGACCAGACAATCAGTTATAAGTTCACTAGTACAAAGGGTTTCGATTTCTATACTCGACTTCCCAGCTGGGCGACGGCGTCCTCACGCGCCAACTTGCCAAGCGGACGTGTAATCCCTCTGGTGCGCGGCCACGACGACGTCTTCCATTTCACAATTCCAGCCGGATCGTCGCAACTCATTGTCACGTTTGGTACTGAAATTCGGGTCGTAAACCGGCCATTATCCTCTGCTGTATCTATCTACTGGGGCTCGTTGCTTTACGTCCTCGATATCGCCTGCACCGAGACCAGCACGGCACCCACTCATTGGAAAAAGAACGTGGATCCTTTGCCAACGGATCCGACATACCCCCAACTTCGCGATCGTACGCTCGTTCCAGAGGAGGGAGCAGAATGGCGAGTGGCTATTGACCCCTCTCAGATCGCCATACACTGGGCTAATCACGACACGGACCCGACAAGCCCACTCCCTAACCCTATATACGCGCGAGGCGCCCCGCCGATGATTATCTCGGTCGCGGCAATCCGGATTGCATGGCCGGTAATGAACGGGGCTGCGCATGGAGTTCCAACAGAGGTCAGTACCGAGGGTGAGCCATTTGTAGCGAAGTTCGTTCCTTTTGCCAGTGCCTCTCTTCATATGGCAGAGGTGCCCACAGTCTCTCTGCCCAAGATGAATCTCCGGCAGTCACATTGACAAACAAAGTGGCACTTGTTCGTGTAGTTACATGAGATGTATTCGGATCAGAAGCTGTCCCAATACTACTTTCAGAGAGAAGAAGCAGCAAACTGTGTTCCATCACTTAGGAATCCCATCAGATAACGGGTTGTCATCCAGTATAGCGGGGTCGAGATATCGTCTCTACAGCGTGGTACGCCACCACCTAGATAAGTCCTATACAATGGGAATTGACTTCACGAGTATGGTTGTACATGTGCTTGAACGGGGTAAAGGTCCGAGGGGCACGGAAATAGATAACTAGAGAAGTGTTTCAGCTGACCCTCCTTTCAAGTTACATTCGGGGCCTATCTGAAGCGACCCTTCGGCCCGACCTCCACACAGGGTTCGCACAGCCAGGACTTGCTACTGGAACCATGGCAACTATCGCTCGGGCTATGATCCCGGAGGCTTTGATGGGAGACAATCCCGCTCAGCTCCTAAACTGCCGAGGCATTTTGAGAGAAGTGACGGACGCTCAGACCGCAAACTAGGGTCAGCAAGAAACCCGATCTGACCTATCGGCTGCGCACCCACGTAGTGAAGCATTGTCCTCTAAATAAAAGGATATCTGGGGCATGGGCCTAATGCTGGAAAGGTCAACCGCTGTCGACGTCACACCCGTCCCTGATGGTTTGGGCGTGTGGGACGGTAAGATGATACCAAATAAACTTGGGTCTTCCAGGTGGTATCTCCAATAAAAGAACTGAAGATTGAATGCTCTTTTCATAGCGCCAAGCGGCAATTAAAGAATGTGAGAAGCCAGAGGTTCCAGGAGAGTAACCTTCATACACCCTTCGACCATCTCTTGGCGTGGTCGAATTTCCTCTACTGCGGGCAACAGCAATTATGACGATATTGTATTTGGAAGACAAGTGTAGTGATCGGCTGAGGTGGTGAAAATGTGGCAAACCGTGTGGAAATGGAGAAAAGCACATGGGGCCTCCTGAAATGTACTCGTGATTAAATGCTGATCGTCGCCTCTGACATCAGACACCATTGGTTAGTTTTAAGAATCACCCGGTGCATCATGTTGGAGCAGAACTGGGGGACAAGGCTCAGGAATACCTTATCGCTGTCAGGTCTATTAGGGGTCAAAATCAACCTCACTCGCTTCCCAAGCGCGTTCAAAGCGCATGTGGGCGTCAAGGTAAGATTTACGCCGGTAGGATATTTTGAATCACAGGTGAATGAACCTGTTTGCAGTTCGTCGGGCTATCTTTTAAACATCACTGATGAGCTCTTGCGAGATAATGATTTCTGCATGCCTCGCACTACTCCCAGCAACAGTGAAAGTCGCATTGAGGATCTCCAGTGTTGAAGCAACTCTTCATCCAGATAAATGCAATAAAATGGGATCTCATGATTGTTGTAGCTCTAACATACGTCCTGGCGCCGGGCCTGTTAACATATGGATACCAAGACATCCAAATGTTGTCTTCATAGAAACAAGAAAAACCAATGCAAGCAAAAACAAATACCAAATGTAAAGTCTTCGTATCCTTTTTAATTCGCCTGTTCACAGGCGAACAATCGCAGCGGATGATCCGCAAAAACAAGTCTGCTCTGCCATATAACCGAAATCGTAAACGCCGCCCTTTGCAATTGTGAGTGATAAATGGGAGCAAAAGCAAAACGTGTACATCGCTGCGCCGGATAGTTAAAAAAGCAAGAAACCGAGAGGTCATCCCATGGAGGTAGGCTTAATAGCCGTAATACGCAGACACAGGCCGATGAATATCGGAGAACGGAAAAAATCAAACAAGTCTTCAAACAAGCAAAAAAAGAAAGAAATATTTCTAAGCTCCCGTACTCCAGATTATAGCTGTAAGAAACTGTTGCTTCGGATAGAAAGATCTTTCATGCGTTATCGTCGTGAAATGAGCTCCAGAGCTATGCAAGGGATGCTCAAACGGTCTAATCGGTCGTGTGCCAAGAAAGCAGTAAGGCCACCGTAGCATCCATCGGTCGACGAATTACATATCTCCGTCATGATGAAGAGTAACGCTGTTGAACTCTTCAAATGGGTCGTTCACTTCCCCATTGGGCGTGGCAAGACCCGAATCCATAGGGACACCCTTCATCTTGGTAGGGTTGCTGCCGCCAATATCAACGCTGGCGCTTTCTTTAACATTGCGGAAATTGAGAGTTTCCGTTCCTCGGCTTTGATGAGGGATCATCGGAGGCTTCATATGGCGAATAAGTGCCCATTGTGTTTGCCGGAAGAACGGGTGAGTCTTGACATCTGAGGCACCGGCACGAGCTCCAAGACGTTTCGTCTCATCTTTAATCAACAACTTACGGATCAAAGACTTACACATACTATAGCCATGTTGTTAGCGTATGCCACATTAATGTGAAAATAGTAGAGTCTCACTTGGAGATTTGTTGGGCCCCCCCATGTTCAGGGAATGGTACGTCATCTCGGAGGATGTTTCCAAACGTTGCGTTCCTGTTCTTACCCTTGAAAGGCGTTGTGCCGTACAGCATCTCATAGATCAAGATGCCAAGGGTCCACCAATCAACTGCGCTGGTATGTCCGCAGCCCTTAATGACCTCCGGCGCAATGTACTCCTCCGTTCCTACAAAGGAGTTCGTCCGGAAATCGGCAATGCATGACTTTGTGTCGATGGTGGGCAGAGACGTCGTCGAGTTGCCGCTCCGCGCCGGAATCATGGTGGGTGCTCCACCAGGGCCCGATTGTTTGGACAGGTCGAAATCTGACAGCATTATATGACCAGACTGATGCAGAAGGATGTCTGAATTATCTACCGTCAGTATAGGGGCTACTATCATTAGTGTATCACAGGATAACATACTCTCTGGCTTTAGATCACGGTAGATAAAGCCCATGAGATGAAGGTACTCTAGAGCGGCTGTAACTTCCGCCGCATAGAACCGCGCCGCGTCTTCGGAAATGCATTTCCCTGGACGTGTCTGAAGAGCTACAGAGTCTAAATTAGCGGATAGTCGAGATGGAAATCTTAAATCTATACGCACCTCGGAAAAATTCACCACCGCTACAATACTCCATACACAAGTAGAGATAATCCTCGGACTGGAAAGAATGGTAAAGCGTGACAATAAAAGGATGGTTACTTGTGGCGAGGATCTCCTGTTCGGCCAACGCCCTCTTGATTTTGTTTCGTTTGATCATTTCTTTCTTGCTCAGGACTAGTGTTGTCAGTAAGGGTATAGAATATAAGATCCCCAGAACATTTGAATGCCCTAGATCTGTGTAATGGAACCAGGGCAAACTCACCCTTCATAGCATATAAGCGGCTCGTCTTCTTTTCGCGAACGAGATAAACCTTCCCTACGTCACCTTTTCCGATCAACTTGATCTTGTCGAAACTGCTTGGCCCAACCTCCACATTCCGAATTTTAATCGAGTTGGAGCTATACGTTCTGCGGAAGGCAACCTGGTTGCGAATCTCGCCGGGACTTGGGATCTTGCCATCGGAACCAAGTTTAGGTACGGCGAGACTCCCGACTGTATCCTCCGCGATAGTGATCTGAGAGTCTGTTTCTTCCACTGGGGGCTGGTTTCCAGTTTCAGCCGTCTGGGGGCGTCCATCATTCTCGCCCCGGGCAAATAAACCCTGTGCATTCGGGGCGGAAGCGACGCGGCGAAGCTTTCGAGCTAATTCGGTTTTGTTGGCAGTGGTGGCTTGCTCGGCAGCGGAGACACCGTCGACCTGTAGCTCTGGAGTGTCCGGCGGAGAGGAAGGCTCCGAACCGTCATTGCGATGCTGTAAGGAAGGTTGCCCCTGATGAACGAAATACGGATTTGCTGTTGCAGTTGGAGACACTCCCTCATCCAGAGGGTTACCTTCGCTAGCAACAGTGGTCGAGCGATTGCGACCAATGGTAGGAAGGAATCGCGATTGCCTAAAGGCGGACTTAGATTCGGTCTTGGCGCTGGTGTGAGAACTGCCCTCTCTATCCCTATCGCCACTGTGGCTATGACTGTGATGAGACGAATTGCTGCTCGAGCTATTTATGCGGAAAAAGTTCTTGATCTTCGTCGGGAGATGACTCGACTCATTGGTATGTTTTTTGGACGGGAGAGAGAGGCTAGGAAAGTTTCCACGTTTCTCGTTCGACACATTGGACGGACTGGAGGCGAAAAGTTGGGTCATGCCGACGATTTCACCTGGACGTATACCAGGGATTGGGTGAGTGTTCCACGAGGTTGATAATAATCAAATTTAGTGGGAGAATAAAGAAGGGGGTGATAGTCTGGATTGATCGATGCAAGGAAGGGGACCGAGCAGCGGGCTAGAAACGGCGGGGAAGAAGGCGGTGCTAATGATTGCGATCAAAGGGACGTCCACCCGCAAACTGATAGTGACATGGGGGAAAGCGAGGTACAAGTACTCGTCAAATCACCGTCGGAGTACTCGAACTGGGGCACGAACTCGGTTAAAGAAAGTCGAGACTGAGGAACGAGAGACGGCGTGTTAATTTAAACTATCCTTTCCAACCTGGGGTGGAAACATTGAATGGAGAAGGGAGGAAAGAGAGAGAAGAAAGAGGGAAGGGGAGGGAATACAAAGTGGAGACGTGGAGGAAAGATTGGGAATTTCGGGCTTAGTCAATAAATCCGCCATCGACTTTACTGTTTCCAAGATCAGTCACGGGTCAATATCACCCGCAGTCCAATGGATTGTTCCTGCTACTACTTCTTCTGGTCTGGGGTTTCACCATGGATGGATTCCGCAACCATCGGGACATGCCGAGTCATGGCTAGGGTTTCAACTCAGACAAAATCATACTATCTTGGATGAATAATGCAACACTTGCCACCATTCCGGATTATTAATAAAAAGTACGCCGATTGTTAGTTAGTTCGATATTTTTATTTTTCATTTTCTTGTTCGTCTAATTCGGTTCACTTTTCCTTCATTCCAATATTCTTCTCATTTCTCCTCTCTTCAAGAAATTCAAAATTGCCCAAATGACAGCCGAAGGTTAAAACATGGTTCCTCGCTTGCAAGTCATTGGTCAGGGTCAAGGAATAAACCGGGACTAGCGTGGCTGGGCGCATCACCTTAGCAATTAATATCTCTCGCATTCATTGTCATCTACTACTAGTATATTCATCCTGAATTATAGAATAGTATTTACAGATGCTTCATCACGCAACTGCATAGATATACGTACACACGCCTCAGACATCATATCATATTTCACATCTCAGCCCGTATCTTAACCAGAACCCGCTGTCTCAGGGTCAAATATTTGACAACCTCGAAAGGATTCAGAGCACGGGCTCATCCGAGACCCATGCAAAAGGACCCAGATTGAGGCTACCAGTAATGTTTCGCTTCAGGAGGCGACTACTCCGTAAACGAGGATGAAATATAAATAGTCTCGCGTAAATGTTGGATCCACTTCTTTTGCGACGCGAAACTGATTCACACTGTGACTGCTCCCTTCTTGCCCCTCAGGTGAGCCTACTGTTTGATGGTATCGAAATTCCGGCATGTATGCCTGCGTTCTATCCCTAAAAGAAGTAGAAATGGTTCATTATATATCCCGCTTGTTAGAGACTCAATATAAATGCTGCAGCTGATTCATGCAATGATATAGCTTGTTCCCATCGGTTCTGTATCAACGATTCACGAAGAGACCTGACAAAACTAAGCATAATAAACTAATCATTATCATATCTTCATGCTGCGTGGCAATATAGCATCTTCTCAGTAAGATAGTACAATGAGCGCGCAGCATATCTACTCCACCGTAAACACCGCCTTAGGCACAATGATACTCCTACCCACTTCCGGGGAAGCTTGTACATTCAGCTGGGAAGTATCCAGATCCGTCTTTCAACCTCGGGCTATTCTACGAGAAAATACTACTTGCCTATTAATCCACCCATGGACTGTTGGGTGATTTACATTCTACTCCGTACCCACTAACCAACTACCAAGTACTCTGTACAGAGTACTTATTATCGAACTAGTCGATGGTACGCCGATCATATGTAACCTAAGTAAATAAGTGGGTCTAACGTTGGTGATTTCATGCCAAGAATCGTTGCTCACAACTTGTGAGGCTTACGGAATGATGGTGCTTTCTCACTAAGAGCCCGCTAACTTAGCCAGGTCGGAAGTTGAGTGAGTGTGTATATATGCAATACTCGGGGCCAATGCTAGGAGATTTGTCCCGAGCTGCAGAGCTCAGTCTATGGAAGAAGTTTCAACTAGGACTTGATTCATACTAAACTCGTATAGAGATACCCACCGAGAAACGAGATGACCAGCCTTCGATAGTCACCAAATTGACATGGAGCCTACTCTTCCAGAGAATTGAGTAGCCGAAAGCCTCGAAACATACCTATCCGAGAACATCATGCATACTAATTATTCAAACACGTTCATTTGGGACAAAAGCGTGAGCTCCATCTCCTAAGGTAGTCGACCCAAGGTGAAAAATGTAAAGGGGATCAAGATATTATGCAACCTAATACTGTATCAATTGCCAACCATACTTCCTGTATTACAGTTAGCATCGTCACCCATAAGTCTGCCACACTAGTTGTCCAATTCGCCCACTCACCTGTGTAATTTTTGTTTTCTTTTTTGTAGTGGTCAGAAAAAACAGTCAGGGTCTAAAAGCAAAGCCCAAGAATAACGTGGAAAAGGGGAGGGGGGGAAGCTGTGGACGATAATACAGCTGCAACTGGTGCCATGGGGCGATTGCTTTACCGGCCATTAGATTGACTCTCGTTCTGAGCGTTGTGCATTTCACGTCGCTCTTCATCTCGAACTTGGCGAAAGAAGTCACGCAGGGTTTCCCGACTAGGCTTAGGACGCTGCTTGTGCATATACCATGGTCTAGCCTCTTGAACAGAGCTATAGCATACGCTATCCTGCATCTGTCTATCGCTGGCTTCCATTGGTCGCTGGTTTGTCTCGTTTCTAGGCGCATCTCCAGGGCCGTCAAAAGTGGGAACATAGGCCTGTACGTTGACGTTTTGAGGAACTGCCAAAGCAGCTGTTTTTTGAAACACTAAACCCCGGTTTCGACTCAGGAGCTGGGTATTCAAAGACGATGTTGACAGCTTCATATTGTGCATGTCTGGGTCGCCTCCGCGAGTTCTGTGGGTACGATGTAGCGTGGTGGCCTTGCTCGGCTTTACCTCTTGCCTGTCTTCTAATCGCTCCTGAATCCATCCAACGTTCTGTGGAGCATCTGAAACATGCGTCTCAGCTGACACGATTTTGTACTTGGGAATGGACCGGGGACTGCACAAACATACTGTGAGTAGGTTTAACACATTTAACGGGGCACCTCTTACCTTTCCCAAATAAGTTCCGGATTCTTCCCACATTTGGGGTCTTCCAAAGAACCCATGCTAACCAAGCGGTTGCTGCTATTGTTAGGAGTCGGCAATCGAGGAAGAAACGAATTTTAAGAAGTAGTACATACTTTCTTTCATGCACAGTAGCCCATGAGTCCGTCGTGGACACATAAGATGAAGAGAGTTTCCCATTTGCCTCATTGTCTGACATAGATGAAGTGTCGCCGCAGCTCCTCGCAGCTTCTCCTGGATGGGCTTCAGATCCCCAGAGGTGTCTTGCCTGTTTCATTGGCCTGCCATGTGTGGTAACTCTCGTCGAATCTGGTTTACCGATTGGAACGGGCGGCAGACCCTGTTTGCTTCGTGCTGACCGATGAGATATTCTGCCTTCTTCCCTTTTCTGCTTTAGGAGCTGCGTGGTAACAACAGACAACTCCTTGAGTAGTCTGCCAACAGGTTCACCCCGCTCTGTGGCCTCTTCGATTTTGTGATACAGCTGTTGAAGATCTAATGGTGATGGTATCTTAGATGATGCCTGTTCATCACATGTGCTGCCAGATTCATCGCTAAAACTTGATGTGAGGATTTGCTTGTCTCGTTGGTTTACATGTAGTTTCGTTCTCGTTTCATCAATTTGCTGAGACAAATTGGGATTTCCGAGAGTTCCGTTTGCGGACATATCTTTAACACTTACAGCTGAGCCTGGGTACCCTAAGTTTTGCCACGGAAGCACTGGGATGGAAGCTTCACTTTCTGGGCAAAACATGGGGAGCGTTGGCGGAGTCAAGTATGCAGGCAATGTCTGACCTGAGCAGCTCCCACTGGGAGATGAACACATTGGTCCCAAGAACCCTTGATAATCTGCCGTGCTTTCTGTAAGATAGGTAATAGGTGGTGCGAGTAAATCAGCATTGACCCTTTGCTGGTCGCTTAAACCATTCATGCTTGGCTTTCCAAAGATCAGTTCCAGCTGTTCTCTATACATTCGGACTACGTCTAACTCTCGCACCAAACTCTTCCGCTGTTCAACCATCACCTTTTTCGACCGAGAGTCTATGTCCCAGGTGTGTATAGCCATATACCTGTCAAGACGGGAGAGTTGGGATGAAAGAGACTCATACTGCTTTTTAGCTTCGTCCAAGCATTTCAAGTGTGGCATTCCTTGGGACGTTCCCGGGAAATACTGTGGCTGTTTGGATGCTGGGAACTGGCCACTGACAAACTGATATACTTGAGGCGTAAAAGTCGAATAGCCGGGTTCATAACTCAGTTGGCCCTGGCTGAAAGCCGAGGAAGAGCCCGTACTGGCAGCGTTACTGCGTGATGTAAAGTCAGAAGATGCCGTTGACGCAGCTAAGTGTGGCTGGACCGATGTTGGCATACAAGACATAGGGCCCTGCACCTTCAAGCTTTGGCACATATCTGGGATTCCCGAGTGCATATCTGGATCAATGCCATACATCACCTGGTCCGGAAACACCGGTACATATGCCATTTGGGGGTACTGATCAACACGAGGAAGTTGCTGATTGTTGAACGCGATAGAATATCCGGACGGTAGGGCATATCCTAGCGCGGGCCATGGGACAATTGGCGGACATCCTGATCCTTGAGATGTTTCGTCAAATATGCCATTGGTGAGAGATAGCTTTGCAAGGTCCGGGAGGATTCCACTAGGGCCAGCAGAATTCCTTGATATGTCACTTCTAATAAAGTTCGTCTCAAATGGCCCTATTGGAGTATTTCCGGATATATTTTCGCGCTCGACCCCTAGGATAGACCCGAGTGCTTCTATCTCGTGATCGCTTGCCTGCTTCTTCTGCACCGGCAATTTGAATTTAGGGGCAGGGGTTTTTGGCTCCATAGGAACAATATTGCCGCCAGCAGTAACTCGTTGATGCTTAGGAGATGTATGATCCTTGAGGAAACGCGCAAAGCCAGCATCAGTTTGTGCGCGACTCGATCGAGGAGGATCTTTTGGCACGCGAATTGGACAGTGCAAGCGGTTAAGAGAAGTTTCAGTTTGATGTGAAATATTCGAAACCGTTCTTGACCGATTGGCCGACTGTTCATTTAAGGCGTTGGTGCTTGTTTGGTTTTGCCGGAGTAGATTGTCTGCATCACAGATCAATAGTTGAGCGTCATTAGTATTGACCATGGGTTTCCAATGCAAAACAAGTGTACATACAGCCAAGTGCCTGGTCACTGAATTTATTGAGCTCTATACGCGCATTTTGGCTCAAAGCCAGTAGAGTTTGGATGTCATACTTCTTCATGTTGCTATTTAGGGAGGGGAAGATGAAGGAGCATGACTAGACGGAAGACATGTGTCTTTCGCGTAGAAAGAGGTTGAAGAGAAATAACACAAGAGAGTTACTCCGGAAATGCAGACCCCGAATTGTTTTGTTTTCGGAAGGTCCATGGACAGTGATGTTGTCTGCCCAATCTGGAAAGCAACTGGGCAACCGGTTTCGGATCTGATAATTAACTGAGTATTTTTTCTTCTATAGATACTAATCAGCAGTAAACGGTAACCACTAGTAAGCAATTAGAAATATAATTAAATAAATATAAATATAAATATAAAAATCTGAAAGTGCAAAGAAAAACAGTACATAAGTATTATCGAAAGGCAGCCCACTACACACTTTCACGGGCTGTGACTGGTTGTATAGCACTGTGGATTTGCCACTCATCCTCCTCTGGTTCATTGAAGGGAGATACGGCTTGCTCACCCCCGGCGTGATTGTTATTATTCCTCTGTCGTTGACTTCTCATTTCCCAGCTGCCTGTGCGCTCATGTCCCCTGACGACAGTTATACCGGCACCATTACTAGGAGTCTCTTGCATATCTGTCGGTTTGACATCCTCCCATGTAGGGTTTTTGAACGTGACATCGGAGTCACTTGCCATTTTGCTGTTTCCCTTGAAACCTCCGAGGCTTGACTGCCGAGTACGATTCATGCGGAAACCACATACCAGAAATCCGAAAATTGAGATGACGGCAATCACTACAAGTGTAACCACAGCCCCAATGACACCACCAACTGCAGGACTCAGGGCCTTATCACTAGTAGGCCGGCTCTGATGCCCATCGAAGACATCAGAGCAGAACGTAGCTTGTGAATTGCAAAGAAGACACCATTCTTTCGTCGATCCTAGCGAAACCCCCTCCATTTCTTCTTGAAATTCTGTATAAGGAATAGCTATATTGCTAGGTCCATGTCCAAAGAGTGGGTAGGACCGGAAGTCAGGCGAATGAGTTCCGTTTCGCAGGAGAAATCGGATGTAAAGTTGAGACGGATCGGGGTACGCTGGACTGGAGTTATTCTCCAAACTGTAAAGTTCAAATACCATCGATGCACCGGGCGTGGGACGTCCGTAGAAATTCTCATATTTTGGTGACGCCAGTTGCATAAGGGATGAAAGAGCGACAGCAGGCTCATCATTACCAAACAGTAATGTTATTTTTCCGTTGGTACCTCGATAGTCGATATTGTTGTTAAAGGCATCCAAAATACTTGAGGCTAAGGTGCGCCCAGCAACAGTGCGAATACGGTCACTGGCATTAGTCCCTGTTGAGGTCATATTGCCATTCGTTGCGAAAACGTAGCGGTCCGCAAGAGAACGAGCACGGTCTATATCATCCTGGTTCATGTTATGCAATAATGATTCATTGTGCACAGACTCGTAGTCCAAGTATTCTGAGATCATAACGGCATTCGCATAATTAGCCGAAGAAGGATCCAGTACTCCAGACAGGGATGATGGATAAATCTTGCTATAGAATGCTGCTGAATCCTGCGTGATCTCTTGAGCCTCAGGACTGTATTTGTACTCGGTATCGGCAACTTGGTGCAGCAGGCAACCTGTATCTCCGTCCAACTTGATTGATCGAGGGTCCGTCGCACCAAGCGTGATAATCTGGGGATATTGATATCCCCCAAAGGGAGCAGTGGCTATAGAGCCATTGGCAAGTTGGAAAGGGGAATCGGAAAATGTTGCGTTGAGAGTTTCCTCGAGTGGTGGGTAAAGACCTTGCATGAAAGCCTGAGCAGACGCAACAACTGACGGATCAGTGGTTGAAAACACATCCACCTCTTCGGTATCTATTAAATACGGTGATAGGTTTTGAATTCTTGTATTTGAAGTGTTATTGTTGTCAGGTATCGCAACATAGCGGTCTCGAAAAACGGATCCTGCCGCATACAAGTCATCCGCCCCATATGGAGTTAAGGCTTTGGGACGAGGTAGGGCTGATGGGATACTATCTCCATAAAGGTTGTAGGCAACGATTGCCCACACTTTCTCTTCCAGATCTTGGGCAGAAGCTAGGGATGTGTATAATACTGCTGCCGCAGTAATGATATGGAGACTGAGGATTAACATAGTGGGCACAGGGTCATCAAATGGTTCTTTTCATGGAAGTATATCTTATTGGAGGCTTTCATTGATAAGATATAGAGAACAAAGAGCAGCGCGAGTAAGGGCCCCTGGTTAGCAATATGAGAAAGGGCTGTATTACAGTTCACTAAGGTCAGGTATATGGAGGAGAGGGATGTATACTTAAGAGCTAGAAACATTGGGATGAAAGCTCTGAGGCCTAGACTCCGGTAGCACCCATTTGACTTTGGCAAGTCCATGGGAAATGACGACATGAAGCCGTATTTTTTCGTAAGGGGAACCGAGTACCAGTGGACTCTCGACAGTGCATACCTCCAGAATGGTGCGATGGTAGCTTCACAAGGCCTGGTCCTAAGTACTCAGTAAAACAAAGTAACCCATTACTACTAGTTTGTGCACCTCGGGGCGACTGTTAGGTCAATCAAAGGAAGGTTAGTCTATTTAAATATTTCAAATGTCAGCAGCTACAGTTAGTTTCCAACGGTGGCCTTTATTGATAGTCAAGACACTCGAGATGCCGTTGACCTTCAACAACCGGGCTGGTTTCTTTCCCATCCCGGAAGGAAGTATCTTCAATAGACTGCTTTTCCACATAAAAGGATTGCAAAAAGTTAGTCAAGTACCAAGACAAGTTTGTTGATCGTTGATCGATTGCGACTCAAGAGACGATATTTCACTATGGAACGATAGTCTATCGATGACGTGTAGACTGAGGAAGGTAGCATCCCAACGAAAGCAACCGTGATGATTAGACGCGTACGGCACGGAGCACAGATTAAGAGAGATATCCTTGGGCCTTTCATCCTGTGAATCTTGGTTATGGTATGATCTATAGGGAAAGTCCTAGATACCATTTTTTTCGTGGCTATCGAATAGACCAAGTATGTATAAGACTGCTGAACTGAATGAGCAGATGCCTGAGGCCACAATACATCATACTTTTATGCATTTTTACTTTAGAACGAGGTAGTTGTGCGGACATATGGAGATATGGGGATTAGAAAAATACATAAATCTTGAACTGCAACAAGAGAGAAACTTGACGTGTTCCTCCCTACTAAATTCATTCACTGCCATGAATACTGCCGAGTAGTGTTACTTCATGGCTGCCTCAGGCTCCGATTGTCACCTTTCCGCCCGGCGAAAATTCTGTCACGCCATTTATCCGCCCGTCTCATCCTCTCGCAAGCCCTACGCCTGCGCCCTACCCCTAAGCCCTTATTTCTGCTCTTGGAAGTCAACGTCCAATGCAGACCGACTGGACTGTTCCTAACATGGTGAATACACGAGCCGAAAGGCCGTCTATCGATGGGCAGGACTCTTCTGAGCTTCCTCCAACTTCTATCCCCCAGGATGAGGATCTCAATGGTAAGTTACGTGCGCGTCTTCCCAGCAATCCATTGCTCCATCCGGCCGTTCCTACTAGCAGGGCAGAGTGCCCATTATTCTCCCTTGAACTCACTCAAGAGCTCTCCTACATGATTTAATAGACGTGAAACCAAACATTAACTCAATAATTTATAGTCGCCCCGAAAATGTCCCGGCCCCTCGAAGAAGACGACGGTGCCGTCTCTCCTCGAGCCTCCAAGAAGCCGCGCCTCAAGTCGGAACCAGGAGACCTTTCGCTTCCACCACAACCGCCCACTGTTATGGATCAAGGACCAGGAAATCAGATCGAAGAAGAACTGGCCTCGGCCCTGGGTCCTAGTATCGTCGACACGGTAGAACGCCAAGATGACAAACCTAGTCACATCGAGACACCAGCCGAAAGCGCAGTGGCACCAGAACCCAACCAGGACATCGATACGGATATAGCTACAGTAATTTCAAGCATCATGAACCATGCGGAACGGGTCGAGGAACAATGCGCTATCGGACAGCAGCAATTAGCGGATACTTCTGGCCAGTCGGCTCCAAAAGGAATGGTGTTTGTCAAAGCAAATTCCCACCTCAAAATTCAAAGTTTGCCCATTCTGGACAACCTGGTAAGCATTGGTTTTGAAACTGCGTTTCCTCTTTGCATGACACAAATCATTTTTTAACATTCGTTCAGTCTACCCAAATTCTATCTCTGCTGGCAAAATCTACTTATCAGGATATCACCTCATTTGTCTCCGAGCCGGATTCCGAAAATGGACAAGCCTATGCTACCATGCGGTCGCTTTTTGACCACACCAAGAAGGTGTACTCAACCAAAAAGTCCTTCCTGTCTGCGACCGAACTTGAGCTCACAGAGTCTTCTCAAGTCGATATCATCAGGAAGGCCAACCTTGCCTCGTTTGTCTCCAGCATCTTCGGAACACAAGAGATTGGGTTTTCCGAGCTGAATGATAACTTCCTCGATGTTTTTGTTCCGGAGGGTGGTCGTTTACTCAAAGTACAAGGAGCGCTCTTCCTAGAGCTGAAGACACAGGCCTTCATTGCCTCAATGAACAACACGGAACGATCACGAACTGAGCTGTTGTACGACTTATTTCCCGATGACTTAGAGCAGCGTCTACTTGAAAGGCGTCCAGGAACTCGTCAACTTGCTCCGAGCGAAACTGATTTTGTAAATCGCGCCAAATCGCGCCGTGATATCCTTCTCAACGATATCAATAATGAAGAAGCGATGAAAGCCTTGCCAGATAAGTATCACTGGGAAGATTTCCTCAGGGATCTTAGCTCTTATGTCACAAAGAATTTCGACACGATCAGTAATCAGCAGGTTCGATGCCCCGGTTGTCCCCTTTAATCGAGTGCATCTTAAGTACTAATTTGATTCAGTCGAAGAAGATTACCAAAGGACGTCAGCCATCGTCTTCGAGCGGGGACACGCAAGAACCAAGCAACGCTCCCCTTCAAGGTCAATTTCCAGTTGCTTCTCAGCCTCCTGACGTTCCTGTTGACAGAAACATGCACGGTGATCTCGTTGCTCGTGCAGCTCGTGCAGCACAGATTGCATTGCAGGGCCATGGGCTGAGACGCTCTCAGCAGCAGTCCCAGCAACAGCAACAGCAACAACAGCTACAGCAACAAGTTCATCATCAACAGCAGCCTCAACAACCCCAACAGCAGCCGCCCCAGCAGCCTCAACATCCAATTCAACAGCAGCAGCAGCCGCCCCAGCAGCAACATGTACCTCATCACCCCACGCAGCAAGGTGCACAAATTTATCATGGCTATGCCCCTGCGCAACCAAGTGGCCAGCTTCCACCTCAGCAGAATCCTCATCATCAGCAGTATCAGCCAAGTCCTACACCCCCAGGTTATCAACCGCAGCCTACGCAACCTACCTTTCAGCAGGGACCAATCCAGGCGAATTTCCAACAATATAACCATGGCGCCCCAGTCTCCATTCCTGGAAGGCCAAACTCTGCAGCCGCTAATCATGGTTACATGCCTGGCATCCCTCATTATTCGCAGTCGCAGCCGACTCAAGTCCTCTACGAGCGGGCTCGTATGGCAGCATCGGCGAAGTCATCCCCAAGCAGCCGCAAGTCGGGCCTACCAAGCCAGCGTAGACCTTGGACAACAGAAGAGGAGAATGCATTGATGGCTGGCCTAGATCGTGTCAAGGGGCCCCACTGGAGTCAGATTCTAGCCATGTTTGGCCCTGGAGGCACTATTAGCGAAGCACTGAAAGATCGGAATCAGGTTCAGCTCAAAGACAAGGCACGCAACCTGAAACTTTTCTTCCTTAAGAGTGGAATCGAAGTTCCCTACTACCTGAAGTTCGTCACTGGTGAATTGAAAACTCGTGCGCCCGCCCAGGCTGCCAAACGTGAAGCACGGGAGCGGCAGAAGAAGCAAGGTGAAGAAGACAAAGCTCATGTCGAAGGAATCAAAGGAATGATGGCCTTAGCTGGCGCACACCCTCAGCCGGTTCCCTTAGGGCACGGTCATGACGGCATGTCGGCATCTCCCAGTTTACCACCTGATGCCGGTGCTCATGCAGCATTCGATCAAACCGCCGAGCAGAATTTGATGCAAACCCTTGGCCAGGAGGTGCATGGAGATCAGTTCGGACAACACCAGCATCACCAACATCACCAGCACCACCCACACCATCAGGATCCTGTTGATCCAAATATGCATCTTGGGCAATAGATTGAATCTTCCTGTCCTTCGCCTTGCTTCCTCTTTTCCTCGATTTCTTTCTGTATCTCTCTCTTTTTCCCTTTTCTTTTTCTTGCTCTAGGCAGTTGTTTGTCGCCCGCGTACTACGCCTTCAGTTGTATCTGGTTGCTACAAAACGCCCTCCTGCTTATCTAATGGTTTTATCTGGGTTGAAAGATTAATGGCGGGTTAGCATTCCATATATGGGTTCGGTATGGGATATTCTGTAACAGTAAATAGGTGATTCACGAACAGGAAGGGGTTATATGGAACAATGGATGTACTTTTATTGCCTAACATAGAATGGCAATGCGTGAGTTAGACGTATTTCCAAGCATCATGTCACATTGTTAGGGTAGGTTGGTAGAAGAGGGTAAATTTATCGGAATTTAATCGCGGAGAGTAAGTCAGTCACGTTGGGCCGCGCACGGGTAAAGAAAGTAAAGCTAAGCTCTCCGCTCGTTCACATCGACGTATCGCCGCCATTCATCGGACGCCCTGGCCTCGACGTACCCTGTTCCAACTCGTCCACTGCCCAACACGGATAATTTGCTTTTTTACAACCCAATCTCCTGATCGCCTTACCTGGTACTTCCTTTGTTCACACCATGGCCGATCAAGCGCCATCACAGACCCCTGTCCCACCTTCGTCGCAACCACCACCTTTGTCACAGACTGGCTCCCAAGAACCTTCAGCATCATCCGCCTCGGCATCTGGTGAACCAGCAACTTCATCCGGAGCGACAGCTGTTCCGAAACCTGACCCCGATGCACCAGACGGTGCTGCCTTGGACGCCTCCATCGAACAAGATATTGATCTAAACGCAAGCAACGACAGCAAAATGACAAACGCAAACGATGCGGAAGACCCTGCTATAGGCAATCCAATTCAGGCCGCAACATCAGTCGACGCTTTTGTGGCGGCAGCAGCACCGTCGAAGAAGGAGACGAGTTTGCGCGAGTTCCTGGGTAAAATGGATGAGTATGCGCCTATTGTAAGTTTTCCTCTCTTCCCTTTCAATAAATGATCCTTCTCTTCCACTCCTTAAAATAAAATTTGGATCATGATCATTTCAAAGGCTAATATTCAATAGATCCCTGACGCTGTAACAGCACATTATCTTACCCTTGCCGGTCTACCACCCCCAGGGAATGGCCCCAACCAAACACCTCCACACTTAGCCCGACTTCTCGCTTTAGCGACCCAGAAATTTATCGCGGATATCGCCGCGGATTCTTACCAGTACGCGCGTATTCGGGCTTCTAATAGTTCCTCCGCGAGCAACCCAATGGGTAGTCTTAACGCTGCGTCGGGTCTCGGTATGCCCACTGGTGCGTCTGGCGCAGGTGCAGCTGGAGCTGCAGCTGGCGCGTCGGGCGGAGATGCAAGCAAGGGCAAAGCCAATACACATCTTGGTATCCAAAGGCCCGGCTTTGGCGGTGGTGGCTCAGGAGGCTCGGGGCAAGGACGGACGGTGCTCACCATGGAAGATCTGGGAATGGCGGTTGCCGAGTACGGCGTGAGCGTGAAGAGGGGCGAGTTCTACAGGTAAAAGTTTGGGTTACCACGATGAGTGGCTCCGTGGGCCTTTGGTTGGACATTCTAGGGTGCGAAACGGCAGCAAATGCTTGCTTCCGTGTGTTGTGACGACGCGCGCATGAGACTGTACTCCATGTCTCGACAACTGATTTGGGGACGGCGATACCCATCTTGGGGATTACGTGCTAGATCGCTGTCGACTGAAGATTGAACGTCGACTTTAATTGAAAGGGGTTTGCTTACTGGCGTAAATACCGGGCTGGGGACAAACGATATCCTGCATTTGGGCTTCTAAAATTTTACAACACGAGATTTTGCATAGGCGTTTGGGATGGTGAAGAATCAATGGAGAGATTCCATTTTGCACTGCTTCATGTCGAGGTCGACATTGGTTTTCCTTGATGCGTTAAAGAACCGAAGAATAGATCATAAGGTTGACTCAATGATACTGATTATCCTGACTCCACAGTGACAGTGACAGCTAATTTTACATTCAACATATGCGACATAGATATACAAGAATACGATAACGCCAATAGAGAACAGTAAATCCTCCCCACAGACCTTCAAGTCAGGTATTACCCTCCCCGTCATCCATAGAGCACAACAACCACACAGTCCCAAACAAACATCCCAACCAAACCAATCATCTATTTGTTCTTCGACTGTTTATACGTAAACCTCTTCCGGGTCCTGTAAATCCACGCCAACAAGTCAGCCATTGACAACCTCTCAACAGTAAAAGGAAGAAAAAAAGAAGAAAAAAAGCAACATACGCAACATATTCACCAAGCTTCCGTCCGACCATCTCCTCAGTGATCAAGACATCCTGGTAATTCTTCCCATTGTGCACTGAAAACCGCAAGCCCACGAAGTTAGGGAGGATTGTTGCTCCGCGCTTCTGGGTCTTGATCGGAGGAGTGTTCGGCGGAGGAGGGAGTTTCCGGGGAAGAGGGAGACTATCGGAGTCCAACCATGTTAGTCATTGCTATATCGTATATGCAGCCCGAGTTATGTATGTGGGATCTCGACTCGGTGATTTAGATATGGTTCAAGGTCTAGTTTGGCGAGGATATTTGATTGTTGGGATGAACGTACGGGACAATGTTTGGGCCTGTTGCGATGGGTTGTGTTAGCGGATTGATGTTTGTTTCGGGGGTTCGTGATCGTCGTGGGCATGGGAAAGCTCACCTTTCCAGACGGAACGCCCCAGGAGGGCACGGGTGGGAAACATTTTGTTGGCAGCTGCTGGGTTGGTTTCGCTGTTGCGATAGTTCCGATACAAATTGTTCGGAGCGGCGTGATATCGGATTAGTCAGCGCATTTCAATAGTTACCCCAGGATATTGAAAAGTGAGCTACTCTAGATCCCAGCTACTGAGCGTCAAGGACTGCTCGAGACAGGTTTCTTTTCTGCCGGACCTCGAAGGGCCTATCAAGAGGAAACCATTAGACTTGTGAAGTGTGAAGAATCGATGGCTTAGCTAGTAGTTATCATTTTGTGCTAGATTGAGGGAATACTGAGGCGGAAGGAGACGGCTTAATTTTATTCTTCAAGGAAGTTGGTACTTTATTCTATTTACTATTGCTAAGATCTATCTTTAGCATAGAAAGCAGCATCCGGACACTACTTAGTTGTTCAATGATACATTGGTCATCGGATGCATGAGTATGATATCCAGTCGCCAGCGACTATTGGATACAGGTCCCAAAAGAATCTTGTACATTCACTCTGTAGCAAGCTCATCGAGGAATTGTGCTAGATTGCGTATTCCCATGAGTACATTTTCGTCCGGCCCCTGACCGGGCGTCCAGCTGGCGTGCGCAAAGTCAATCAGGCGGAGATCATGCGCCTTCGGGGGCTCCTCCTCGTCCTCATCAATATCCGAGTCACCCAGCTGAATGGTTTCCGGATCGATGCTGATATTAATAGCCTGCTGAGGTTGACCATCTTTCCCGAACGGGAGATTCACCACTTGATAAGGGCCGTCCTGCTGGAGTTGAAGCTCAAAACTCTCATCGTCTTCTTCTTCTTCTTCTTCTTCCTCCTCTGAGTCCTCTTTGGGGTTCTCTTTGACTTTCTTTTCCTCCTCAAGCGCAATCTCCATCGCCTCCGGGTCGCCCTCATAGACGATCAAGACACTCGAGGAATACATCCGACTCTCCTCGGATTCGAGAACTTCCTGCAGGTTCTTTAGTTCATCGGCCAGTCTCCTAGCGATAAGTTTCGAGCGGTCAACTGAACCAGCCTTCGCGCCAGCAAGAAAAGTCTCGAAGCCCTCCTTAACATTCTTATCACTAAACGAACGTCCGTACCACTTATCATACCGCCTGTAGCCGTCCTTCTCAATGACCTCGCCCTTTACGCCCTCTGAGCCCTCATATTTGGTCGCATACGGGTCGGTCTTGCCCCCTTCATCGTTCTCCCCATTAATACCAGTCCACACTTTCATCCCAGCAATTCGGAACCCCAGACTAGAGCTAGTCGTCTCCTTGGATACGTTGTCCAGCTTCGTTCGCTTCGCAAGCGGCGCATCGTCCGCCCACAATCTTGCGCCCAATTTGACATCCAAGACGTTTGGTCGCTTGAATCCACATGCCACATTCTCCAACACGATTGACAAGCCCGTGTCGATCTTCTTTCCACCCGATGGAACCCAATTTTTTTCTGCGGTTGCGGCCGCGTTGGGCGTATTTGCTTCTCCGTTCAGTTGGGGAGTTGCGACAGCGGTCGACACTTCGGACGAATCGGAGCTGGGAAGAACGATAGCGCCCGGCTGGGCACTGGCGAGCGCAAGCGGCTGCTGTTGTCCATCTGCAGATGTCAAACTTCCGATGTAGGTCGGAATAAATTCGGCGAAAGCTGGGTGGAGGGCGCAGGACTCGTAGAACGCAACCTCCGCGGGAGTGCAAGGCTTCGCGATGAAAGAGCCGGAGGGAGTACAGCGAACGCCCTCGCTATGATAGTTAGTTTCGATATTGGTAAGTCTAGGAAGTTGCAGTCTAGTATGCGCATTCAAGATTCACATGCGTAGCCATCTACTACTGCATGGGTATTCCTGACTGGTTCGGGGTGGAGGCGGATAGAGAGAACTTACTGTCCAGCCGCAGCATGGTCGAAGGCGACGAAACTCTCGCTGTCCAGCTTTTGAGCCTTGGAACTATCTGATCTCGAAGAAGATGGCATCCTTATGGTTATTTTTGTTAAACAACAAGAGAGTAAATATCATGCAGGTAAGATGACAGAATTCTATGGCAATGTTCCATGGATCGCGACACGATCAAAAGATGGGGTCACGGATGGATAAGATAAAGGACAGAGGGGATGGATAAAGCAGAATTTAGAATATTTAGTTTGAAGAAAATGAAGGGAGAAGGAGTAACAAAAAGGACATTAAAGGAGAGACAAGCAAGGTAAGCAAGAGGAGGCTTAACTGTGCAATATTAATGTTACCTAAAGGTGTCCTAGAGGCATGATCGGCAATCAGGGGGTTTTTTTGGTTCCAGAATGATTTTCCTTTTGCCTGAAGGGTCGCCAGTCAGCCTAGTGAACATACTATGGGGAAAACCCCCATTCATGACTTAGTCACCGATCTAAGGTTAGTTAGTTAAGAAACGTGGAACCTCTTCGTGCACTGACATCTTTCCCCTTCCATTCTAGCGCTGCATTCTGCCTGTCATCCATACAAGAACTCAATCTAAACGTGTGCTGGAGACTTGATATACTCTTCCGCTTCTTGCATATAATCTCGACATATCTGCGACTTTTCTCTTATTTGTTCGGTCCTTGATTAACCTCGCTAGAATAGACGAAGGTTTCCGGTTAATGGTACATGCGTACTACCTTGTGATGAACGCTGTATGCACTGAATATCAAGAAGATATGCAAGTTTCTGTCCAGTATCGTCTCTATCTTCGTAAGCCCTCCCCAATACCCTATATACTTATCAATCCCTCCCTCATCCAATATTTGATAATGCCCAAGTTACGTACGAGAATGAAATTGATAGATGTTCAAATTGTACTATTATGATTGAGATTTACCTAAACAAAACCCACGTTGCACTACATGACACCAGATTATCCTGAGGAGTTGAGACGTAGCTTGGAAAGGAAGAAAAAGAAGAAGAAGAGGAAGGCAACATGAAAAAAAAACCCCCCCAAGCAACACAAGCAACACATAGCCGAGCGCTGTCAGCGAACCAGCTATTTAAATCAAAAGCATGAGCCGCAGGAAATGACAAGAAACAACATCCAGATTACTCCAATTGAAGCTCAGGAAATGTGGTTATAACTGGCCCAACGATGCCATTCCGGTGTGCAACAAGCCAATTCCATTCGCGCAATGCCCGACACCAGATTCTCATCCGTTATTCATGGTAGTAAAGCAAAAGTTCCAGGTCAACACAGCCCCCTGTTTTTTCGGGATTGCCACCAGGCTTCCAGAATGTGGCTTGGAAGGAATGTCTCTTGAATTTTTGGGGTAATCGTGAAAGCTGTATGCTTGAATTCCTTCTCAAGCCACGGCTGCCAGTCCCAGTCAATCCAACCGGCAAAATCAAGCATGCGAGTTCTGAAGGCTGCATGCCATCGCAGCAAGGGTGAGATATAAGTACCTGGGAGGAGATACGTGTCAATCACAGGACTGTTGAAAACACTCCCGCGACCGAAGAGTACGTCGCCAAAATCAATGCAAACGGCTTTTTCGTGGGTAGAACTATTGGCCACCATGACATTCCTCGGCCGGAGATCTGGGAGAACAACATCTCTGGTGTATGCCAAAGTTTCGAATTGGACAATAGCCTTCATGATGCTCTGTCGATCTCGCTGCGGTACTTCTTTGGGAGAAATGTTTTGCATAGATGCCCCGGGTATGTATTCCATGAGGATGAGACGAACGTTGCGTGTAGTAGATGCGTCGACAGGCACTCCCAAAGAGAACGATCCATAATATTCGGGGATCATAGAGCCCTGGACATCTGAAAATACCATGTATGCAGCGACTTCATGCGTGTAGTGATTGTCAACACACATGAAAGGGTCATAAAAGCCGCCGCCATCATCCAGGTACAAAGGGTCATATATCTTTGCCACCACTCGCTTTCCCTTTTTCAAGCCTTTTAAGGGCACGTCACTAATGACTTCAACGAGAACCAACTGAGCATTGCCAGCCTGTAGGATCTTGCAAATTTGTAACTCAACGCTAAAAGGTCCGTCAGCTCCCTGCAGTGGGGGGTGCTTTATGCATCGTTGGACCTGGTGAAGCTTCCTTCTTTCCTTCGTTCCAGTCTTATCATTCAAGCCGAATGAATCTGTCATTGGGGTAGGAGGAGGGGCAATGTGCTGCCGCACAGTAAACCTCCATCCGTTGATGTAGGGGTTTGTTGGCTCCACTCTTTCTCTTCGAAGCAAGCGATGCATGGCGTTAGATATATCCTGATTCCTGATCAACACTACGGAGCATTTCGGGTAGTAATGTAAAGAGGATGAAAGGCTGCCCGACCATGTGATATGATACTTCGACGGAGAAGACCCAGGGCCAGAAGTGAATTATATGTCGGAGGTGTATATATAAATAGCGCAATAACCTTCCTCTATTGTAAGCAGAGTACAATTTGCCCTGCAATAGGCGTCTATCATTGAAACATTAAGTGCTAGCCGGTTCAATATCTATCTTGATAGCTTTGAGAATTACAATATACACTAATATCAAGGCATGATGGGTCTTATGAAGTTTAAAGCTTGTATAAGATGAATTGCTTCGTGCAGCAGTTTCCTCTTGTTGTATCCTTTAGGGGTCCAAGAACAAACAAGAAACCAAAGAGGTGACCTATTTGCTCTGATCTTAAAGCTAGCCTCCCATAGCAACACGTATGAGGGGACCTCAACTAAGTCCGTCTATGCCATTCACTGAGTTATGCCTAATCCATGTTTCAGATTGGGTCCGATAAGGCTTAACAGCGGAACGGCCCGAGTACTTTATCGTGATTAGCGACAGCAATAAGCATGGCACATTATCGATACACCATAATACTTGTTACATATATCTCCTAGCTCTGAGTCTCTAGATTTTGATTTTAATTATAACAGCAATCCATGTGACTGCCCTCATTGATGCTACCTGAAACAGTAACAAATCATAGTGAAAGAGCAACTTGAGTACCTTCATTATTGGTGCCATTCCAGCCAAAGAGCCGATGGGACTCTTGTACTACATACAAAGGATATGAGAGACGGGTACAAATATGATAAAATTGCAAACGAGCTGCTGAATGCTGAATACCTGTTTGTTTGTAAGCAAGCGGGCATTCATAGTATTGGACAGGAGCGCGTCATTCCCTGTTTTGGGAACTTATTCACTCGATCTTTCTTTTTTGTCTCCCACTCTCTCACTTTGTTTTGATTTGGGACTCCAGGTTTCTTTCTCTCCCTACTTCGCCGATGACCTCTTTTCTGGTGCCAATGGCGCACTGATCTCTCTATGGCTTCTAAGAATACCGAGGCCCTTCGGAGTCTGCCCCTCCGTCTTCTCCGTCCCCTTGAGGACGTCCAGGATTCCCACCAGTCAGTTGTTAGCAGTGGTGAAGCTACTTTGACTGCCCTTGATCAGGCTACAAGCAATGAACCCGGCTTTACTCATCAGGGAGTTGTCCAAGCTGAAGCGCCTACCGTGGCTGATCTTATGGAGATAACTGAAAACCAAGCTAACTCCTCTCACAAATCACGTCTTAATGAGGAAGAAACAGCTGTAACCGATCCCATCGAGACCGCAGATGGCGCAACCGCTTCTAAGCCGCAGGCGGCTGTTGACGGTGGAACACCACCCTTGACTACTCCTGTCCAGGCTGCTGACGACCAAGCCGACTCTACCTCTCAGCCAGCTGTGAGCGATGGTGATATTACCTTGACTCAGCCCAGCCAGGCTGCAGATGAGCGAGCTAAGTTAGCCTGCTCTGTGTATTCGTCTGTTATTGAAGATGGAGAGGCAAAAGATATGACTACTGTGGATTTGGTTGCATCTAAGAGAAAGAAGAAGAGAAAGCCCAAGTCCAAAGCCAAGCATGGAAAGGTAGTTGAACTACTTCGCTGTCTACCTAGACTCATCGATTCTATCTGACTACGTATAGGGCAAGCCTACCGGTTTTGAGGAGTACTATGTCGATGCACCCATGACTCCAAAGGAGTATGAGGAAGAGAAAGCCCTCTATGATATGTGAGTTAGACAATTTAAATGTGAGCTGGTAACTAACTGAGAATTCTATGGAAAAGCTCCAGACCTCTTATCCAGTGAGTTTTCATTCTGGCCATATGGTCCCAAAGGTGTTGACCTGTCCTTAGCCGTATCGAGGCCGCCATCCTGCGATACCAGAACAACCGTCGCATGGAAGCTGAGAGGCGTGAAGTCTTCATGAGGTATCTGGCATATGGAGGTGTCGACGTCGGTCCTAAGATGTTCACCGGAGTGGATGAGCAAGAGCTCCAACAACTTGATAGTGAGCAAGCTCTTATCGCTAAAGGGCAGACAAACATCCGTCAGGAGTGTACGAAGCTTACAGTCGATTTCAATGCTGTTGTGAAGGGGTACCTGTAAGACAACCTAGTTGTAACTAGACGGGTTCGACATGGCTAACATCTGGCAGGACTTCGTACTTCCCATACTTCTTTAATCCCGAAACCGAGGACATGGTGAAGCTAGCCACTATCACAATCCGAAATTTTCTCTCTTACCTCCTCTACCATGAGGTGTGCCCCGAGTACAAAGAGAATATTGACGAGGCGCGCAGGTCGTGTGATATCGCAACCAAAGAACTGTGGCAGAATCAAGAGTTCGCAACTTCCAGTCCCGGGGATTTTAATAAGGCCTGCTCTACTCTCTTCGGTGGCTTCTTCTACGATGTAGATGTCGAAGGAAATAGTTGGAATAACCGAAACAACGGAAACTTCCTTATGAAGAACGACGTCGCACGTAAAGTGGTCAAGCTCGCGATAGCTGGTTCGGGAACAAATGCCATGGCCCTTCAATTCCAGACGTTGGCTAAACAGAATGTTTTGCATTCGACGCTTGTGCCGGATATTCACGGCTTCGAGGTAATTGCGGTCTTCCCTCCCTCATCAGAAGTTCGTGAGTTCTACAGACACCACGCACCTGACCTGAACCCTGTTGGACGAATGGTCGGAAAAGCGTACCGTGATCCTGGAAAGCCTCGCTATGATCTAAGTGCGGAGGAGAGATTGATGTGGGAAACTGGGACTGCGTCGATGTCTGATTTCCAATTTTTCCTAGAAGAAAGTCTGCTCAAGCTCTGTTACCCCAAGATGAAAGTGATCACTCCGGTGTGGGAACTCAACTGCGGATTGAACTTCTTTGAAGACGTTCGTACTGTTTACAGTTCGATCTACACTGTTCTCTGCAACGATCTTATGCTGGGCTACAAGCAGCCGGTTGACTTGACCAGAAAAGAACAGGATGAGTTTGAGGAGATCGAGGAGCCGAACGGTGATGGGGTGGGGAAGGAAAAGACGACGCTGTAAGCTGTCATCGCGGCCTTGAGTTTCCGCTTGATCCAAAAGGCTCTACATTATGTGTATTCATACCGTCCCTTCTTCGTTGCACTGTTCTTTACATCCCATGCTTCACCTTATGGGATCCTACGCTAATGCTGTTATCTCGGTGTTCATGGCAAGTTTTTGTTTGCACGGATTCTGAAATATTGCACAGCTCGAGGTAGTTAGAATTCATCATAGCGCCATAAGTTCTCCATACACCTAGAACTCTGATCTGTACTTGATATAACGTTTCTCATTACATATAGTATGCCCTGTGCATAAATCATGGCTTGAGAAGAAGCTTTCCGGTGGTCTTCCTGCCTTCCAAATCGGTATGCGCCTGGGCAGCTTGCTCCAGAGGGTAAACTTTGTGAATCTTAACCTTCAGTTGTCCAGACTTGAGGAGGCCGAACAGCTCATTAACGTAGAATTCAAATTCCTCGCGGGTCTCAATGTAACCGAACAGCTGTGGCCGAGCAACCTTGACACACTTAGGAGATAATTTCCTGTTCGATCCATTAGTGTGAGAGCTTGATTGACACGAAACAAATGAACATACTGAAGAGGCAGAGGCGGCACTGGGCCACTGGCATTACCAAACCAAACGATAGTACCTTTTCTCTTGACGGCCTCCAAGCTGCCTTCCCAGGTATCCTTTCCCACGGAGTCATAAACAACATCGACACCCCGTCCCTCAGTCACCTCCTTGACCTTCTTAACCCAATCATTGCCCTCCTCACTGCGATAATCGATAACCACATCCGCGCCCAGGCTCTTCACCAAAGCGACCTTCTCCGGACCGCCTGCCGTTCCAATCACCTTGGCACCGAGAGACTTGAGAACCTGAGTCATAAGGAATCCAGCACCACCAGCTGCCGCATGCAGTAGCACCCAGTCGCCCTTCTGCACAGCGTAGGTCTCCTTGGCCAGAGTGATAACCGTCAAGCCGCTCAGAAAACTAGCTATGGCATCCTCATCGGTGATCTCGTCGGGGATCTTGACGGTCTTGGCCGCCGGGACGGCTGTGTATTCAGCATACCCGCCTGTGGTCATCCAGGCGACACGATCGCCGACCTTGAAATTGTACGGGTTAGGACCCGGGCCCAATGCGACAACCGTGCCGGCGCCTTCGCGGCCAAGGATTTCGGGTTTGGCAGATGGGTAGAGACCCGTCCGGAAGTAGGTGTCGATGTAGTTTACACCAGAAATGTTGTTCTTGACGAGCAATTGGCCCTCCTGCGGGGTCGGGGCGGGGTGGTCGGACTTGAACTCGAGGACCTCAGGGCCGCCGAGTTTCTCGACAATGACGGCCTTCATGGTCGATGGGACGGACATGGTGCGGGCTTGATGGGGAAATGGTGAAATTGGTGATGGACTGAGGTGAGCGCGGATAGCAGAGAGTCGGGCAATACTCGGTGAAGTAGTCCTCGTGGCAGTTGTACGAAGGGAAGTGAAATGAGTTGCGAAGAAGTGGTTAAGATACATTCGAGGAGGGGCTTCCGGATAATAATTTAACAAGTACCACCAGGTGGGATTTTAAGATGCTTTGGTTTACGTACAAGCACGAAGCGAGCTACCGTTTCATGAGTTGCTACTGTTGTTGATTTGTCATCCGACTGCTATCTCGTCGTTTTGATATCCTTCATTTCTTATTCATGGCTTTCCCTTCCCCGCAGTTTCCATATCGCGGGATCTATTCCGTTGTTTGTATGAGTGTCGGGAAACCACAATCTCGCTCTATTCGCTTAATAGTACTCAGACCATTGGTTGATAGCAAAGTCTGTCATACTTCTTGCACTCTTTTCTTTCACCTCTTGTTATGACCGGAGTGCAAGAGTGATACTTCCGTCGGGAATGACGCCATCGGAAGAGGCCGTCGGCTTTTTGTTTTCTCTTCTCCATCTCCGACGGACCAACTCCGATCATGGGATTTGTGCACGTTGCGGCATAGCCTTATTAGTCAGGAGCAAATACAACGATCACGATTTATGCATCGACACATGATGCCCAAGGAAACGAGATCATCTCGACAATATCATCACAGCCCAACTGTTACATACTCTATCATCGACGATCTATTCATTATTAACCGTGTAACATTCTCCGGAGCCCACAATGACTCCGGGAGTCATCTGCACTTGCTTTAGGCCAACTCAGCCCCGGCAATTACCTACAACAACCAGAATGGCATCATAGCCTTCCATGCCAACAACGGCGGAATGCCGTCATGGAACCCTAGAAATTTGATTTATATGGACCGCAGTAGGCGACTTTTCCGGGTTAATGAAGCCCAACAAGGACCAATGGTCAAGATCAATGATGAAAGAGGCTGAGGCGCTTCACGCAACCGCCTCGCCTCGCCTTTCTACGCGTATGAGCAGGCTGGAGCCAACTGTCTCCCCCACAATATGGCGGCCGCCCTGCACCCTTTACCCACATTCTTTTTTTTTCCTTTAAAAACTTTTAACGATAGCAATTGGTCGATCCGCTGGGGATTCAGCTGGTATCGAAAGAAAATCGGCTGATCTGGCGCCATTGCATCGCCATGGATGCCTTCGTCCCACACTTACTCACATATAGGTGCAGCAAGGACGTCTATCATATTGGTCTCGACCAAAGACTGTGACTGTCTGACTTCTGTGCCTGTTTTTTTGGCCTGCAGAGAGCCAAACAGATTCATGCTCAGCATCTGGCCACGGCCGCCGTGTTTCATGCCCCAATGGCCTGATTCGTCGCCTTTCCGCCCAATGCTTAGACTGATGCCCTGATAGGGCCATCATCTCGAGAGGCGCTGCCCGACCAGGTTCTCATTGGGGCTTATATACATTGTCATACTTTCCCCTTTTTTTCTGTTTATGTTTTCAGATAGACCAAAATACCCCCCCGAGACCCCGCTAATTAATATTAATAATTCCAAAGGACTCAAAAGCACATCTCTGGACAATTCTTTTCACACTGCCTTCACCAGTTGCGGCCCAACCTGTCTCACCCAGATCCAACCCGTGCTTATATATCGTGTTCTCTTCGCAACTCCAAGTGAGTTCGTCACGACGAACATAACATGCCAGCTTCCAGGACAGAGTCTCTAATCCACCGCACCGCTGCAACAGGATAGATAGCCCTTGGCCTCGCCAAGCAACTGTAACAATATTCCCTTTCGTCTTGGATTGTCGACATCGTGCCTTCCGGAGTTTTGCTTTTAGTTTCTTGTCTCGTGTTTTTGGTGGTCTTCCTTGCAATCAACCATGTTTTTCTGGAACAAGCGGCCCCGGTGGCCACCTTCGCCCTCGGTGGAAGACGAACTTGAATCGCTCTCTCGGGAGCTACACGGCTTGACCAAGATTGGAGACAAGCCTGGAATTGAAGGAGTCTGTGCTAGAGGATCTATTGATCAATACCCAGTGATCATTGAAAGGCTCTCACTCACGTCCATCGTCCAAACCGATACCCTAGGAGGTTATGGCCACGGGAGCACCTCTTCCATTAATAGTTCCGGACCACCAACACCACCTGCGGAGTCCAAACAGCCCTGCCTGTTCGATGCTGGTAATGCCACGCCGCAAGGAGCTCAGCTCAGGCCAGCGCCTTTGGCGACACCACCCATGTCTCGAGACACATCCCCCCGACGCCAGCCACGTGCACCAGCACCTCAACCGGTACAGAACAGTAGGCCCGCAACTGGCCATCAAACATTACCTTCTCAACCCGTGAACTCTAGCTCTCAGGGTTCCAAGGCCCAAAAGGACAGCGCCCCAGCATTGCATAAGGCAAATTCCAGCCCAATCCCACTGAAACCTTCAAAGCCGTCTCCCCCTGTGCGCACCTCTTCATTACCAAGCAAGCCTGCTTCCTCCATCCCAAAGAGGTCCGTGTCTGGCCGTCCTACAGGCCCATCGGGAACCAAAGTCCAGCAGCCTATTCAGGTCACCCCAAGCCCAGTGAATGCCACAAAATCGCCCCTCCCAATGCGTACGTCTTCCTTGGCAAACAAGTCTTCTTCATCTGTTCCAAAGCCGTCGGGGGGCGTCAGGCCTGACCAGCCCTCAGGAACTAAGATCCAGCACACTCTTTCAGTCAGCTCAACCCCACAGCAAGCTGTCAAACAATCTTCCCCCACGCCTGCACCGCCGCTGCCAAGCAAGCCTGCTTCCGTCACGAAGGAGTCACGGGGTGTCAAGCCTGACCAACCTGCAAGACAGTCAACACCTAATGTCAAGCCACCCCTTCCGGCCAATCCAAGTCCCCAGAAAGCCACAAAACCAAGGCCTCAGGTACACACTTCTCTCCTTCCCAACAAGCCTGCTTCCTCTTCTGTTCCACATCGGCCGGCGAGCATCAATACTGGTGCCCTGCAACCTAGCTCAGCTGCAGATAAGGCAAAAGACCATGATATTAAGCCAGGACCAAACCCGGAGCCCCAAGGAAGTGGAACTCCTTCCGCTGCATCCCCGAAAACATTAAGCCTGGCTGAGAGGTTGGAAGAGAAGCTGAGGCGCAAGCATGAACAGAGAGAGTCTAGTGGTTCCCCAAACGCACAGAAGACAAATCCACCTACACCGGTCTCTGTTCCAAAACCCAGTAGCCCCATTGTTGCCAAAAGTGATCCACCTACTACCCAGGAGCCAGCTAACCAGAAGCCCCGTCCACAACTTTCGCACAGACCGGCAACGGTTGACCCACCATCAGTCCAGAAAGGTCCACGCCCAGTCTCTCTCGTCGAAGCGCCGGTGCCAAAGTTAGTGCCATCAGATGAGGCACAGTCTGCTCCTATCCTACCTAAACGGACTGTTTCATTTCACACTAAGGCCCTCAAGCCCGCTTCTTTGAAAATTTTGGAGAATACTCTCGAGCAGCTGCAATCTCTACAGGTTAGCCTACCACAATCCGTTCGCCCACCATCTCCGAGCAGGTCTGGCCAGTGTCTGTTACCCTGCCCTAGGTCTGCCCCAGTGGCAGGGTACCAAGACTGGTACACAATCAAAGGTATGACTTACTTGCACATCTGCCCCTCGTGCTTGAACCAGATGCGCAAGTCGAAGTTCCGCGACCTCTTGATCTTAGGAACCCCCCGTCCACGCTCGGAGAGGATCTATTGTGCGATGAGCGAGCCATGGGCCCGGCTCGCCTGGATGCAAATAATCAATAAACAACTCGACCATCTGCACCTGCTCTGCCAGATCACCCAGCCACCCCTAGGAACCAAGCCATGCACAGGACGTGTGGTCAGTAAACAGCACTGGTACCGCGTCGTCGACCCTGCCACGGGAGTGTTTCTTCCAAAGTTCAACGTCTGCTCCGCATGTGTTCGAAATCTAAGAATCCTCATGCCTCCGCACCAAGATACATTCAAGCTTTGCACCACTCTACAAGAGCGAGTCTGCGATTTTGTGACGGACAGCCCCCGTTTCGTCCGGTACATTGACCTTCTCGACATTGCTGCAAACCGTGCCGAGCAGGAGCACTCACCTCAGCCCGACCTGACTGAATTCATGGCTTACGCTCGCCGCAAGGTCGTGCTCCGGGACTGCCGCCGTAGCCGGGTAGCGCTTAATACGTGGCACTACATGCCCCAACTCCCGGAGCTCACGGTATGCGAGGACTGCTATGATGACGTAGTGTGGCCCATGGTCAAGGCCAACTATCCCATCGCACGTAAATTCTCAGCCATGATGCGCCTGCCCCCGGGTGACGGGCTGGCTCGCTGCCGGGAGGCAAGCTGCCAGCTCTACTCTCCTCGCATGCGGCTGAAATTCCGGGAGGCTGTAGAGGAGAACGACCTAGCATATCTGAACATGATTGCCCTGCAACGGTATGAGGCTGAGCAGCGGTATCGGAAACACAGGGGCCAGCTACTGGAAGACGAGGAACGGGGTTACGACTGCGATGCGGAGCTCAGGAGAAACCTGGAAGAGTGGAAGCGATGGGAATGAGTCGCAGGCGACCTCTGTCCCTTGTTCAACCAGCCTGTCTATTCAATTGTTTGTTTTTTTTTTTTTTCTCCATTTGCCAAAAGTGTATTCTTCCCAAAACACCCAGGTGTAATCTAGCAAAGATATGTACAACAAAAAGAAAAGAAAATATATACCATACCCAAACAAAACACTGAGCATGTAGAATCATCACGTCCCAGAAAATGTCCCAGCCTCGACCCCAGCCCTAACCAATTCAGAGACCGTGACAATCTCATACCCCCTCCTTTTCAGCTCCGGCAAAACAACCTTCAACATAGGCACCGTCCACTCCCGCCGATCATGACAAATCACAATACTCCCAGGCCGAACCATACTCAAGATATGCCTCGCATTCACCCACCACCACCTCACCTGCGCATCATGCGGATACACACTCCCCAACACAATCTTGAACCCCAACTGCCCCAACAGCCCCCGCATACGCTCACTGAAGAACCCACTCCCAGGTCGAAACCACCTCTCGCGGGGCTCCCGCCCCCCAACCGCCGAATACGCCGCGCGAATGCGATCCTGCACAACCCGCACCTGGTCCCGAAGCTCGTCATCACTGAGACTCCGACTCGGCTCATCCCGCATCGCATGATTCCCCAACTCATGCCCCTGCCGCACAAGCTCATGCAATTCGGCCTCGCGACCGGGGATCTGCGATCCAATGAGGAAGAAAGTCGCCCTAGCGGCGTTGTCGGCGAGTACAGAGCGGAGTTCGGGGGTGTGGACCGACGGCGCGTCGTCGATTGTTAGGGCGATGAGTTTTCGGTTGCTGGGAAGGGGTACGTGCCAGAGAGTGTCGGGCCAGCGGTGTTGGAAGTAGCGGATTAGTAGCGACGGCGGTTTGTAGATTAGGTAGAAGGGGGTTAGGAGCGTTAGGGTTAGGAGGAAGGGCAGGAGCATTGTTAATAGTAGGCGTTTAAGTTTGCGGCGTGGGAGGAGCATTTCCTTTTTTTTTTATATATATATATATATTCTTTTCTTTTCTTTTCGTTTGCTCTGGTGGTGTGGGCTTTTATAGGGGGGAGGTTTGGTGGTGGTTCTATGTATGGATATATGAGGTTTGGTTCCGTTGGGTGATTTAATTGGAGATTGATAGCGATAAGGAGGAAGTGTCGTTTCGGTTTGGTGATTGACGATGTATTGGAATGTGTGTGCGTGTACTCCGTATGGTGGAATGAATATCAGACACTTCTTCTTCCGTGGTCCTTGATGATAATCGATAATATTAGAATAACATGATAAGAATGACACCCACAGAGAGAGAGAGGATTAGAAGTCAAAACCTACCAAATCACCAGACGACGGTGACGGGCCCCCCACGGGTAAAGAACTTAGCGTTTCGAATTGACTCGCCCCGTTGGCGGCGCAGTTCACGCTCCCGAGCCCGAGCCTGCCGACCGCGGCGTCGCTGGGCCTTTTTCTGCCGGCGGAGCTGGGGGTCCGTGATGGGGAGGAGCCGCTTAAGCCAGTTCATGGTATTTATACTATCTTTCGTGGTGATAGTAAGTAGTAGTAGAGTTGGGTTCGGAGTTATATTGTTCCCTTGTCCTTTTCCAGTGAAGATTATAGTATGGAGCTTTATGATTCCTTATTTATTTTTCGTACGGGGGATTACGCTGGTGCTTATATATGTATGTAGTCCGTACTACTTTAGTACTTCTGGTGCATGCAGCCTGTTAGTGGCTGTGTTGGGTTTGCCCGATGGAGGCGCCAAGGACACCGTTCGGTTTAGTTGGATGGGAAGGTTGTCTGATCTCTATCTGGTGACCTCATCTGTTTCATTCTGGTTTTGCCTTACGGAGTAGAAGTGATCATTGGGCGAGTTTGACATTAAAATACTAACACACCCAACACACCAACAGCTACTAGTATCCTGATAGGCTGGGGGTAAAGGATGTCATGACTGGTCATTTTTAGTACCTGTAAATGTGACTATGTATGTTGATATTGTGCTTCACTCGGCTATAGACTTGTAGATAGAACCGCGGCTAACAATCATTGAACCAGTGCCCACCCGACCGAACTCCAGTACTGATGAATTATATACCTATTAACGACTACCTTATCCAACCAATCCCACCACCTCTCCGGGCCACTTCTTTCCCCAGACGATTGCCCGCGGGGGCACACGTCCGCCCACCGGAGCCAGAGCACGAATCTTGCCCTTCTCGCTATCCACTTCAGCCACGTACAGGAAGCCCATTATACTGGCGTCTCGCACCTCGGCCGCACTGGCTGTGGTAGGTGCGTTGGTGATAGCGATAAGAGAATTGGCGAGTGTGGATGGTGCAGGGGGCGAGACTTTCTTCAACGGGACATTGGAGGCCACGGCTGGGGTAGTGCTCTCGATGCTGGAAATTATACCGGGCAAAGGTGTAGCTCGAGCAGGCTCATCTTGCGGGGTCTGGTTGACCTCAGCGTCGTTACCTCCCCCGGGGAGGAACGAGTCACCAGCTCCGAGTTGAGACGGATCATACTCATCTTCGTCTTCCTCTAGCGATGCGATAGTATAATTGTAGATACCCAGCGTGTTGAAATCAAGCTGTTGGGCGTGTGGGGATAGCGTTACGTTTGTAGTGGACGATGCTGAGAGCGAAAGAGCGGCAGACGCAGTGGACGGGATAGGGTTTCCAAAGAAGTATGTTCGGATTTGGGACTCGCGTACTCCCTTCATAAATGCTGCGTCGCGATCGACACATCCACCGGATTTAGAGAGCTTCACAACTGTGATGCGCTCATCCGAGGCGACGGCAGAAGCGCTCGACGTCGGCTTGTTATCGTAGTTCTTCATCATGAGGCTATATAGTCGTTCCGAGCCAATGACAAGGATAGTAGTAACTGTCATCTGTCAGTGCATGCACCCCTTACCCAACACGTGAACCAGGCAAAAAGACATACTCGAAAACTCCGTCACGATGTGGTTGATCATCTCGAGACTTCCAGGTTTACCCTGACTTAAAGCCCCCGGCGTGTCCACAATAATACCTGTTTCCCTAGCCTCCTCATCCTCCGCCATGCGTCCCATCACCGACAGCGCCAGCCGCGACACAATAGGCCGGTAAACAGACCCCTCCGCCTCCAGTGGATTCTGCATCGGGTAAAAGTAAACCAAAGGCAGCTTCACAGGAACAGCACTGGGCCCAGACATAGGACTGCTCCCCCATCCCTCCTCAACATCCATCATCGTGCGGAACGCCGTAGCCGTCAATGTCCCGGGGACACTAAGCATGCCCTCGGTTGGATCCAAGTTGACAACGATAGGCTGCCTCTCCACCTTCGTAGCATATGCTGTCAGGATCTTCGCAACACTCGTCTTACCCGCATTCTCCGGGCCGAGAATCAGCACGCGCGGGCCGTCTTTCCCTGTCGCTTTCGCCTCCTGGCGCATCGTCTCCAGTGCGAAATGTACATTGGCGTATTCCACCATCGGGGTCTCCTCTGCTGTGTACTCGCTTTGACAACCTCCCGCACCGAGCCCCCGAGGTGCTGCGCCGTTCAGTCCACCTGGTGCCAACCCATCGACAGATGGCCCTGTATCCCCCGCGCTCACTTCCAGTGTGCAGCCATGCCAGGTGTATATAGCGCCTTTCGTTCCGGAGAATGTGTATGTTTGAGATGGAGCTAGTTCGGTGCCAAAGAGCTCTGCGGTGCCAGCGAGGAGCTATGGTTACCCCTCCAATTGTTGGGGAGGACAGGTCAGCCTCGCCATCACTTTCATGTACAAGGAGTCGCAACTTGACTTGTGGTTGAGCTACTTACCTTGACTCGAATAACTGTGCCGAAAGCAACCTCAAATCTCCACTCGGAACCCTTCGACAGGCTGATTTGGGTCGGCGGTGCGGGCGCAAATTGGTTGTCTGCCGACGGTTGTGTGAGGTCTAGACCGGGGAGAGACATGGCATTGCTAGGATCAACCGATCCTATATTCAAAAACAAACTGAGAAGAAAAACGTGCTCTATTTCTTAACAAACCACGACAAGTTCGGGGAGCTTGAAGATCACTATCGAAGCTTAACGGCGGAGGTGACGGTGTTTATCATGTTTGCAGCGGAAAGGTCCAGAATTAACTTAACTGTAACATCGGACAATCCTTTACCAAATGCGCTACGTGGAGTACAACCACCTCCCTTTACCGGGATTATAAAGAACAGCGTGAATAGAATACATGGCTACATCATCTCATTTTTATTGCATTTGCATTTCACATCCTGTGCTACCGAACCATAGGAGACCATCCCGAGTGCCCATCAAAAACCATCCGATCAATAGAGGCAGCGAAAAGAAACAAAGGATTAGAGTTAGTATATCAGGTATCCAGGAAAAATAGGAGAATGCGCATGTAGAGAGTGTTTCGATCTCCAGGACCACCGGGCGAAATCAAAAAAACGATCAATGACAACCATTTCCGGGCAAAGTGCTCTCCTTCTTGCAACCAAGGCGCAAAAATTAGAAAGGGATAGGGTGTAAATACGATACATCAGGCAGCTGTGTGTGGGTAAAATCACAATGCACATCGAAGAGGGGGTGTAAGGAGAGGGTATACAGGTCGAAAGAACTAGATTCCTTTCCTGGGGAAAGAAGGGAGCAACCTAGAACCTAAGGGGAGCGGATGAAGAGGTTTGGGAGAGATGTTCTTCGATGGAAAACGCGACGGTCAACTCGGGACAATTTGTTCCATAGGAAAGCGTCCAATACAGTTGGTAGTAGAAGCTCTAAAAGAAGTAAGGAATCGAAGCCCTGGTGATGGGTTAGACTGGGAATGGACAATAAGGGGGAAGCCAGCCAACTTACGCAAGTGCAAAAGCAGCAGTAACACCGACAAGAGCGCGGTTCCTGACACGTTCACGCTTCAACTTCTCTTCCAAGACCTTTGCCCGCTTGGTGCGCAGGGCCTTTGTTTCTTCGTCCTCCTCGTCATCACTGAGCGCTTCTTCGATGTTGCGCTTCTTAGCAGCCTTTGATGACGATGGCACGGGCTCCTCATCTGTGCTCTGAAGCTTGGCAGCCTCTTCTACCATTTCCTTAGCCTTGGCAATCATTTGTTCGGTATCTTCCGCAGATGGTGCATCAGGAAGGAGAGAAATAGGCACTTCCACCGAGACGGTGGTCTGGGTCGTTTGTACATCCTTGGCTTCGTCGGCATTAGTTTGAACATCCACTTTGACATTCTCCTCCTTGGTGTCCTTGGTTTCCTTGGTCTCCACGACCTCCTCGACCTCCTCAACCTCTTTGAGCTCCTTAAGCCCCTTAGGCTCCTTCGCCCGGGTAGCTCTGGGTGTCTTCGTGGGCTTTGGTGTTGAAGCAGACTTCTTAGGAGTAGGTGCCACTCTCTCCTCATCGCGTTCTACGCTGGGTTGGATGGTGCCATTGACTGATCCGGCCTCGGCTGTAGCATCCAAGGCAGACTGAAGGTTTGCATTGGCCTCACTGGTCGCCACAATGCTTGCCTCCTTCACCTCCTTCACATCCTGAGCTTCCTTGGATTCCCTGGCTCTCGTGCTCCTAGGTTTCCGCGGGGAAGCGAGCTTTTGTGGCGAAGCGAGCTTTTTGCTGGGAGAAGCAGACCGGCCTCTTCGCAGGCGCGGCGCCGCAGTAAGCTGGGCTGGTGCTTCAATTGGAGGCAAATCAAATCGAGGGGGTGGGGTGATCTGCATGTGCTTCTTCGTACTGGATGGGGTCTGTACAATCTCGGTGGGATCAAGCAATGCTCGTACCCAATCATACATCTGATACTCCTTTGCTAACTCGAGAGCTAACAAACAAGTTAGGTATACACGTTCGCGGGTAGCATCAATTCAAGGGGCCTACCTAGGATTGGCGAGATCCACACATTTCCGGCAATTTCATCTTCGCTGGTTTCCTTACGAGCTTTCACATATTCGCGCTCAGACCGCTCCTCCTCCAATTTTGCCCAGGGGAAGGCAATCTTGAACATTCCGGTAGCGCTGACGTATCCATCTTTGCTCCGTCGCTGTTGGGGTTTAAGAAAGAGTCGGGTGTTAATTCTCGGTTCTATGCGATGCCGCTGCTGCGACAGATGGGCACAGGAAGGCGACTCACCATCAAAAAGTACGTCTCTGGTTGTTGCTGAGTGTTGTGTGAAGGAAATATTTCAGAGCCTTTGAGGTCCCTTGGCAGTTTCACGCGCAAATGCGCATACTCAAAGGGTCCCAGGTTCTCCGGTTTCGTCGCATTCGACGTGCCGATCACTGTAGGTCTCACCGTAAGATTTGTTTTGCCCAATCGTCGGCACCGTAAGAGTTCCTCGTCTACCGTCGCGATGAGATGCATATGTCAGCCAGGCGCAAACGGTTGAAGCCGAAGCACGATGAAAGATGAGCGAGCCCTGGGGTCGCGCGACAATAACGATGTCGGAACTTACAGGTAGGAGTCTCAGGCGGAAGGATATGGGGATTGTTCTTCTTGGGCAGTGAGCGCGCCATGATGAATGGTCAGGTTTTGTCAAGTATTAAACTAGAACGGAGAGTCGAATGTTGTGGCAGCAGTTTCCGAGGTGATTCGAAGCAGGATGCGACGCCAGAACGTCGGCCACGTTGCAGGCGCGTCTCTCGCCGCTTTTGTCGAGGGTTAGTTGATAATACGTCACCACGTAGGATGTACTGATGATAGAATCACGATCGACTTGGCGGACGATTTGACCTGTGGGACACTGATGGTAGACCCGCGACAAGCCAGGTGATAATCGACTCAAGATCAATACGAGAATCGGTTAGTAGGGGAGGAAAATAATAAATGGAGGTGGAAACGGGGCGGGCAATTGCTTCTGTACGCCCGACGTACTGTATCAGTTCCGTACTACTCAGTATTGAACCAATGGTGACAAGTTGTTCTCTCCACCAATGGCCATGCGTGAAGGTCATGTGACATTCCATCCACGGTAAGAATCGGCGGCTACCGGCTGATCCCCGGTATCTAATGAGAACCAAAATTGGGTATGCCACACGTATTAGTGCCTTAGAGCCTGATCCAGTTGGGTGGGAGATCCCGTTGCCCCGTGACGGGAAATACGTTGAGGAATTGTTCGTCTCAGTTGTTTGATTGATCTGGTGGATGTGATGCAACTCTTACAGAAGCGGCTCCATCGATACATTTTCTTTTGGTTGTCTTTCACTTCCTTCTCATTCAAGGCTCAGCCACATATCCATACAGGTGTTTTTTTGTTTACATACAAAGACTGAGAAAGTCTCAAAACAGAGATGATTCAGGGTTATGTGATGGAGTAATGTCTATCTTGACATCACCACTGGAGTTTACGGATCCTCCCACAGCTCCCAATGATGTATTTACAGCACAGAATGGAATCCATCTTGAGATAATCGTTCTCCCACAAAGCCATTGTGACCTTGAATAAGAGAAAGGAAACATTACTATCCCAGTTGGGACAAGGAAAAGCGAGAGAATATTTCTGGATCAATGTCTTGGAAGATATTGATCCTTAGGCCGCTCACTTTTCCCACCTTTCGTTCTGGGCCTCCCCCTGAACGTTGCCCACCGCCTTTCTTCCCACCCCACTGTGTGGGCTGAGAGCCAACGAATCCCCCACCGGTGCTTGACTACCAAAACAAAACCGCCCCTCTTGGTCTTCATTGTTGCTGTTCTTTTTTGCTACTCCCACCCAAATCCTTGCAGGGCCAAATAGACTTAATTTTGCTTGTGGATTCCCGTTGACACTGCGTATATCTCCCCTCTCTCCTCCCCGGATCTACTTCCTGTACAGAAGTGACCTGTTCTCAAATCATTTAACTCCCTAAAACCACACTACCATATATACTAATACCCCACCAAGCCCCTACCGACACAATGCCCGAGCACGAAGATGATCTCGTTGCCTCCAAGACCGAGGGTTTCAAGGTCGGAGAGAAGAAGACAATCAATGAATACACTGAGCTTGGTATGTGGATCTCTCCATCTATACTTGAGTTTTACTATGCTCCAACCCTGCCTCGTGGCATCACCCCTTACTGTTATGCAAGAACGGGAGCTATAGAACTCCAAGATTCCATTCCAGCCGTCACCCGAGCTAGTGTGACCATTTCAGCCCCTCCTACCATGCACGCATATATACGTACGCCTGTGCTAAACTTTGATCCTCATCAGATAAGAATGACGAATCCCTAAACCGCTGGAAGGCCTCTCTAGGCCTTGCAACCGGTGCAACAATTGGAGACCCCAACGATCCCAGAAAGTGCATCATCAAATCTCTCGCCCTGGAGGTGGAGGGACGTCCCGATGTGGTCATCGACGTGTCCGCGCCCGGTGCAGTTGATACTCTCAAGGACAAGCCATTCACCATCAAGGAGGGTGCCCACTTCCGGATCAAGGTCGTCTTCCAGGTGCAGCATGAGGTCCTGAGCGGTCTGAAGTACCTGCAGGTCGTTAAGAGGAAGGGTGTTAGAGTTAGCAAGGACGAAGAGATGCTGGGTAGCTATGCCCCCAACACCACCGACAAACCGGTTTACGAGAAGAAGTGTAAGTTTGCTCCACATCTGGTGCGTCTGCGGTCGTAATCTGGGCGCTAATTACCGTTTTTCTTTTCAGTCCAAGAGGAAGAGGCGCCCACCGGATTTATAGCTCGTGGCCATTACAACGCGGTCTCGAAATTCGTGGATGACGACGACCACACTCACCTGCAGTTCGAGTGGTCGTTTGATATCGCGAAGGATTGGTAAAGCTGACGGTTCCCGGATGAACCACGACTCTGTCATGACCAGCATTCTTTGAAAATTTGCAAGCGTTGTACGGAACTGCATTCTTGGAATTTTTAACCTTCTTTCAGAGCTACAAGCCCCCTGGCTCACTCTTGGGTTGTCGTATATAGATCCTAATAATTGGATCCCTTTTCTATAAGCGCTCCTGACATACAAATACAGCATAGATATATATTGTCTTGTGTATTCATTTGTTGGTAGTCTTCACCGCCATTTGATCGCAATGCTGTCTATAAAATGCTTTGCCCATAATCTACCAAACTCCAAACAAAAAAAAAAATGGATCGCATTGAATAAATGGAACATGAAAGAAAATGAATATAAGAGGGTATCACAAAAAGTAGTCAATCACCGGGTTCTGTCCGTCCTTATTCTGCTGCGCTTGCTGTTCGTTGCGATGGGCATCGTTCTCCGGAGCCGCATCGAAGATGTTGAAAAACCTCTCGCCGGTATCGCTAACTTCGAGGACGCTCGCAAGGTTACCACATCGATAACAGTAGTTCGGTGCACTCCACACGGTACTTAGCCGGTCATCGTAGAGAACCTGGTACCCCTCCTGACACAGCTGGTGTGCGCGCAGAATATGGGACATGCTATTGACTTCGAGGAATTTCCGGACAACTTGCGCACCGAATGTATATCCAGCGCCCCTTGGTGAGAGGGAAAACTCATCGCGTTCGGTATCCGGGTCGGACCAGACCAAATCAGCCATGGGGCCTTCATGAGGGATCTCGCGAAAACGGTCAATGATTTTAATCTGGTCTATAGAATGGATGGAGGGGGATAGGCCGCCATGCACGCAGAAGATTTGATCGTTAATAACCACGCTCAGGGTGAGGAAGTCGAACATATCAGTGAAGTAATGCCAGACGTTGGGGTTGCCGTATTTCCGCACGCACTCAGTATAGAATCCGTAGGACTGCGTGACACCGCGAGACTCGTGGTTTCCTCGAATAAGATGCACGCGATGAGGGTATCGTAACTTCAGGCAGACAAGAAGGGAAATTGTTTCTATGCTGAATAAACCACGATCCACGTAGTCGCCTGTCGTGAAAATCATAACAAGTCAGTTGAACGGTTCGACCAGATTCGAGATTTACGCAGTCCCTCAACTAACCTAGAAATAGATAATTCGTGTTCGGGCAAAACCCTCCGATCTTGAATATTTCAAGCATATCAAAGAATTGCCCGTGGATGTCTCCCACTACCGTCACCGGTGCCGCAATATGGACCACATTACTCTCTTTCATCAACAGCTCTTTAGCTTTGGCGCATATTGCCTCAATCACAGAGTCTGCCAGCAGCTCCTTTCTATAGAGCCTCTCTATACACTCATCCAGGTCGATACTCGCTGCAACACAATAAAAGTCAACCTAGGAGACACACAAATAAAGGGGACTGCTGTATGTTGACTTACCCGGTAAGCCAGGCATTGTGTTTGGATTAATCTAATGGGTGATTAGAAACACTACTATGTTGGTACAAGATAACGATGATAAGGCGAATGAGTCAAGCTTCGAGATTTTTTGAGCGCGAGATGTCACCGAACGTGTCGGGATAGGGAGTGGGAAATCGTCTCGAGGAAGGATAGTATGTCTGTGTGAGAAGTTGTTGCAGTAGTTCGCATCATGACCGACAGATGCAGCAGGACGTATGAGAACGGTGCCAACTGAGCCCGTGTAGCTCAAGGGCTAAATGATGGCAGGAAGAATATCCAGGCAGTGCTCGGAACTTGTCATGAGGACTTGAATGGTTTTTCTTAGAAATCAATTCATCGTCGGGAAAGGATCTGGACACATCGGTAACCCTCAGTCATCACAATAGCGGTACCAATGGCACGCGGTGGCGGATCCAATTAATTTGAATTGTGCCGTATCACACCGCCTGATTTTTGGAGTGGAGCCTAAAATGGATGTGAGCACGTGGGATCTCTCACCCTCAACGGGATATACGGAGTACTTACAGAGTAGTATTGAATAACCTCATCTCTGCGGAAGCTGCAGGGCTTTCGCTTTCTGAAATAGGCCTGGACCCTCGCCACTTTTACTCCCGAGCGAAGGATACGTCTCGAGGCATTCCTACAACATCGAGATATTAAAGCCCAAGTGGGATTTGCCAATAAATCAACCGTGGTGTTGTAGTACTATCCTAGTTTACATCGTATTAAGAAGTCTAGGGCTATAAGAGATGCAATCAATTTTTCAAG